TATATCTTGTTCTACCGTCGATGCATTTGAATTCATGTTTGCTTTTGTTTTTTTTTATATTTTTGGGTCTCTAAACCATCTGAATAAACTTTTGTAAGGGATGAAATTAAGATTTTATTCCACTGTCATAAGACTATTTGAAAAGGGTATATAAAGTGTACCTTTCGATATTATTTATAGAGTCTTTATCTAATCTATAAGTGCATTATCATTAGATTCGAGAGCTGCATCAATATTCATATGCAACAAGAACTACACTTATTTTTTTCTCTTTTATTATCCATACGATCCCTATAGATTATGTATTATGTATCCATATTAAGTTCTTTAGAGGTCTTATCTATTTATAAGCAATAGCAGAAGGTCTAGAATAAATAATTATGAGAGTTTATCATATCAAATTCATCTTGTAAGAAATTCTACTATTATTTAACTTACTTTATAGATAATATCACATAATCTAGCATCTTTTTGATGCGAGTAATAAGCTTAGAGAGGATCGAGAAAGAGTACAGAGATTCAACAAGACAAACTGATTCTTTAGGTTTACACTCACGTACGTCTTCTTTATACTTGGGTCATGGAATTCATAAAGTTGAGACATCTCTACCTTTTGTTAGTGAATATTATCTGGTATCCAAAATAATCCTCCATCTCTATCTTGTGTTGCAAATATTATATTATCCAAATTAATGCTTTTATAAGAGCCGACGCATTGCAAACTATCCTTTTTCGTTATATATATGTATTAAACAAAAAGAAAATCCCACAGCCGTGTTTCTCATAAAGTTGTTAGATTGATAGGTCAATTTATCGTGTCTTATTCTTATAAGAAGATAAATAGCTCCTACTTCTTCTCCTTCTTTTCCCTTGGGTCAAACTTGAAAGCTACATCGACTTATAATGACGACGTCATGTGCTTATAGCTAATGTCACAGTTCGAAGAAACATTTTGAGCCAGATGCCACACGTCGGTGGGTGAAATGGACAAGTCAACGGTGACCGATCGCCATTCCCGCTCGAGAATAATAATATTCAGGGATGTGATTCAACATCCGCTTCAACAACCGTCTTATTAATGAGCCATGTGCTGCCATGTGATGTGCTGCAACGATGTATAGAGTCTCACGGGTTGATCATGGATGGCATGTACCGTATGAGCCCCTGCATCATTGGGTCACCAAGCATTTCACAAGTGCGTTGTGGGCTGTCGCACACATTCCACCACCTACGCGTCTTATCTCAACTCGACGGGAGTAATCATCATATTCCCCTCGGAATCATTGTGACTTGACGCCCAATCACCGAAACTAACAGCGGCGCAGCACCCGCCTCGTCTGCCATCACCGTCATAGGCCAGTATTATACTTCACATCCGACGGCTCACAGGAGCTGTAAAAGTCATTTGGGAGCTAAGATGATGATCACATGTAATAGAAAATAAAAAATATAAATGAAGCAGTTTGCCAATGTGTGGGCCCCATGTCGACGGGAAGTGCGTCCCATCGTCAGGCGCCCATCACAGCCTTGAATGCCTGATTCCCCACATAAATGTCATTTAAACCCATGGAGAAAGGTGAGTATAAAGAAGAACACGGAAACCTAAGATATATGCTTTGTAAATCGTGCAGATAATAAGCCATGGTAAAGGATACAACGGGACAACCGTGACATTGCCCTCTAAATTTGAACGTTACAATCCGATCCGAAACGTAAATTTAATACCTCCACACGATTCTTTTTAATCCATTTCTTTTTTACAACTGTGCCTAATTATGTAAGCAAAGAAATACGAGACGATTGCGGAGGGCAAAAGCGTCATTTGAGCCTACCCAAATCGGCCAGCTTCCTTGACCGGTTCGGCGCCAGGACGGCTGGGTTCCTGTGGTGGATGGAATTCGCCGGGCTACGGAGGTCGCCGGAAAACACCGCCTCTGCAGGATGGCTTCGCCGTGATTCGGGCCCGAAGCTGACCAGCGGGCTCAGACACACAGAGAAACCTGAGACCGAGCTGACGCTGCGGTGGTCGCGATGGGTCGCCGGGAACCGCCGGATCGGCATCGGAGTCGGCCGACGCCAGTCGTCACTGAAGTACCCGCTGCCGTGGTCCTCGTCCTCGTCCTCCATCGCAGGCGACATTCCCCTCCCCACCGGCCGGCACGACCTCCGCACCCTCCACGGCGGCGCCTCCTCCTCCTCCTCCGCGCCCGAGGAGAGCTGCGTCGTCTTCTTCTTCTTCCGACGGCCGCGGATCAGTGCCGAGAACCAAGAGCCTGATGCTGATTCCTTGGGAGCTCTCAATCCGGGCTCCGCCGCGTCCGATCTACTGTGCCCAAATAGGGTCCTAAAAATGGAGAACCTGTGCCTGCGGCCGCCATCGATCTCCTCGAGCCTTTCGCCACGTGAGGCGGCGGCGAACGTGGGGCCGATCTGGGGGGTGCTGAAGAACCGCTGGTAGTGGTGGAGGAGGCGGAGGTGGCCTGGCGAGGAATCGGATCCGACCGATCGGCGGTGGGAGATGTAAGGGGAGACGGGTCGGTGGAATTCGTGGGGATGCCGCAGCGGGGAAAGGTCAGGCCTCCGGCGTACGTGGTAGCGGTTAGCGGAGAGCTCGTTCTGGGCGACGATGAGGGCGAGGAGTCGCTCCCGGAGGCAGGAGGCGCAGACGCCAACTCCGTACTCGTTCGGGTGACTCTTGCACTTCATCGCCTAGCCGCCGTAGCCACCTCGCCAACGCTACTCCCCCTTCGCCCGCAGCCTCCTGCATCGGCGACGCCCCTTCCTACACCCTACCCGAATCCGGAGCACCAGCGTCTGATACAGCGAAACGGCACTCTTCCTGGGTCGTCCGTTTCACGAATGCCAATAAATCGACATTTTATATTCAAACGGTCGTTGACGTTATCCGACGTAGTAGTTTAAGACGTACGACAACCACAACTACGGAAGTGGCTCCCACTACGTGAATCGTAACCTATTGGATGACTTGCGCAGGATATACAATAAAAAAGATGTACCCGAGGATCAGAATACCTCCGATCGATGTGTCACTCGTACTAAACTGGCAAGTGACTGACGGCCGGAATATTAGAAATAATCTTCTACTCGTTCGTGGCGTCCCCAACGCAATACCTTCTCATGAACGAACAAAGGGCTACTGCCATGGGGGACGAGAAAAAAACTCCAATAAGATATGGAGGGTATAGCTGCGGGTAATCGTTAATAGTTAGAAGTCATACCAGGATACATGTACTTCTCTCAAGTCGGGCTAAATGTACCTAAATGCCCTTCCGGTCGTGGGGTGGTGTTCGCTGAAGGCGAAGGGTATTACGGTAATACAAGGCAGTGATATGATATCCATCAGATGTGGAACGGACGTTAGGGATGGGAAGAATAGAGGTGTGGTGGAGCGACACCGAGGAGTCGCGGTCTGCTAAGGAAACAAATAATAAATGGGTGGGAGGCAGGACCGCGGCCGATTTAATTCTGTTGCGGTGGCAGCACCTGTCGCTGACGTTGCAAGTCGCGGGGAAAACAATAGGGAGAAAAATAAAAGATAATATACGTGTAGATTCATAATATATATATAGCTCTATTATGCCCATGAAGCATATCGTATGTACGCCTACGGATATCGAACGCGTTATCCGCCGGACCGCTGCCTTGTAATTCCTGGGCCATATGTATTGTATGGTATGAATTAAGGGATAAATTCACTTCGAAATCTTTCATAGTATGGCCAGACGAGTTGGAATAAATGAAGAATTCTATAATGCCCTTTGGCTCCAAACTCATCGGAGCAATGGGGCGAACTTATCATCAGAGGTTAACAGCGCATCCGAGTAAACGTTGCTATCGCAGCCATGTCAATCATTGAATATTAAATAATCTAAAGATAACTAAAATGAACGATAAGAAAATGATATAACTTAAATAATTTATTTAAGTTATTCTTGCACTACATAGAGACGAATACAAAAGGCATATGGTTTCAAAACTTCATGAATGTTACAGAAAAAAAAGTAGTTGATGTCTTGGTCGGTCCAACGTGATTAAAACCCATATGTATAGTGTTGCTCGAGGAAAACATTGAGCTCTTGATGTGTCATTTGTATAAAAATCGAGGTTGAAAGAGGTTTATCGACTCAATCTATTCGACACCTAAGTTAGTAGCCAAAGGTATGTGAGAATGAATGTAAGTGGTTAAGAAATGATCATCATTTTTATTATGTTGAAGATGAGATTTTATATATAGTCATAAATGGATGAAATATTCCATGAAATATTTCACAAGAAGATAATATCTAACCACCTCCAACAATCTCTCTTAGCTTTTTATTCATGCGAGCAACAAGAGAGGGGACACTTTATAACCGTTTAGCTTGGACCCTTATCCACATGGGCAAACAAGCGAAGGGTGACCTCTATCTTCCCCTTCTACCCTATACATCATATGGAAGTTACGTATTGATCGATTACTAGATGATGATACTCTTTCTATCATTTATCCCCTCTCCCAAGGCGTGTTTTAAAGGCTCTCGCAAGAGAGATCCGAAGTGCAATGTCTAGTTTATCCGACACGTTAAGCTTAGACCTTATCAATTATTCTCTGACTTCGAGCATTAGGCAAACGTTGATAGGGTTGAGAGGCATCCGATCTGCGTCTCCAATTGATGACCTTCGTCCCTCAGTAAGTGGTAATCCCTTGACTTATATTTTGTTCTCTTTATCGTTTATTCCCCCTCCAAGGCATGCTTCAAGGGCTCTCATAAGAGGGCTCTGAAGTGCGATATCTAGTTCAACCAACACATTAAGGTTGAACCTCCGTAATTATTCTATGACTTTGAGCATTATGTGGACGTTGATGGGGTCGGGGGGTATTTGATCTATGTCTTGAATTACTGACCCTCGTCTCTCGATAAGGGGTGGTCCCTTTTTAACAAGCTATCTTTAATACTAAATCAATCATTACCGATGTGAACTCAATCTTCCTTAGCATAGAGGTTGGAAATGACGAGGATCAATTCTCTAACCTTTGCGGCTCAATGGTAACGAGAAGGGAGGGTCGAGTGCTCGACCCTCAAATCTCGGGTGGAGTTAGAGGCCAGGTTTCCTAACCTCCATGATTCGAGCAGAGGTGGTCGAGTTTTATAACCTATCTAATTCAGTGAGGACTACAAACGAGAGGTGCGAGGGCTACCATCAGGTTTCCCAACCTCCACTCAAGTGGAGGAGGGGGTTGGGTTTCTCGATTGCCATGCCTTAGAGGATGAGGGGAGTCATTTCCCAATCTCCACACCTCGGGTGGAGATGGACGGGATTTTTTTACCTTCATATCTTGGGTGAAGTTAGGTGTCGGGTTTCTTGATCTCCATGTTTTGGGCAGAGGAGGGACCCAGCCTCCATGACTCTGGTGAAGGAGTTTCCTGACATCCATACCTCGGGCAAAGGAGGTTAGGATTTTTCAACATCGATACATTAGGCGGAGATATGGGTCGGCTTTCTCGACCTCCTTGGCTTAGTGAGAACCATAGTAACGGGTGCAAGTGCTGCTAGCGATGGTCCATTGTCGACTTGATCCTCTTCATATGCTCGCTGTCAAGTCGGGCAATGAGAGAAGCCAAGGTAGGTAATAGGTGATGCGGAGGTGAGCTCCTCCTCTACTCATCCCCAAGGGACCCACATTAGACATTAGGTCCATAACAAGGACATTGTGAAGCCCTTTGTAGCGGACCAACTTATCTTCTTCTGCTCGTTGTGAGGTGGGCTATGAGAGGAGCTGAGGCGACTAGAGGTGAGCTCCTCCTCTACTCGTACATGAGAAACCCACAATGGGCAATGGGTCCACAATGGGGATGTTATGAAGCCCCCCATTGCTGACCTACCTCTCTTCTTCCGCTCACCTTGAGGCCGGTTGTGAGAGGAGTCGAGGCAGGCTGCAAGCAGTGCTAAGGTGGGCCCCTCCTCTGCTCATCCTCGAGAGACCTATGTTAGGTAATGGGTCCATAGTGGGGATGCTACAAAGGCCGCATTATCGATCTGCCCCTCTCATCATCGAGGGAATCACGTCATATAGCAAGCCTATAATTGAGACGCTATGAAGCCCCTCATAGTTGACTTGTTCATCTTCTTCAAGTCATCATGAGGTATGCTATGAGAGGAGACGAGTTTGGTTGCAGGCGGTGCGAAGGTGGGCTCCTCCTTTGCTCATCCTTGAGGGATCCACATTTTTATTACACAGGATGAGTTTTCGTGATATATGCCTCGGACATATTTTACATTATGCCTCCCGTCATGATGGATTTTCTTCTTGCGTGGGTTAGCTTTCCTGACTCACGTGTCTAGGACACATCTTACCTTATGCCTCTCATCATGGTGAGTTTCTTATTACACATGTTGGATTTTTCTGGTTCATGCACCTCGGGTACATTTTGCCATGTATCTTACGCTATGCAGGTTTTTTATTACGTAGGTTGGGTTATTTTGACCCTTTCACCTCGGACATATTATACCTTATGCTTTCTACCATAACATGTTTCTTACTATGGGAGCCGACTTTTTCTAACTCATGTATCTCGAGCATATTTTACTTTGTGCCTCCTATCATATTGGGGTTCATCTAACATGAATCGGGTTTTCCTCAATCATACACCTTGAGCATATTTTGCCTTATGTCTTTCGTCACAATTAGTTTCTTTTTACGCGAGTTAGGTTTTCTCATCTCAAGTTCCTCTAGCACATTCTGCCTTTTGCCTTTTGTCAAAGTGTGTTTTTTCTTACGTGGGTTGGGTTTTTTTAACACATGCCTCGAGCATATTTTACCTTATGTTTCTCACCACGGTGGGTTTCTTATTATACAGGTTAGGTTTTCCCAACTCAGGCCCTTTGTTGTCAAGGCAGAAGTTTGACACTTAAGGCATAGCCATCTCGACCCGATCCTAAGGGATGCCTCAAGAGTATAACTTTCTTAAGTTCATAATATGTCATGTCCTTAACAACAACACCCTTTTTGTTATTTTGAGGCGAAAGGTTCCGACCTCTTGTTCATCAAAAAAATTATCACCATGTGGTAGGTCGACACCATCGCTCTCAATTTGTTAAATGTGAATCTGTCTTTAATCATATTATACATCGAGGGGATATCCACTATAATGAATTCAGTTAATATTATGTTGATATAATGTTCATCACCAAATCTGATATACAGATTCATAATCTTGAGAGGCATGATAAAGTCTTTAGTAAACCCTATAAGTAAAGAAGTCATTAGAGTAAGATTATTAGTTGACAACTCTAAATTTTTAGAAAATATCAAGATAGAGAATATCAACGGAGCAACCTGTACCAATCGTAATCCTATTCAGTCAAACATTAATCATCCTCATAAAAACAACTAAGACATCACCATGATTTCGGTCAAGATACTCTATCTTTTCCCTCTTGAACGTTATCTCCGAGTCATCATCTATTCATGGGTGTTTTTCAATAGTAACTCAATGATAAGTTTTATAACCCAGAAAGTTATCCTCCCCCCCCCCCCCAAGGCAAGTCCATCAAAGATGACATTAATCTTCCTTTCCATTAGTCCTTGAGATTGGGGTGCGAGTTTCTAATGCTTTCGGACGAACCGCTTGAGGTGTCTCCTCAATCTACTCCTTTAGGTTAAGACACTCGTTTGTATTGTGATCGTAATTTAATAGAACCAAAAATATTTGAACATATCTCTTTTCACCAATAGGATCTTTATCGGGTGAGTCTTTTAAGAGTCTCTTCTCTTTTACCAGCAAAAAGACTTCAGTTTTAGTTATATTTATTAGGGCCAGCTCAAAACTTAGGTGAAGTAACTAGGGTCATTCGTTTCTCTTTCACCGCGGTGATCTCAGGGTCGGGGATGATTGTGGTCATTCCTACTTTGGTCTTTTGCGTGACTCCTTATGCTTACCCAAAACTATTGCCTTAGTGGTGATGTATTAATTGATCCTTTGAAATGCCTCTTGTATAATTACCAATGGTCTCTTTATCAATGATCGAAAGAGGTAGGAGGACTTTAGCTATATCATAAAGGTCTATATTATTAGTATCGGATGGGCATCTAGAATGTATCAAATCTCGCTCGTGAACCAAGTGACAAAATCTACAAATATTTCTTCCTTCGCCTGCTTAAGACCAAAGAGTATTGCTACTAAAGGCCACGAGCATATGTTCCTAAATAAGTGAAGTTCAAACTCCCTCGTAAATTGAGCAAAAGAATTGATGGAAAGTAGCTTCATGCGAGTGTTCCATTCTCATGTTAAGCCTCTTAATATAATCCAAAAGGTGTAACATTATAAGGCATTTGAAGTATTATACAATAACATTTGGGCACAGAAAGCTGTAATATGCTCTGTTAGGTTGGCATTATCATCAAATGCCTCCAAGGATGGACAAAAGCTCATTGGAATTTATTCCTCCTAGATTTTCTAGGTGAACAACGATCAACCCGAGGTAGGGTCTACTAATGCTTCCTCTTTTGATTATCAGAACTCTCATCACATCTCCTTTAAATGTTGGACTATCTGTCACAGTTAGTTCCATAGGGAATCCTTTTTCAAATTTATTGATCAAGCCTCAGATTCAGACAAGGTAGAGTGGAGGTGCGGCCTGCTGAATTCCATGGTTTGGGACCGAAGTACTACATACATGAAAACTATGGTAGAAAGAGGTTTCTTAATCCAATCCCTCCAATGTCCAAGTTAATAACTCGAGGTGGGTGATTGTTAATGCGAGTTATCGAAAAGTGATCATTCCTTTCATTGTAATGAAGATGAATTTTAATATTTAACTATAAATGGACGAAATATTCAATGGATTATTTAATGGGTCGATAACCTCTAATCGACTCAAACAATCTTTTTTTAACTTTTTATCTAGGCGGGAAATAAGGGAGGGACAATCTATAACTATATGTCTTAGACCCTTGTCCACGTGGGCAAACAAGTAAAGAGTATTATTTATTTTTTTCTTTTATCCTAGACATCATATGAAAGTCACCAATCGATTGACTGCTTACTATAGATTAGATGCTCTTCTTGTTAATAATAATTATTATTATTATTATAATTATATCACTCGGAAGATACTATTTATCGGGCGATTCTCGATCCTTGTGAATCACCAAATTAAATATGCTAAAAGGGCTGCAATTGAAAGAGGGAGTCAACGGAGGAAAATTTCTTTTTTGCTCCCAAACAGTGATAGTGTTGGTACTATGTCTTCCTGAAGTATGCACCAGACAACCTCACAATTGCGAGACTGCAAAAACACGATAAATCATGTGAAAGGATAATCTTATCGCTAATTGAGTAAAAATACGATATGAACTTTTAGCCAAATCTTGAGTATCCAAAAGCGGGTCATGGCAAACGTACGAGGGAGATCTAAGAACAAAATTAGCCACCTCATGTCTACATTATTCTCCAAAAGCAACCTCTCTCTCTCTCTCTCTCTCTCTCTCTCTCTGACTCTAACGTAAAAGAGTTGCTCAAAGAGAAAGATAGAATGATACCTAAAAACTGCATGGGTGCAGCAAACATAGACTTCTCGACGCAATAGAGCAAATCAGTAAAATGGTTTCGAGAAAGAATAAATGCTGCTTGATTTTTACTAACACATTTCCGGTTCAAGAACTGACAAAACAACATAAAGAATCGTTGAACTTGAGCGACAAGAAAAAGGCAACATAAAGAACAACATAATGAGAGTGAGAATTGACACATGAACAGCAACAAAATGAATGGTCTCAACTACTCAGCGAAGTGGAATGAAAGGACGGGGAAGTAATACACCACAGGAGAAAGACTGAAGCTCGGGGAGTGCATCGCAGCCGCCAGGCCAACGACGACAGAGCAATTCCCTATCAAGAACAGAAGAATGGGAGTAGTGAAATTAATACTGCAAGTTCAAAAATATGCATACAATAATGAACCAAGAAAAAAGTTCCATGATAGTGGATTATAATTCAATTAGACAACCCATCCAGTCCATGTTTGTTATAATAAATGGAGAATTTTGGAGAAAATTCTTGTTCTAGAAGATGATCTATTTATCACGCAAGATAAAATCTAAAACACTCTATCGTCCCAAGTTACCTTTGCAAGTGAGGGGTTGGTCGTGCCTAAAAGGATATCTACTTCGTTCAAATCATACTTGGTGATAATGTCGCGTATGCTTGGGGTCATGAGAATACTCGACAATATCATATCAAGGAATGTCATTATGAGATCTCAATGGCTTAACTAATATTCATCTCTGCATACGAACTCGTACATTAAATATCTACATGAAAGAGATAATTAGAATCGGTTCAAAGTTTTAATTGATCATTTTTCTCTAAATGATATTTTTCTTTAAAGTAAATATAACAGAATATAAATATTTAAAGAACAAAAACGACAATGTTTAGCAAACCAGTAAAACTATGGTTCTTAGTAAGACTAAATACTGCTTGATTTTTTATGAAGACAGCTCCAATTCAAAATCTAACAAAATAACATCAAGAATAGAAAGAGCAACGATATGATCTAACCAATACAGATCTGATAAAATGTATCACGATGTCGAAGAAATTTCTGATGGATATCCGAAACCGATATGATCTTGTTTGGCTCCAAATTGCCCTTGAGCAGCATACATGTTAAGTAGTAACGAGCCATTTACTTTGTAAGTTAAGCTGTAATCATCATTTATATCCTATGTAGCTCTATTATTAAGGGAAGTTGATGTTATTTCCAATATCTATACTTTTTTTTTTTATCGATCAATTTATTTTTAATGCAGGGATTATTCTCTTGTATTCCTTCTATATAAAAACATGTAGATTATGTCTCGTTTCCACCATCAGTATAAGTTTTTTTGGGTGTAGAAGAGCCTTTAATTAAGATAGTTGTGGCAGTACAATGAGAAAGTTCATTCAATTCAGCTGCATTTTCCCATTTGTATCACCTGAGATGTATGATTGCATCAATTACCATACCAGCTTACTGGTTTCAGTAAGCTCTTGGTGTTGGTTCCAATAACTCCACCAAAAATAGAGGAGTTGGCCTTACACTCTCTACTACTAATTTTACGTGAGGTAAATGAGAGACCATTCGTTTGTTCGCTTCGGTGTGCCAACGTGAAGCCAACTGCTACAGGCGTCATGATTGACACCAGTGCTATTATAAACATCGAGACACAACCTTTCGATCCGACGGCAGCGGTGGTGGGTCAGGAGCATCGGACGGCGTGACGCGATTGGACGGTGGAGGAGGAGGAGGACGACGCCGCAGTGGGTCCTGCTCTGGTTAACTGTCGCCACGCCTCCTGCGGAAGGTGACCGCATCGCGGGACCCGCGGTCGGCACCACGCGGCGTGTTGCCCACGGTTCGGTACGCTGAACTCCGTGCTTCCTTGATGATTCGTGCGAGCATCGGATGGATCAGCGGGGTCGAGCCCACGTTGCGGCCTCTCCATCACAGACGTCGGTTCGGACTCGGATATGTTCTGGCAGCTTCCGATACGCGGGACCCGCTCCCCTTCCTTGGGAGCGCGCCACGCGTGGTGAACAATGTTTGAGCCAACGCAGCGGATCTCCACCACCACTCATAAGAAACAATATAAATCCCCCTTCCCCGTCGGAATCAATCGATAGGCGAATCCAATCCGCAGGCAGATCTGGAGGGAAAGGTGCGATTCTAGTCCTCCAGATTTACTCCTTTCTTTGACCGCAGGATACAAATGTTTTCGATCTAGTCTTTGTACCCAAGTTTGGAATCGAGCGATCGGAATATTACCCTTTTCTCTTTTTCTGTTTGGGGGATTACGAACAGTTTTTTGAGGATGTCGTTTGCTTTCACTGTTAATTACTGTATCCAAGATTGTTCTTTCGTTGTTTATTCTTGTCTTAAACGTAATATACGTATATGCTCTTAATTCTGTTAGAAAAAAAAAGGTAGATCAGCGTTCTTTAGTGATATCGAGAGGGATTCTTGAGTTGTGTTAAAAGTTCGCCAGAATGAATTGATTGAATTATATCATGTTGTATTGATTACGTACAATTGAATTTTGAATAAATAGAGAAATTGAATGAGGTATAAAGCATATAAATAACTTTTGCCGATCTTTTTGTATTTCAGACGAAAGAGGGATTTTCCATTAAAAATTTGGTTTTTGTTAGAAAATTCATCAATATGGCTATTTGTGTACATATATTAGGAAAATGAAATCTGGGTAAAAGATTCATGTAGCCGACAGTTGGAACTTACGAAGACTTTTGTTGTTGTTGTTGTGAATCTGATTTAAGCAGTTGCTCCTCATAAAAGGTAGCCGAGTCTTAAGTGTCCCCAGTATGACTTGAATGCTCTCTATGTTTAGGGCAAATAAGAAAGCAATATAGGCATATCTATGTTTCAGACACCACCTACAATTGTTTCTTCTAATTCCTTTGCTTTTGATCTCAGGAAACTTCTTTGGTTTCGTTATGCCATATTTCTTCTGCTGTTGTTGAATGGTGCTCCTACATGTCCTAGAACTGAAGTGTAATGGGTGAGATGATGGATATAGAAGTTCCTAAGGAGGTTGCCAAGCCCATGACCGTCTACGTATGGGACATGGACGAGACGCTTATACTGTTTAAGTCCTTGTTGGATGGGACGTATGCAGCGGCCTTTGATGGTTTGAAGGACACAAGAATCGGTGTTGAGATTGGGAAGCGTTGGGAGAACCACATCCTTCGAGTTTGTGATGAACATTTCTTCTACGAAGAGGTTAGTTTGTCTAAAGCTGCTACTTTTCTCTCGTTTGTTTTTACTCTGTACATCTTGCTGTCTCTGTCCATGATTTCATTAGGATGGAACCTTGTTTCATGGACCCCTGGCATTCCTATCAACTTATTGGGGCACCGACTGATTTAGAGGGCCAGGCAACATCTTGATGGGATGTAGGAAACTCGGAATGGCATACATTTAAGGGCTGATCTAGTAGTTAAAAATTGGCAGCTTTAAGAGTTCAATTTGAAATTACGAGTGTATAAAATAGTTTTTTTCCTCCAATTTTTTGTGAGCACACTGGTCTTAATCAAATTTTGATTTCTTATCCAGCTAGCCCATGCCAACGTCAGCACACACGTCACCTTTTATGTAGAATATGATCTATGAATAAGAAGTTTAGTATTTGTCTCTCTATGTTCCTGGCACTACTCATATTCTTTCTCACTTATGTGTTGCAGATTGAAAACTACAATGAGCCATTTCTTCATTCTTTGAGTGAATATGATGATGGGCAAGACTTGTCGAATTATGATTTCAACAATGATGGGTTTTGTTTCCCATATGATGATTCCAACAAAAAGAAACTTGCATATCGACATCGCTTAATTGCACAGAAGTACTCACAGGTGTTGAAGATAGTTTTTATTTTTCAGTCCTTTTCATATAAAAATGTCAAAATGATTATTACATCTGCAATACCTCTCTGCATGTCAACTTTCATTACAGGTTTCTGAGAAAAAAAAGATAAGGATAAGAGTTGCAGCACTTCAAAATGCTCTTACATTACTTATTAGGCCCATCTTTTGAGGAAATACTTTCATGAAACTTAATTATGCCTGATTTTTCCTCTTTTACTTTGAACCTTTCTTGTAGTTTGCTAAATTTGTTCCACCTTAGACTGATTGATTCAACTTCTTGGTTGAACTGTCTTGTCTACGGGTTGTCGCCTCTCCTCTTTTCTGAATATCTTTGAAGCAGTGTTCTATCTGACTCCTCTTCACAGAATTTTTGGCGCGCAAAAGCTTTTGATATCATGTAAGGACTTTCTATTGCTTGTAAAATGTTAAAGAGCATGAACAGAGTTTTAATACTGTGATGTCTTTGCAATCCAACTGTATTCACTGTATGTTATTCCTATCTTATGCCATGAAACAAGTGTGCTGTCATACAGCTTTGGAATATTAAATTTTCAAAACTTGGTAAGGCATCTGTCTCTGATTGTCTTGCAGAAATATGATGTGGCTATTGGTTGACTTTGCTACTACTTATGTTACTGTTTACTCTTTCTAAACTTCCTTCTTTTTTCTTAATTAGCACCTAATTCTTTCATCAAATAAAGATTTTTAGTCATGAATCGATGCAATTGGCTCTGATTAGGGTAGTACCTTGTCAAAAGCAAACTATACCTTATTTGGTTAAGCTTTGAATTTGAATTATTGAATTATTGACCTCATATGTGGTCAAGCTTGGCCCATCTTGGACTTTGGTCCTTTTTTTATGGAAAATGAGTACAACATGAATTACATGGGTTTTCTTTTGTCATAATTCTTACTTCAATGATATGCTTACTGCTACATATCGAGAAATATGCAATTTAATTTGTTTGATTAATGTAACTGTTTTATCCCTGTTTTTTTGGATAGGATATCTTAATGTATTTGATAGTGGACTCTCGGTTAATGCAGGGTTTAAATAAGGTACTCAACCAAGAGATGATTAAGCTCTGGAATGATTTATACAATTCGACTGATAACTATACGGATGGTTGGCTTTCTTCTGGTATGTATTTTGACTACAATGTTCTTCTTAATGTACATACTACTATCAATTGATCATGGTTTAGTACTCTTTTATGTTAGATCTCATTATGTTTGAAATATCAATCCACCTGATGCAGGACTGAGTAGAAGACTACTAATTTATATAATGTTGTGGGAGCAAAAATTTTAAAAATTATGAACCTTTTGTGTATTGAGTGTTTTTCTTTTCAAGACCTATGTTCCCAGAGAATGATGAGTACCAACTTGGATATTCAATATTATTATGTTCTTTGTGAACATATTATGAATTTTGTTAATGTAGCTGCCTGTTTCTAGAAACTTTCTATAAAAAGATTTCTGCAGCTAAGGCCATTAAAAAAGTGAACTATTAAAGCACTAAATCTCGACTTGATTCTTCAATTTCTAATGACAAAAAATATCAGAATCTTCCACGATCGCAATGCAGTAGATCTTGCTGTCTTGTGCTCACCAGTTTTCATGATATTGATGCTTTAATCTTTATCAGCTTTTACACAGTAAAAGAAATTTTAATTTTTTGTTCATTGCAGGACATGCATTGTTGGAGCAAACTATGGGTAAAACTAGCTTTTCAGCTAGTGATCTTTCGTCAGATATGGAACCTGGTTCTATCACAACCAAATGTCAAAATATCAATGTCTTAGTCACTTCAGGAGCCCTGATTCCCAGTCTTGCCAAGTGTTTGCTTTATCGGTTGGATGATGTAATCTCAGCTAATAACGGTAAGTGTTTTATTTTTTTTTTTCTTTTCTTTTTTTTTGTTGCTTATTTCGATATGGATAACTGTATCAAGTTATGTTTCATGGTTCAGAAACTTAGGGGAAAAAATAATAACAATTTAAGGAGAAAAAAAATGGAAAAGAATGGATCAATGTGGGTTACAGCATACTGGCTGACATATGGAAATTGCTGAATCTGAGTTATTAAATTGGCTATACTGAAGGCCATAAAATTTAGGCATGTGCATATTTTTTTATACTTTCTGCATGAGATACACATCTTGTAAACTAGGTCTACTTGTTCTTAGTTCAGAAAATTGAGATTGTTCAAGGTTTCTGGATACGGTATGCATATGCTCAAACTCATAAACTCTGGTCTTGTTAGCCCTTCTCCGGTCTTTCTTAGATGGATAACTTGGTTCTCCCATGGAATGGCAATATAAAATCCATTTATGTGCCTTATGTTACTAAATGCATATTGATGTAGTAAATCGAATAATCACATATAAGATTTGCACTGCATGGGAGAACTATGTCGAGCGCTGTTTAATATGTGTGATCATGTTGTCCCATGAATCATGATTATATCTCGGAGCATAATCAATTGTGTATAGTTGAATGTTTCCGTAAGAATTGCTAAAATTTACATTGCTCCATAGTTTACAGCTCCTGGGAAGTAGGGAAGCTTCAATGCTTTTCATGGATCAAAGAGCGGTTTGGTGGCCCGAATGTCCGATTCTGTGCAATTGGAGATGGACCTGAAGAATGTGAAGCTGCCCAAGCGATGAGATGGCCATTTATCAAAATAGATCTGCGACCCAGTAGCCCTCATCGGTTTCCAGGTCTTGATATGAAAATGGTTGGGAGCTATATTGATGTGATATACGGAGCAGCAGATGCTGGTGCAGAAGAAGAGAAAGAGTAATTGGATGCCACACATCCACTGAACCTGTCCCTTTGTTCCCAAACTGTGACCAACTCTTCTGCTTTCTTCCAACTATGATCTGAATGAACGAATCATGGATTCACGAGCTTTTTCCTGCACATAAGGATTTGAATAGAGTTGCGAGGATAATTCTCTGTAAATAGCCATCCTTTTATTGGTTTTTTCGAGCTTTATGACCAATGCTAGCTGCTTACTCGTGTAGTTTATGTAGCATAACTATCCATTGCTCGAATGGATGGTTAATTTTGTATAATACAGTAGAGATCTCATTGTGAAACTTTCATATTATATATTATATATTATATTAATATGACTTGAAACTTTGTAAATTGAAAATTTTAGGTCAACCATCTTACTTCTCCACATTTATGTAATTGATGTGACTCTCACATAAAAGGGAGATTGATAGAATGGATGAAAGAAACATTGTTCCACAGGGTCAATGAATCAAGCCCCAAGCTTTGCTATATGTACATTAGATATGGGTCCAGGTTTCTGTGATGTGGAGTGCAACCACTCTGAGGATGATATTTGATTCTTAAATTTTAATTTAGTCATCTAATAATCAAAATTTTAACTAATTAAATTAATTATCATTCTTCAAAACTTTAACCTTTGGTAACCCTAAAAAAGATGAGGAGGAATAAAATGCTATGACTGAGCTATGTTGAGTCAACCTTTACGTAACCACATGGAACTAAACTACCTTTACGTAACAAAAATTACTGCACACAGTTATGTTGAGTCGACCTATCAAAAATAAAGCTCTTATTTATCCTCAGAATATGGAAAATTACATACATAATGAATAGACAATGCTAATATATTATTGTGTGACAATATTTCTATTTTATCGATTAGCAAAAACTAATTGGTTGCCATCAGCCAAGTCATAAGCTTCTCTTGCCTGTGTATGTTTACTCACACTAATGAACAATCTTGCAGACTCAAAGTAAGGGAAATATCGAATTATATCGACATTTTGGCTCTAAAATCCAAGCTTAGCTGATTGAAAGAGAATAAGCAATAAACCTTATATTTTCCCCCCTTTTTTAATGACCATGACAACTGCAACGTCAATAAATTTTAATGTGAACAGTGCTGTTCCTAAGTAATTCTCTTGCATACAGAGGTATAATGCAAAAGATTGAACAAAAGTAAACAATAATGATGATAATAATAATGACAAAACTTAATGATTTTCAAGCGATCATCTTAAGAACAATTAAATCTTGTTTGCCTTAATCTACAACCTAAAGAAATCTGAAAACATCCTACAGTCATGACAGACACCATATGAATCTCTTGTGCAGGAGATTAGTCAATTAGAAAATAAGATGTTGGCTATTCATTTATGTGCAGGCAGATGCACATCAAAGATCTTTAGGACGTCAGAGAGATGTTGGTTCCAATAGAGCATCACAAGATAGAATCAACACTTAAGGTTAATGTTTCAATAAATTGACATTATGAACACATAGCATGATTTCAGTGACATCTTGCATGCTACCTGTTGCATGCCACTAGTAACTTGCCTTGATATCTGAAGAAAGAGGGTTATCAAGCCAATGTTTCATCATTTTCACGATGTTATGTTATTTTTGTCTGAAATGTTGATCTTGGAACTATCAAAAATGAAGAGGAAAAGAAAAAGAGCAGACATCAAAATGCATACTTCAACTCAATAGCTTCCATCTGTGGTACATCTGAACTCTTGCCATTAAGATTACCATGCTAATTCATGCAAAACCTTATACCAAACTTCATTTGAGGCAGATGCAGAAAGAAAAGGGACAAATTTATAAAGCATGTCATAGAATTTGCATCAACCAATCAGCATAATGTTTATCATCTTTCAATGGACTTGTTTAAAGCTGCCAAAGCTAAAAGTCCAACTAAGTCATGTCATATTGCTAAACTTTAAACAAGGAAAAGAGACAAATCATTTGTATGTTTATATACGATGTATGAACTGAGTGGGAATGTTGCTGAATGGGTTTCAGCTTTGTTGATCCACTGGAGGATACAGTGACAGAAGAACAACTCACATCAACTTTCTTGTGAACATTCATGATCAAACATACCTCAGATGTGAATCAGAATAAAACAGATTTAGCGAGTTCGACGCACATATATAAGCACTCGAGAGAAAGCTAATTATGTATTAATCCAGAAATGATTCTCTGAAGCAAAAAAGAAAAAAAAATTAAGCTTCTGGCAAAAGCATGAATAAGAATTTTAGACAACAATTAGGTGACAAATCATAAAACACCTAATAAGATCAAAGATATCACCTATACAACATGCATTCATCCCCAAAACACATACAAAAGAAAAAGGAGCGAAGATAATAACCCAAGAAAGAAGAAAGAAAGCATAGAATGGAGATCATGCCATATGATGTACTGCAACTGCATGACTTCAAGTAGCAACAGTGCAAAAAGAAAGAGAGTTTAAGACGATCTAATATAAGTGCCAAGCTTTGCAATAAAGTGGTTCTTGATTTCTCTTGCTTTAAGAACAAAATCTGCAATGATAAGTCCGAAAACTATCCCAAATGTTCATATTTTTATATATCACATATTTTAATCGTGAAAAAGAAATGTTCAAGGACTAATTGGTCTTCAGATAAGAAAGAAAGAAAGAACAACGACATATCTACGGACGAAATGAATAGATCGAGTTCGAAGAGTACCGATGTCATAGGTTCACTAAAGACTCAACATCTACTTCTTGTTGCCGTCAATGGGACTTGGAATCTAAGGTTTTGTCATGTTCCAAGAAGTTTAGATTTCCCATGCAAGGATATATACATTATATAGTCCCTCTGGAAAACAACAGCACATGCACACGTGAAATCATTTGAAATCCACCGGATGGAAGAAATAACATAAAACAACACAAAAACTCTATCAGAACATGGCTTTCGGTGATCAAAATATTATAGAACACCTTAGACATAATCGTTTGGTGAAGAAGCATTATAATTTAGGAGATGAGAAGAGAGTATTTTAAGTCCATGATTTGTGGAAATAGAGTAGACTTTCGATGAAGAACAGAAAATGACGGCATCGCAATAAAAAAGATATGCACATATGTTTTATTGAAGAGGCATTACAGTTTAGGAGATCGAAGGAGGAGGGAGAGAACGATAGCTTAGCAGTAGTTTAAAGCCCGTGATAGAGTAGAGTTTCCATGAAGAACAGCAAACAACATGGTCTTAGGGAATAGAAGACCACACATCCTCGTACACTACCTAATATAGCAACGATTCCACTCACAAGTCTCCGGCAGATGTTGATCTAATGGCACCATGGCCGGTGGATCAGTACGGCGGTCGGCTCGGGACGGCACTCCCGGGCCAGCCGCCGTGTCCGTCCACTGGCCAGGGCGGCATGCTGAGCGGCAAATTGAAGAACTGCAACCCTGACGAGGGGTCTCGAAAGGAGGCGCCGATGCCGGCAGTGGTTGCTCCACCAACGGTCGGGCTCTGAGACATGGGAGGATGTATCTCTAGCTGCGGCTGCTGCTGCGGTGGCTCCTCCTCCTCTTCGAGCGGGAGCCGCTCGTAGGCGACTTTGGTAAACGTGGCGCCGATCACTATCACCGGTCCGGCGGCGATGAGCTCTCCGACGACGCTGCCCCCGATGACCTGCCCCTGGCCGCCGACCAGGAAGATGGTGAGGCTTGTAGCTCCAGGGGGGGCGGGCGGGGGGAGGAAGGAGCCTGAAAGGGACAGGATCTCGTAGTGTCCATGGAGGGAGACGATAGGCGTCCCCGCGGAGGGGGGCTGACGGAGGGTGACGTTGGTGACGGCGCCGCTTCCGCTAAGGACGGACACGCCGCGTTGGCGGCGGCAGGCGTAGGTCGCGATGCAATCGAAGACGTCGCACCCACTGCCGACCTCCAGGATATGCGCCCGCAGGGTGTTGGCGCTCTCCCGGGTGATGATCACCGGCGGCTTCGGCCTGTTCTTGGAGCCCGGCGGTCGACCTCGGGGGCGGCGCACCACGACGTCGCCAGGGCCAGCTGGGGCCGCGAGCTCCAACCCCTGGGATCTCGGCTCCTCGGAGGAGGCGTCGCCAGCCGCTTGTGCAGGGGGAGATTCGTCGGGGTCGGGATTGAGGTGGGGAAGATGGAGGTGGAGGGGATGCACGAAGCGGGAGGCTGTACCGAGGTCTAACCCGGCCATGCCCGGGCGGCAGAACAAAGTAGTGCAGGTCAGGAAGCTTTTCTGTAGTAGATTAAGGTGGAAAGGATAAAAAATTCTTCATATAGGTATAATACTTTATATGTATATGTATGAGCGAATCAAAAGGAATAGAGTAGGGAATTTAAAGTTGTGGAAGAGGATTCTATCTATATCAAATGAACCTAAAGGCTACAAGAAAGGTGTGAAGAGAGGTGGAGCGGTAGAAAGAGAACTACAAGAGAGCTGAGAGCTTGACAGAGTCAAAAGGACTTCAGAGACAGAAAAGGAAGCTGGGGAGTGACTACTGCATTGGAGTTGATGATATTTGGACAGGATGGTGAGGGCCGAAGGGGAAGAAAGAGAGGTGGGGGTGACATTTTGGTGTCTGATATAATGCCACAACGTGATGGTGATGTCTATGTTTGCGGAGGGATTATATTAATGGTGGAATAGTGTTATATTGTTTGTAGACTGTGAACTTCAAGGGAAGGATTAAACTCAGGGTTCAGAGAGAGAGAGAGTAATAATAATCTACAGCACTTGGGTTGATGCGATGACCATAACATCTTGAGGATTGACTTGGCTTCGAATGAAGGAGTATACCACACAAGTTCTTGCGCAAGACTTCCACCATGTCGATGGTTTTGGGTTCTTAGCTCTGTTTGGAATGTTTCATGTTTTATTGAAGTCTAAATTACGTTGTTTTATTTGCTGGTTTCAAACATAGCACGCACCAAAGGATAAATGGGAAACGTTCTTTCTCTCAAATCTATCCATTTACTGGAGGAAGAAATCTGATCTGAACTTAATCTGATTTGACCTCCGAGTGATGTCTCAACCAACTTGGAATCTTTCATATTAAATATTTCAGGCATTTGTTTGATATTGACAGTCACAACCTTCTTTCTTTTCTATTACATCTTCTTATCTTCGTGTCTAACATATATATATATATTATGACGTTGCACTAACAAGCAATAGTTATAAAGACTAATTTTCCAAGAAGATTGAATTTATTGTTACTTACAGATGGAAGATCAAAAAACCCCTCTTTGTTATTTCATCAACTATATTTTTGGTGCAATTAAACGCAGGAAGAGAGGACGGGTTTTGTGCATGAGACTATAATCTAGAGAGGATCAATCGGACAGTCTTCCAAATAGAGAGGCTATTCTCGTGCCTCTAACTTTGATCGCATAGTGCCATGCGTTGGGACAATGTCACGTGGTAGCGCTAATGGTGTCAATCATTACGATGGCAGACAACAAAAGCTCAGATGCGTAAAGCTAATACAGGAAATTAATTAGGCGTTAATAAAAGGACAGAGGGATAATATACAGAATTCCAACTCGATCCAAAGAAAAAAGTATTACATTTAGATTCGCATTAGATCTATCAATAAAATGCACCAATCTTAAACATTCATTATCTTAACCTCCCTTTGAATCATTGAAGTCTGCAACTCGGAGGAGGGACGAGGAGAGGCGGCTGAGAGGGAAAAAGCTGTTGCAGGGCGAGAGGATGGTGGTAGCAGTTCACGTGCACCTCCGAGTCAAGGCAGTGGCGGGGCAGAGCCACCGTGGCCCTGTCGGCCACGAGCACAGCCCGTCGCTTTCCTCGGGAACGCCTCTCTCTCTCCCTTCCCCATGCAACACGCATTGAGAGGCGTTAAGCGGAGAGGGAGACGGTGCGCGCCCGCAGATCCCGGGCAAGGAGTGGAAGGGAAAACAGAGTGTGACTTTGTACTTCAGATGGATAGAAGTAGCAGGTGATCGAAGTACATGCTATGATAACATTCAAAGAGATCGTCTCATAGAATGTTTCAGCTGAGAGAGCATCCTGAAGCACTTTTGGACTGCTCTCGCAACATCGATTGATGTCTTCGATACAAGTGAAAGGGAAAATACTGGACATGTCAACACTTCAAACAGTCGTCCGAAGCAGAAATAGGTCGTCTTATATTATAATTGCTTCACAACAAACTGGACACGCATACAAATCATATAGTACAAAGGAAAGCAGCTTTACATCTCGTGGTTTGCAAAGAAATCAAGAGTTAGAGGAGGACGAAAGGGTGGCAATTAGCGTTGTACATATACTTTTTCACCTGCTCTTCATCAGCTGCTAACACTACAAAGCGCAAACATGTTGATGTGAATGGCATTCTTTTTATTTTTCGGATCAAAGCACTATTGGTGTGGATGTGACGAGATTCTCTTCTTGTTCCTCCGACTGGCCGTCACGAAGACCATGGCCCTCACCCTCGTGCTCGTTGCTACACTCATTCGCCAGGATTCAGATGACCGGGGCCAACGGCGATGGTCCGACGAAGGTCCCATTTGGGGTAGGGGTAGGTACCTTGCACCATCATAACTCCACCTCACATGTCAATCGTCAAAGGGACAGAAGACGAAAGCTTCTTCTTGTTCAAGATAAACAGCCCGTGAAATCTACTGTCAAAGAGGACTGTCATCTCGATCCATCTTTGGGCTTGGAAAGATTCGCCAGATACGTTAACCTTCAAAGAGGAGGCACCACCTAACTTCCTTCCATCATTTATGGTGCCTAGATTTTGGGAATATGCTCCAAAGAAAAATGATGACTTCCACAGAATCTTGAGAAAGCACCTCTCACTAGATGATCTCAATCTAACCTGGATACTAGTATCAAAAGGTCATACAAAGAAAAGGAAATCTTGCTGCAAAAACAATTCTCTATGGATTACAAAAGGCATTATAGCTATAATTAAAGAAAACATATTATATAGTATCAAAGAACTGCAATAGAAAATTCAGACTAACTACCGATCAACTTACCGTTCAGCAAGCGAAGAGACATGCTTAATTAGAATGGTAGAGTGAAACAGTAGAATATTGTGCTGTCAAGTGTCAACTGGAGATTATTATTGCTCCAGATACTGAAGATGTCTGCATTTTATACGCATGTTAGATAGCAACAGTGCATAAAAGATAGGGAGTTTAATGCATCAGTTAAAGACAAAAACGCAAGCATATGCGAATGGATTTATAACTTAGTAAAACAAATTCAGGGATTTTTCGATAAAATAAGAACACATGACTAGCGATATTGAACTAGGAAGATTGTGTGTGAATCTTGTGAATAAACCTACTAAGGCATCAAAAGATCCAGCATAGAAAAATGAAAACCTGTCCGGGAAATAGCATTATCACGTATTCAGTTTACTGCTTGTATGTTATGGTAAATAACTTTTTTAGCCGTGGCCTCGGGGTCGTCCCGACTTGGTTTGGGTCCGGAAGGCGAGGATCTCCGTGGGGGCGCTCCTCGGGGTCTCCCGGCGGCCGAGCACGGTGGTTCGGGTCGGGAGGTCGGGTCGGGAGATCGTATCGGTAGGTCGGGTCGGTAGGTCGGGTGGGGAGGAAGCTCCGCCGCAGCCCCGGGTTGGTAGTTCGGGTCGGGAGGAAGCTTCGCCGTAGCCCCGGGTCGGTAGTTCGGGTTAGGAGGAAGCTTCGCCGCAGCCCCGGGTCGGTAGTTCGGGTCGGTGGGTCGGGTCGGGAGGAAGCTCCGCCGCAGCACTGGGAAGAGTCGACCCCGTCTGGCACCTGCACAAAGGTCGGGCCGAGGCGCTCGGCCCGACCCCTCCGACGGCCAAGTTAGCGATGTGGAGGGGGTTTCAGATGAAGAAATGTTTGGAGTCGCCCCTTAGGCGTTGTCTGTCTCCCCTCTCCCCTTTAGCATGCGAGGGTATTTATAGGGAAGCTTACTGTGCTTGATGTGCCCCCTTGCAGGGGCAGGTAGCGTCTGACACTGGCATTGGCGTAGCGTGCGAGACCGAGCTTGGGCAGAATGTTTAATGTGCCTCGGTCGACGTTCTGATCCGTTTGACTAGGTGCTGAGGTGTGATGCATCATTTGGGACAGGTGACGTCACCCCCAGTCTTGCCGCCATTATTTCCCTCATCAGTTGGTACTTAGAATCATGAAGGAGAACTCATTTGGATCGAATGACAATGTGCCTTGTAATTAATTGATGAGGCGTATTGATAGGAAATGATAGCTTCAGTATGAAACAAGCAATTCCTTGAGAGACAATGTGTCACCCACCATTCTTTTGTTCTTGATTTACTCGTCCACGGGAACTCTAATATGTCCTATGATTTGTCATTGTCTGACCACACCAAAATTTCCTTGAAAGATACTCGTCGCTGACATTTGACTTTACATGTGATAGCATCAGCAATGAACAAGCAATTCCTGAATCCCACGATCTCGATGAACTTGGTTTAGAAGGGAAAAAAATCTTCTCTTCTTCCCAAATACTCGCCAAAGAGTCAATGATGGTGGCGTGTGAGATCCACCTTCTAATGCGAAACTAGTTATACTTTCTAATACGAAACTAATCAAAATAGTTGAATCACGTCTAATATATTATTATATTTGTCTAACATTGTCAACACGATTAAGATTTGTTCTTCCAATTTTATTAGTAATCCTCGTGATATCTAATTTAGATTAAGACATTGTTTCCTTTATTTTGTTGTACTCAGCATCAATGTCTCTTTCCTCTCCCCCCCCCCTCTTCATTCTTTCCTCTTCCAACATGCTCTTTCTCCCCTTTTGTTTTTACTCATTAGCCACTTTTGCTTCCTCTGCCTTTGGTGTGCTTCCTCCTCATCTATTTCCTCCCCCACCTCTGTCTTCTTAGTCTTCTGTTCCTTTGCCTCCTCCCACCTCCTCCATCTTTGCCTTATCCCTCTACATCTTCTCCCTTAAAATTTAAAAATTATTAAAAATAATACTAATTATTTTAGAATTATGTCATAATAGTCTTATTAAAGTTTTTATTGGTTTAATATGAAGTTGACTAAGGTATAACTTGAAATTGAACTAAGTTATACTTGGATCGTTGAATCTCTTAAAAAAAAAATTAATTTTAATAATTATTTATTATAAAATTCCTTCAAAAACTAAAAAAGGATATTAATCCTACTAGAATTATATTCTTATGGTTATGTGAAAATTTAAATTAGTTTAGTAGAAGTTGATTAAGTTATGGTAGAAATATAACTAAATTACACTCGATTGTAGTATTTATTTAGTAAATTTTATATTTTGATAAATCATCAAAAACTAAAAAAGTGGTACTAATTATGTTATATCACGTGCATGAGTTAACGTGTGTAGATGGAGCCGTTGAGAATTTTAGCTAACGGCCGGCTTAAGCATGCATGCAGTAGCAGTTCCCTCCCACTGAACAAAAAGAAAAAAATAAAAATAAAAATATAAAGAGGAGCCTTCGACGTTCCTATAATCTCACGCACTCGGGTCCCACGCGGTTTTCTGCCCTGTGGGTGCCGATCAGTTCATAGGCACCCGTTTAATACCCGTGTTATTATTGGAAAGAGGAGAACTCCGCAGCCTCCCATGCCTATCGGGAGACCAGGTGGAGCCCAACGTGGAACCAAAGCCAGTCAAGGCATCACCACACTTAGAATCTTTTAATGGTGAAGACACCTTTTCTTTTTTGTATAAATTATTTTTTTAATTCAAACCTTCGAGAGACCGACCCATTTCTCGCATTTGTCGCCGAGATCCGCGTTCCTCTCCTTTGTCCCCCAAACCCTAAATCTTGATCCCCATTTCCGGCTAAAGCTCGCTCTCATTTCCTGCCAATCCATATCCGAGGACAAATCCGTCGTCCCTGCTGCGGGCAATCCTCGGGTTCGCCTCGTCGTCGTCCGCCATGTCGCGGGCTAGGGTTCCTCGCCCCTCTCGCGGCGCTCGCGGGGAGGGGCGTTCGGTATACGACAACTGGGAGCGCCTCGTGCGCGCCACGCTGCAGAAGGAGCAGCTCCGCACCTCCGGCCTGGGTCCCGGTGGCCGGCCCGCGGAGGGGATCGCCGGCGCCGTTCCCCCTTCGCTCGTATCCACCAACATCGACCATATTCTGCAGGCAGCCAACGAGATCGAGGATGAGGATCCCAACGTCGCCAGGATTCGTGAGTGTTCTCTTTCTAGGATAAGAATCTTTAAGTGCTAATATTTTAGGTGGGGATTTGCCTTTGTGCAGCCTGTCTACCTGTTCTTGGAAACCTGTTTCTAGGGTTCGTTTAAATTCTTTCTAAAGAATATAGATGCAACGATCCCGTTAAAACAGCTGGTTGCTCTATATCATCAGAGGCTACCATGTGCTACTAGTCGTGTAACATCCAAACTCTGTCTATCTTCAGGTCCCATTCTTGACATTCTGTAAGCTGGCTATTATACCCGCCTGTAAGGTCCCAAAATTTGAGTTCCCAAAGTTTAGCTACAACTTCTATAAGTTTGAAAAATAACACGCTCTTAAGAATCGTAATGATAATTAGCAAAATTCTATTTTGTCATTTTGGATATCGTCTTTGTTGATATTGTCCAGTAACATCATATAGTTGTTGTATGTTAGGCTTTTCTGGTCATTCAAAATTATTCTTTGCAGTGACAAATGTTTGATAATTTTATTTGTTGTTTTGGATAAAATCACAATATACCTTCATGATCGTGGACTCATCACATTACATCATTCTCTTCTTAGGCTATGTTGTTGTCTTCTATCTTCTAACTTGTCTTCTTTACACTATCTTGTAATTTGCTTTGGTCTTCCTTACGCTTTGTAGTCTAAGTACTTTTAAGTTACATCAACCTTCCCTTCATTTGTTCCTTTGATGTTCACATGTCCTTCTCTCTTTCCTAAATTATAGAAGGATCCTTTCATGGAGAGTGGTCATGAAGTTTTGACTGGAAAGTTACAGTGTTAAATTTATATGAAACCACAGGTTTTGAGTCACGTACAGTTTGGTTACCACAGAACCTTGATATTAAGGGGGTCTATCGAGTTATTGAGACCTTAGCTCAGCTGTGGAATTACCAAATGTTTGACATTGTCTGTTAATGACGATTGTCTGGTTCAATTATTCAGATGGCCTTAGTAGGGGATGCCACTAGTCTGAAGTAAAACTGGGTTCACCTAGTGTCCTTGGTCGTTTTGGTTTCAGGGGTTCGTGGTCTGGATTTTCCAAAATTACCTTTGTTTCTCTTTTGGGTTAACAAGATTATTAACACAATAATTTCTTCTTGATTTGATAAACTTCTATCATCATCTTCATTATTGTTTCTAGGTACATACGATGTTTCTAGGTGTATTACCCTGTGCATGTAGTTTCTGATAATAAGTGATGTAAGGTCACTTTAGTAGGAACTGAAACTCTTTTAGGCCAAGAGTACATTCCTCTAGTCTGTAGATGTTATTAAAGTAATTTTGCTTGTATTCAATGAAAAGAACTTCTGTTTGGAGGTTTAAATATATTGTCTTCTCTTGTCTTTAATCTGTTCTCTTATCTTGTCTTTTACTTTTGTACACCTTGTATTTATTTATTTTTCATTACATGTGGCCCATGATTCATTGGGTAATGAGCATTGTTATTTATTGTGTTTGTAGACTCTGTTTTGCATATTTTGTTTCTTTTAGCTGATTTAGATCTTATTTATTGCGGAAGGATGTATTAGTAATAAGAAATGAACAGCTAAATGTCTTAAATCAGAGTGTGCTCAGAAGCTAATTAAACGGGTTGTTGTGAACATTCCAAATTAAACAACGCGAAAGTTCTATAAATATTTTATTCTTCTTGAAGTCTATGCAGAATAATTCTATGTTTAGTTTCTGGTATGATTTGTCTGCATTTTCAGTTCACTTGGGATACATTGTGTTCAAGTTTCCACTTTCTGAAGGTCTAGAGTTGGGAATATTGCTTCAAGTGTTGAGATGTGCTTTTCTGCTCGTTGGTTTATGTTATTGCTTGGTGAATTTCCTTTATGGTTCCTTCTGTCTGTGTGCTCTATTTCCAAGACATCCATTGTTGTTCTTGTGGAAGGAGGTTTTTGAATCTCATGTTTTTTCTGCTAACTACATTATTTATGAATTATGATTACTGTTATCTCAGCTCATGTTTCATTTTATGCTCAGTTTGTGAACAGGCATATACAATGGCACAAAATCTGGACCCTAGCAGTGCAGGCAGAGGTGTCCTGCAATTCAAAACTGGTTTGATGTCTGTTATCAAGGTAGATAATAGTATCTATATGGAATTTGGTTGTTCTATTTGGTTGTTTTCCAATCACGTATATTTTCTATCATTTTAACGTCATTAAGTTTTAATTTGCTCATGTTCTGCAATTCTGTGGATTTGACATGACCTATTACAGCAAAAACTTGCCAAAAAGGATGGAACTGCAATTGACCGTGGACACGATATTGATCTCTTATGGGAGTATTATGTGAGGTTTAAGAGGCGTCATCGAGTTGATGATATCCAGAAGGAGCATGAAAGATGGAGAGAATCAGGAACCTTCAGCACAGAGTATGATTTTTGTTATCCCTTAACCTCTAAAAGGCTCAGTAATTTTTTTGAAACTAATAGGCATGTTTTTCCAGTGCTTATGTACTCTCCTCGTTTAAAAATTGTCCTGACACTGCTTATCTATTTCTTTCATTCCCATGATGATCAATTTAGTAGGTTGTTTTCTTGAAATCCCCTTTCCATATTTTCATTTTACATGTAGCTCCAGAATATGTAATTTAATTGTCGTTTATCAACTTTATCTTAACTTTGATGGCATAACTCTGGTAGATAGTGTTTCACAAACAGTTTAATGAATTATCGAGGAAGAAGGAAAGAATAGTTGCCTATTTGCTGCCTGCTTGCGGTGATGGAAATATGTTACTGTATCTAGGATCATAAATTTAGATGTGAGAAATTGATTATCTTATAAAATAAGTCTTTAAGGACTGATCAGACTTTCTGTTTTCCTTTCTTCTCTGATCCATGTGTTCAGGTTATGGTTTATTACTCCAATTTCTTTAGTCCTTTTCTCTTTTTTATATTACTTTTTCGATCTGTTATAATGTCAGTTTTACTATATGCAAAAGTGTCATGTAGCTGGGATGACTGACACCAGTTCATCTGCAGTTATCAAAAAACTTTTGAATGACTATTAATTGTTTTAATTTTTACTAATTAGAAACTGTGTATACTTTGCAGTATTTGGTGATTCTTGTCGAAGCATGCTAATCATTTTCTTCAAAAACAGGATGGGAGTGAGAGCTGTCCAGATGAAAAAGGTTTATGCAACTTTGAAGGCTTTACTTGATGTATTGGCGGTGCTTGCTGGAGAATCAGCTTCCGATGGTGTTGGTAGACTTGTTATGGAAGAGGCAAGTAAACTTTTATGTCATAAGGGTTGATTTGTGCATTCTATCATATTTTTGTCTAGAATTAAGAATTTGCTACCTCGTTAGCTAGTAGGTTATAGCAAAACATAAATGTCAGGGGTTGAATTTTGACTACAAATTTGTCAAATGCTCTGATATGCCAATTCATCTGGTGTTGACCTGTGACATTGTCTCTTGAATTAATTAGTCATGTTGCCATCAATAAATCTGAACTTTGAGAAAAGGATTTGTGTAGCCGATCCCAGTTGTTAGGGAAAAGCTGTTTAGGATATCACTGGACACTGAACTTCTTGTTTCTGAGTTCTGAAAATTATTTAAGAGATTTATTTTGGTTTATCAGGTGATTATATGTTAGATTATCCTTGTTGCTGTGTAATTCTTTTTTCTTGGATTGTTTCAGGTGAGAAAAATTAGGAAATCTGATGCAACATTGGGAGGGGAACTAATGCCCTACAATATTGTACCTGTTGATGCCCCCTCTTTAACCAATGCTATCAGTTTTTTCCCCGAAGTATGTATACTCTTGTACTATTATGCCATGATGATTTATCAATACAAAGAGCAACCTATTTTTCTTTGTTAATTGAAATGTTTTTCTTTTGTGAAGTTAATGACTAATGAAAAAAGTTAGAATGCAACATCATGGTTGTCTTAGTATCCTTATCTGTATTGTAGTCATAAATGATGAGCTGGATAGAATTGATGGTGTGAATTAATTATTATCTTCTGCTTTATTCTGTTATAGTTTATGTTGGTTGCTATTAGATCGTAGCTTTTATTCCTATTACTATCCAGTCTTTAAAATATTTAATAATAAATGATCAACCTGCTAGAAATGATGGTGTGAATTAATCATTTTCTCTATAGTTCATGTTGGTTGCTGTTATTTATATGGTTTTAAATGCTGCAGTACAGGAACATATGGATCAATATTGACATCAAATTTTTTTTCTTGTTGGTCTACTGAGGCATTCCATACTCTACTGCTCGATATGTACTTGTCTGACATGACTCTGGTATGGTTTGGCGTACCATTAGGCAAAATCAAGTAATTTTTTGTTATTAGTTGACATATAATTTATCCAATGTGATACCTCTCAAAGTTGAAGGATGGACAAGGAAGAAGTGGAATTAGAAAAGAAATGATGTTAATACTCATGTATCTAGTAATAGGTATCATACACGCAAAAATGTTGTCACAGCCACCAAGACACGTTTAGAAGAGCAGTAACCATATAAATAGCCCATCATTTCTTGGATTGGAACCAATAAATATTTTAGTTTAACTTATATTATTTTTTTAACTTGTTTGATTCTTACAACATAAATTTAAATGAGTAAAATATTCCAAACAGTTGATAAAGTGATAGATAAAAGCTTTTAATATGAAATATATTTTTCCGCTGAAGTGCTATCAACTTTTTTTCCACTTTGCAGTTGTAACTAAAGTTCTTGTTGCACTGTAACCATGATTCATCATCTTGAATTTGTTTTGGATTTACACCTGTGCACATAGAGATTAAGTTCGCTGGAAGTTCTCTCAACCCAATGTAATGCAATCTTCACAATCAACATTTAGTGGACGCCTTGATCAGTGTAGTGCAATCTTCAGAATCAAAATGAGATGGCTAGGCGAGAGAGGTTATTGGAATTGAAGAACAGAGATGGTGGAAAGAGGGACGTAAGAGTCAACGGAAGTGGAAGTATGATGTTCTTCGTAAATTTGATTTTTTGTCAGAATGAAGTGTACAAAGCTGAAATGGTGGGCTTTCCCGAATTCAAAAGGGAGAGAGATATCAGTTTCTCCACAGAAGGATTTTTGGTTACGTAAACTTCTGGTATTAATAACTGAAAAATAAAAAAAAAGACCTTCAGATTTTAAAAAAGGACATCTGGGTTTACAATTTCCATACAATCATGGTGGAGTTAGGAATGAGATACCTGAGCTGAGTGGAATATGACATTTAAGAAGAAAGATGCTAGAAAGTCAGAGGATTTGATGAGATAAGAGTGATAGAAAGAGTTGGAAACTGATTCAAAGAGTGAATATATACATTTGGTTTGTTGGAAAGATTTGAACATGATAGAGGATAACAAAGTTTTCATGTCTTTTTTTTCTATTGATGTTCTGGCATTGGTACAATATATATGTTGGGACATCAGATGAGATGATCATGAGATTAAGTTTCAGTAGTAGATTGTAGGAGAGTCTGTTCATTTTGAGAAAGATTTGGTTGTAGATGAAGAAATCTAGAGAGAGATAAGAGAAAGAGAATGTGATTAGATGTTTTTAAGTGTGCTGTATATTATATTCAGTTTTTGGTGGTTGTAGATGCTTGAAAAATTAGATGAGCTTCTTGTAAAGCCTAGGAACCACTGTCACCCATAAATCCTTATTCTTTCAATTTTCACATGAAAACATAAAAATTTCTCTCATCACTGGTTTTTGCTAATTATAGTAGATAGATTGATATTTCTTATTATTTTGATAGATTGATATTTCTTGTTTTCTTCTTCATGTTGCCATTCTGTTGTCATATTGCATAGGTAGGTGCATGAAGATTTTGATATATGAAGCATACTTGACGAACTAGAAATTTAACTGATGTTTGGCTGTAGACTATTGGATACTTGACAATGAATTTGTTTCAAACCTCTGATATCCCCACAATAATATGTTTTATACTGTTTTACGTGCACACTATATTCCATATTCCTTGTTGGAAAAGAAAATTAATCTGGCTACTAAATTCATTATCGTGTTGTAATTCGTGCAGGTTAGAGCTGCAATATCTGCAATTGGGTACCCTTCAGAATTCCCTCGGTTTTCTGTTGATTCTCAAGTTTCTCAGCAAAAAAATCAGGATATGTTTGATTTGTTGGAATTCGTTTTTGGCTTTCAGGTTTATCCTTATTCTTTGGCCACTTGGTAGAACTTTTTTAATCACTTGAGAAAGGATATCCGTCTTGTCTTGCAGATGTGTCTACTGTCTAGTGCACAACAAACTCTTACTTGACTTTGGTTTTTTGGTTTATTATGAGTGTTTGGTCTGGGGGTTAACAACATGAAGTAGGTAGAACTTCATTTTTTGCATAGCTAGGTTGCACGATAATATCTTAATTTGCAATGTAATATGTCTTGTGTAAGAAACTATATGTATGATTTGCATTTTGTTTTATTTTTGCATTTTGTTTGATACCATCAGTTTCTGGAAAATGATCTTGTAAGGTGGTTTACTTTTAACCATCTTGTCATTGTCCAGTGATTGGAATATGGGTGCCACCTTTCAATTATCTATATGATCTTGAAATACTTGTTGAAGTTATTGTTGTTGAAGTTGAGAGTACCTTGAAATACTTGTTGACTATTGCACTTGTGCATCCAATTCTTCTGTATGTATCGTTTTCTTTTTTCACACACCTCAAGTCCTTCAGCTTGTCAAGGTCACATGATGATTTCTTCAAACATCAAAGGTATCAATTAATACATGGTACTTTGTACCGGTGGGATAGGTGCAATGGGAAAACAGGTACTGGGTTCTCCTCATGCTAGGCAGTGAGGATGCGGACAGGTTTATTTTCCTTGCTGGGGACTTTTGCCATTTAGTACTCTTTTGAGCTGTTAGTGGCAAACAAATTAATTGCGATGCTTTTGAGCTCTATTAGAAGCTACGTTGAGCTTCTTGAGCTTGGAGGAGAAATCTCCCTCCTGCTGACATTCTCTAGGTCCCTCCTATTGATTTTCTTTTGAGTTTCATGAGCTTTTCATATTCGCCATGAGATCTATTCAATTTATTGAAGAAGCTTAATTGCTAAAGGAGAAGGTTCAATTGAATCTCTTCAAGATTAGGTAAATCTGCTTAATCTTTGTTTAAGACTTAATTCAGGGGCTTCATTATATTATGAACTAATGACTTAATTAGAACTTGATTCACGGTTATTTATGGCTTGTTCCTTATTGATTGAGCCTAGATCCACAAGGTTTGAGGCTTGATTTGTATGAATGGTGCCTCATCCTTGCAGATGGAAGCTTCAACCACGAGGATGAAAGCTTGATCTTGTGGGTCTAGGCTCGATATGCAAGAATAGGCTTGATCTTTGCAGATGGAGGCTTGATCCTTGCAGATTGGAGTTTTGTTGGTTTGTGGTCATTCTCATATGAAGATTTATCAACATAATCAAATTCATAAATTATAAGAATAATTAATTCTTAACAAATAAAATTTGATCCACGAAGGTGTATAAAGGATCTAGGACCTAGCATAAATCTGGGCAACATCTATACAGATCCAAGCGGAACTAGCCTAGATCCATTAAGATCAATGGCTAGATTCATGCCTTTATCCTTGTAGATCGAGCCTCCCAATCTATAAGAATCAAGCCCCATCCATAAGGATCAAGGCGCTCATTGAGCCTAGACCCATATGATCGAGCCTTCATCCTTGCGGACGAAGCCTCGATTCGCAAGGATGAAGGCTCCATCCGCACGAATCAAGCTTCCTTCCTTGCGAGTCTAGGCATGATCCATAAGGGATCATAAATGGTCATGAATCAAGTTATAATTAAGTGGATTTACCTCATGTCTTCAAATTGAAGTGTCCCCTTTGTTAATCGAACTTATTCAACAAATTTAAAAATATTTTAGTAGGAGAGAAAATGTTAAGAATTTGGAAGCTCAAGACACTCAAAAGAATATGAGATGGAGGGACTAGGAGAATATCAGTAGGAAGATCTCTTCTCCAGCTCAAGAAGCTCAACCGAGTTTCTGATAGAGCTCAAAAGCATCTCTTTTGGGTACGGGGTGGTCTGGGTTACTGTTCCTCATTGGATTGACATGTACTGCCCAGTACATATGGGGCTGACCGTTACAGTGTACCATGGTTTGGTGGACTAGTTATTTAAGAAAGTTTTTAGAATAAAAAAGATCCCTAATGAATGAAGAATTTTCTCTTTTGATGGTAACATATAGAAGGAAAATATAAAAAGTTACTCTAATCGTGAGAAATTGACCTAATGAGCCATAGTGTGCAACTTATAGAAATAGTAATTGAAGTAAATTAGGAGTACAAGATGGGTATTTTTGTTAAGCAACTTATTTTTTTTTGTCAAAAAGATCGACCATAGGTACTATTTATTCATTAAGACATATAATGAAAAGAATATACAAAGAAGAAATACTTCAACATGACTTCTATTCACATAAAAAACCTTATGATATGGTTCCTAGAGATTTGTCATGATGGCTTTTTTAAGAAAGAGGGCAAAGGAGTATCCTGTAGTTATATTGGTACAACAAAAAATATGAATGATAGTGTTGTGTTGCCATTATTATTAGGGTTGTAGGTTTGTGTTGTTTCTATGATCTCAAAGTTACCCGAATAAACTGTTCCAATTCTTCTCTTTTTTTCACATTGGCAATGGATGGATATACTAGCCATTCATATGATTGTTCTGCATGGTGTATGTTGTTGTTGAAGATATTTTTTGACTGGTAGAGAGTTCTGCTGGATGTAAATCTGGATTTGATTCATGACACCATATTTCAGAAAATAAAGTTTTAGACCAAGTAGGACTATGTTTAAATATATTAAATGCAATTAGCAGTGCTAAAAAAAGTCTGTAGTGTGTCCTGAAGACATATGGAATGTAAGTTATTGTGCATTGAAGTTTTAGTTATATTGGATGTATTAATCAATGGAAGAAGAGACGAAGATGTTGTCCACAGAGTTAAATGGGTTTGTTAAAATGGAGAGGAACATGAAGTTGAGAGTTCTTCGTGATTATTATGTGCTTCATAGACAAAAAAAGTTGTGAAATAATTGTAAGACCAGTCATTTACCGTTGATCATAGTGCTGATTTATTAAAAAATAACATACAAAAAGCTAATGTAAATGTGATGAAAAATATTGAGGTTGACGTTTTAAGTTATTGAAAAAGATATTATAAGAAATGTTTTCATTTGCAAACACTTAAAGTGATGAGGAGCCATTAAGATGTTATATGTTGAAAGAATACATGCAGATTGCCTACTTAGATGTGGTGAGTCATCTGGTGTAAGTTGTGTCATAAGAAAACTCTAGCTGAAGCATAAATTGAGACTTGATTGCCCTTAGTTTAATTAAGAATATTGCCAAAGCAGAATTCAATAGCAGTCTGTTCAGTTAATTTCAAATAGTTGGGACGTTACGGCTTGTTATTGTAGATAAAGTTTCGAAAGCTGGTGGGACCAGTATGTGCGAACAGGTATTTATAGGTCTGACCAAAATACCGACATCGAAACATATATCTTGATTTCAGTACATATACTGTTTCTTTTTTTTTTAAATTTTTTATGTAATGATATAAACTTATAGATGAATGTACCACTCGAAATAATGGTACTATATTGGTCTGATAGGTTTGTGGAATTGCTATCTTTTTAGAACCTTGGTATGTAAAATGATGAACAATGTACAATAAAACTTGTCTCTATGGACCCTGAATGCTAGTAAATCTGAGGGGTAGAAATGACAAAATATTGCCCATTGTTTATTTTAAGGTGCAAGAGTTGAAGTCACCCTGATGCTATTAACTTTGGTTAGCAAGTAGACTTTTAGTTCTTTCCTTGTTCTGTGGTGCTGTAGCTTATCAATTATATGCGTGTTTGTTACTTTGTCTATGGTGAAATGACAAACACATATTTTTGTTTTACAGAAAGATAACATCCGCAATCAGCGAGAAAATGTCATTCTTGCATTAGCAAATGCTCAAGTTCGGCTAGGCTTACCTGCTGAATCAGAACCAGTGAGTAATTTTATCGTCTGATGTTATGACAAGTTGAATTTGTTGCTGTTTGTTTCTTACGTTCTTGAATATTGGATACATATTACGTACTTATTTTGTATATGAGTGTATGACTGGTTTTGTAAATCGTTTTTCTTGTGCATTCATTAGTCAGCTGCCAAAATTTATTGATGCCTATGAAAAATGTTCTAACTCACTACTTCATGCCGCCAAGTTGTTTCATCCCCCCAATGAACCAATGATTGTTTGGCACAAACGAAGGTTTTGATAGATGCAGTGTTCCTATAAGTGCTAGGGACTATAAGGCATCAAGGTTTCTAATGGCCCTAAGTGTTCACCTAAGCAAAACAAGGCATATACCTTATAAAAACTATAAAAGTATAATAAGGATAAATGTAATCATTTAGATAAGATTTTCAATCAAAACAAGAACCTCGTATTGTTTTGCCAGAAATATTCCACCTTGGGTAGTTTTCTCACAGAACATGCAATGATGATACCAGAGATCTTTTAGTTGTACTTCCATCCAGAATTCTTTTAATGTTTCTTGATGATTTCTCTGGCGTATTTTAGTTGTTCGTGTACTTTAAATGTAATTTGGATTGCCATGTTAAATTGATTAATTAAGACATGGAGCTCGGGAGAGAAGAAGAGGGAGGAGGAAGGGAAGATAAATTGGAGGAAGGAGTGGAGGATAGTGATGACTACTATTTTTGGCTGTAGATAAAGGAGATAAAAGAGGGGAAAGAGGAAGTCAGAGAGGGCAACGATACCTGGTGCAAGGCTTTAGAGAGAGGAAAAAAGAAGATGGTGGAGGCAGCAGGGTGCTAGTCACACATAATGGAGAGGGGTAGAGAATAATGAAGAAGAGAGAAGCAAGGATGGTGATAATGGAGCATTCACAAAGGGCGTGGAGAAAGTAGGGGAGGAAAAATGGAAGAGGGAAGAAAAACGAAAGGGAAGGGAGTGATGAGAGGAGTACAGGTCTCGAGTGGGCTTGAGGAGGGACTAATTGCATTGCTTGGTGGTACTAGGGTTTAGATTGGTTCAGAATTGAGATGCTGACCATCTTGGGTTTGGGTTGGGTTGACCTCACCCCAGGTGAGTACTAGGACCCCAGTGCCTCAGCTAAGGCGCTTGCCTAGGCGGCATCTAGTTGGAGGTGCCTTGCCCAAGGTCCATTGAGGTGTTCAAGTCTCACTTTGCCTTGCTAAGCGCCTAGGCGAGCACCTGAGAGCCTCTTGACATCATCGGTTGGACTATTTGTAGGTGTACCCATTTTTTGCCGTCACTTTTGCCAACTGTATAGTCAGATGAGGCCTTTGGATTGGGTCAATCTTTCTGTGCTATTTTTGTATTCATGGGTTTTGTTTTATCTTGTTGCAAAGGAAACATACACTTGCAGATTTAATGATAGAAAATGATAAAGAATGATGATAACCATCAATTAGCAATATTTATTATCTTGTTGAAACATTGGTTTTCAGCATTTATATGTTTAATTAATTCTTTTGAGATCATGAATAATCTGGGTGTAAGAAAATATTCCATTTTTTTTTTCTATCAACAAGCTCTAGATAGATCTCTTAGCAACGTATGCTGAAGGGAGGATCAGAATGTTTGGTAGTTCCTTCTGTATATGTTTGTTCTAAAACATTTAATGGCACTGTTTCATGGAGCTTCATTGTTGGACTACATGCATAGGCAGATGTTGTTTTTTTACTCAAGTGGATGAAGATTCTTGCTTTTTTTTTTAAAAAAAATTGAAGAGAGAAATTTCTGTAACTTCTCGTCAGGACATTTGATCTTTTTTGGTGGATTGTATTGCAGGTATAGGAAATTGAGCTATGGTTATTTTTGTATGATATACCTCTTAGACATGTAGAGATTCTAATCTGGTCATATTGACATTTATTCATGTAGATAAAATGTCTTAAGCTAGTTTTTCTTTAATGGAGAAAGTCGTTGGTCTGTTTTCCTTATATCTGAGTCATAATATTTGGATTTGATGAATACTAGGCAACTTTTAACTGCACTATTATGGTTGGGAGTATGCCTAATTTGCACGGAAGAAGAAGCTTCATTATAGTGGTTGGAGTTACTAGAATTGTGACTTCAAGTACAATTAACACAATTTCCTTCCAACTTGTACATAGTTTAAGGAAAAATCTGAAGACATTGGAAGCTCTGTATAGATGTTTTGGTTAGAAGCTAAGAAAAATATTAGACTTAGGTGTGGACATAAATCACATAATGCATAGAGAAGATTGATAGCAGTGATTACAATAGGCGCTCGGGCGAGGCAAGGTGAGGCCCGAGCGCCTCGCTTCATTTCCAGGCGGCGTGCTTCAAAGAGGCGTCGCCTGGGCGCTCGCCCGAGCGAAACCAGGCGACCAAACCATATTTTAAGGTCTGGTTGGTCTCCGGTGCTTTAGTTGGTTCAATCGAATCAACTAAATCACCGATATCATGCTTCCTCTCGTGATTTTTCCGACTTCCCCAACCCAACACTCGCGATTTTGCCATCGAGATTTCTTCTCCGCTGTCGCTGCTCTCTGCAGCCGCTGCCACTGTCGCTGCTCGCCGCTACTGTCGCTACTCGCCGTTGCCACAATCGCTCCTCGTCGCTGCTGTCGTTGCTCCCGCTGTCGCTTGCATCTCTCACTCCCATTCTCGCTGTCGCTCGCCGCTCCCCCTGTCGTCGCCACTCCCACTCCCACTCGAGCTACCGCTGTCACCTGCTACCGCTATTGTTGCCTCAGCAGCCTCGGTCTTCTCACACTCTTCTCATTATACTGTTAACGGTATATTAACAGTATACTGCTAACTGTATACTAATAATAGTATTTTTATTTATTAGATTAATAATATATTATTTTGATTTTAATAATATTATTATTTATTTATTTAAAATTATTGTTAGGTTTCAGAATAAATGGCAAGTGTACAAAGTAACTCAATAGATTTGATGTAAAATTTTATTGTTTTGATTTTTGAGACTTTTTATTAATGTGACATTGTGATTTTGTACCTGATTTTCTTAATTTAATAACATATTTTTATTTAAATAATTATATTTATTAATTATATTATATATTTTTATATTTTAGCGCCTTGCTTCGCTTGGGTGATCGCCTAGCGCCTCGGGCGTTTTTGGACCTTAGCGAGGGAGAGTGACATTGGCATACTGGTACAAAATCACTGATTGATAGGTGCTATATTGTTGCCGTACTAGTTTGAGAGAGAGAGAGAGAGAGTGACATTGGCATTCTAGTGTTTGATGGAGTTTCTGTTGTTGATTCCTTTGACTTTTTGCTCCTTAGGTAAGGTGTAGTTGATTTATTGTAGGTGGATTGATGTAGGAGGGAATCAATCAAATTTATGTGGCTTGCTCTGGTTATTTGCTTAACTTGTCATTGCTCTTTCCCATAGTATCTTCTCTGCATCATTAGAAGCCGTCAGAATTAGTAAAATTAGACAAGAAAATGTGGAATTATTAAATTTAACCCGACTAACATAACTAAAGTGGTTCCAAGAATTTTCTTGATTTTTGTGGCATATATTGTAGCATCATTGACGATTTTCTGATCTTGTGTTTGTGCCTTCTCCATTTTTGAGAAACATTTTTCCTCATCACATGATTCACTCTTAACCTTGTGTATGCTAATCTTGTAAAAGACATGCATCAGGGTTGTCTTTACAGTTCTTCCTTCTGTTGCCAAAAAAATTCAAAATGTCAGAGCTCATGAGGTCTTTGCTATTGTACTCTGTCCGGTTAATTTGTCTTTCTGTTTATACAAGTCATTCTAGGCTTTGGAAAGTAATCCCTGCGTTTTGCCCTTTATATCTAGGCATTTTCCCTGGAAAATTCTGTTTCCATTTCCTAACATGAATTTCAATTGCTTCATTGTTGGTGGATATTACATCGTTTGAAAAACACCCTGCATGAGGGTTCCTATTGGGCATTGATTGTATATTCATAGTGTAGAAGCTTTATGAGCTTACTGCTGACTTTGCTTTCTCTAAACCTGGCACTATGGTTGGTGCTTAACATATATCTATTACTGACAAACATCCTTACTCTTGATTATATTAGTGGTTGCAGCAATTGGCTTTATGCATTTCTTCATGTCGATAAACATATTGACCAGATTGAGCATTTTACAGATCCTAGCATTAAATTGGATCTTTTTTCTTTGAAATGTAGAAAGTTGATGAGAAGGCTGTCACTGAAGTTTTCCGCAAAGTGCTAGACAACTATATTAAGTGGTGCAGGTACTTGGGTGCGCGAATAGCTTGGAACAGGTAAGTCTAAATTTGATTTGCTTAAGATAATATCTGTCCCCGGGAGATTGACCAGTATCAAGCTTTTTTGCAGTCTGGAAGCACTTAATAAGAATCGGAAGGTCATCTTGGTTTCTCTGTACTATCTTATCTGGGGTGAGGCTGCTAATGTCCGCTTTCTTCCTGAGTGCATTTGCTACATATTTCATCATGTGAGTATCTTGGACTTGTAGTACTTTGCTTTGGTATACCTAATTGCTTAATATTTGCATGACTTATGTGATATGAACCAGGGTATCTATAAATAGCTCTCACTATATCAAGAACCACTGATTGTTGATGTTGAATAAATGTTCTACAATTTACAGCAATGTATTTGTATCTCTGTTACTGATGCCATTTCTATTGGCATGTTCTAAATAACTTCTTTTTGATTATCTTTCTATTATGTTCGTTTGAAAGGTTTTATTTAACTATTTTGATCATTTGGCATGTAAAATTAAGTCATCTGATTGGGCGTTATGCTTGTTGACGAGTTCCTTTTGTGTCTACAGAAAGTGCTTCATGGTATTACCTAGGGACAATGAGAAATTATATAGAATTTAATATTTTTGGTCCTGCACATTAGTGGTAGGAACTTTTTGGATCAAAATGAAAATTTCATTTCTGTGTTTGTTGTCTTTTTCTTGCGTGTCTTATTAACTATTTTATATCCACATTTAGATGTTGTGCCAACTTTTGATTTATGTTTGCAGATGGCAAAGGATTTGGATGCAATCTTAGACTCCCAAAATGCTGTTCCTCCTAAGAGTTTTATTTGCGCTGATGGTTCTGTATCATATCTTAAGCAAGTCATATTTCCTATTTATGAAACTATGGCAGCGGTGGGTTCCTATTAAAGTGACTTAAAATCTTTATTTTACTTCTGTGGTATGATTGAGCAGAATCTATAGAGTAGCAATATTTTTTGACTGGCTTATGAAATGTAGATATGAAGGATCTCAAAGTTTAATAATTTGTTGCATGCTTGACTGTACACTTGTAAACTTGCTTAATTGTTGAATATTGTTGTCAATTACTGTATATCTGTCTGAATTGTATTAATTGTTGAATATGGTTGCTTAATTGTTCATTTGAGATTGCACTTTTCTATAGTTTTTAATTGGCATGTGTTTGCTCTGAGATTTAGAAGTTTTTAATAATTCCATATGTATCATGTGATACATAAGTGTTGACCTGTACTTTGTGAATGATTTTGGATTTGCCCTGGTATGGTAGGCCTTTATAATAATTACCACTTGTGGCAAGACAAGCATGACAGTTGCGCATTTTTGAACTGCTTGTCCTTGTGTAAAAACTAACGGGTTGAGTTCCTCCTGACAAATTGCATGAGGCCTGAGCAATCTGGTTCACTAATAACTGTCAATTATTTGTTTTCTATCATTTATCACTTTTAGTTTCCTGGTAAAGAAGATGATTTTACTGGTCAACACCCCATAGTAATTATGCATTTTTAAATTATGTCACAAATGCTGCAATGTTTACCTATTTACTTCTGAATTTTAAATTGGGAAATACACCTTGAATTTTTTCTTTCAGTTAATGATTCAACTTTGATTTATTTGCAAATTTTGTTTGATTGGCCTTTGAGCTTCGTAGTTTGAACTGTTTGTTTAATTTTACATGCTTTTCACATGGCAAGAGATTCATGAACCGCGTGTTATTTGAGCTTCTTCCTAGTTCTGGTTTATGCAATTCTGTTTGAACATGAATCATTGCCATGAAGAAAAGGATTCATTCACCTCATTCCTGTTTGTTTGTTCCATAAGGTGAAGTGAAATTATAAATTGTTCTTATTTGGAATTTTATAGTAATCCCTATGTGCTTTTGTTTCTTTGTGGTAGTCATTAACTGTATAGCCATGTGTGCTGCGTGGTAATGAGCATCATAACAGGGGAGTATTGCATGCATAGATTTGGCAAAGTGACATGTTTGTCCTTGCTCTATAAATGAATCTTTGTTTTCTGTGAACTTTAACTGTAATGGCAATAATATTAAATTTTAGTTTTCAGCAATTGTGAAGGTATAGATTTCATGTGCTACCTATTATGTTTAAGATTATCCACCTGGAGATTGGTACTAATAATAAGAATATGTAAATTCCTAAAATACTTGATTGAAACATATGTGCATAAATATATGGTGACTAGTACAATAAGCATTTACGACCACGGTCTGGGAAGTTATGTTGGTAGGCATATTCTTGTGTTTCTAGATGCTGATTTGTTATTTGAAGTTTTGAACTAATGATTAGTAGGTTGCTGTAGGCTGTTAACAATTTTAATGCTGAACCAGACCTGCTTTTTGAATAAAGAAATATCAAATTTATTGTTCTGATTAAACTTAGTTTTTATAAACTGATTATGTAGCAAGCTTCGTGATCACTTGCTTGGTAACCATTCTTTAGATACATTCATATGTTAACACCTTGATGCAGCACAAATATATATTCATGCCATCATTCAGCATACCTTAATTAGATTGACTAGGAATATACACATAAATTTATACAGCGAGGTATAGAACCAAAGAACTTGAAGCTGTTAGTTGATATAAGGAGGAGCAGAAAGGGGTTAAATTGGATAATAACATAATGAGATGGGATAACTGGTTCTTGAACTTGTTAAAATTCTCATTCCAGTATACTGAGTAATTATTATGACGATGACAAGGTTTGACTACATTCTATGCTTTATTTAGACCGCCCCTTCTAAGCTGTTTGCCTGTCATAATTGAGAGGCTTAACTGTATGATTAAATCGAGGGGCTAAATACTCTTTTTAATTTTTTTTAATTTATTGTTTGTTCTGGCAACACACAAGGTCATCCCAATGCCTTAAATGTCTTTTCAAACAAATTTTGAATTGTATCATCTATAATCATCAGAAGTATTTGATGACATTTTCAGTCTTGTTTTCTAATGTGCCTACTGATATTCAGGAAGCTGCTAGCAACAATAATGGAAAAGCTGCGCACTCTGCTTGGCGGAATTATGATGATTTTAATGAATATTTCTGGTTTTCTTTCTTTCTTGTTGTTTATTTGATTCTATCAATCATTATTCGTTGGTGGTGTTTTTATTTATGCCGAACCTGTAGGTCTCCTTCTTGCTTGGAGTTAAAATGGCCACTAAAAGATGAGTCTTCATTTCTCCTCAAGCCAAAGAAGTGGAAGAGGGTAAACCCTAAATGCTATTCTTTCTTATCGCATTCAATATCTGTAGATTGTGGGTATCTAGCAGAATAGTATTAAATTAGATGTATCTCAAGTCATGATAGAACCGGCTTCTTTCTGCGTTTTATCTGGTTCTCAAATTGGATATAAACTTAGGCTGTAATTGGATCTTGGTTCTCAAATTTGTTCATTTCATTTGCATTGCTATTTGCCTTATGTAGGCAATAGAAATATTTTTGCCATTTGGTTCTTATAATATTCAGGAGCCTTCATTGTTTTCACTTTTCAGAAAATTCTATTGGATTCATGTTTAAACTTGTTCGCCATGATTTAATTTCTAACTGTTAGGCCTTTGCTTCCCATGATTGTATTCCTGTTCAGTTGCCTAAGTATTTGAAGTATATACTTTCTACTAAACAAGTTCTGTGCTCTTGATTTGCTTAAAGTGCTACACTTGTTGTTCAAGTAGCTATGTGTGCTTCCTTGGATCTCACCGTATATCTTGTTCATGTCCTTCCAAACCATTTTTCTGATATTGTATGTCTGTATACCTTTGTTTTAGCTGAATGCAGCTTTTATCATTTATTTATGTGCTTGCTTTTAGCGACTGTGCTATTTTGTAAATCTGTTTATAAGCTTTATCTATGAATCTTGTTTTTTCATCTTCCTGGTCTGTTTTTTGTGAATTTTGTTGTATATTAAGTCTGTGGTTGCCTTCCAGTCTTTTATTCTTGTGAGTAGACTGAGTCGATGGGTGTTACATGGTGAAAGTTGTTTTGCTGATGCACATAATAAATTCTCTGCTTCTTGATGTTGTATATGCAAGGAATAGCATGAGAAACTTCTTCATGATTTAAAAGTTCCATAATGTATTTGAGATTGTAAGGTCTATAGTAGGTTTTCAATTAAATTGTTCATAAAGGTTGATGCCATCTTTGTCTGCTCTGTCGATATTATGTTATCAGCTGTGGGATTTTATCAGGATAATTCTCTTATGAAAGGTGTGAATTTAAGAATCTTTAACTAATGTCTCTTATGGCACTCTTTTTTTATTTATATTGTTTCTTGTTTAATGCCTTTATTTTTTCTTTAAAAATATGATAAAGTCTTGATTGGTTATAGTGGCAGTCTTGATTGTTGATGTGGTAGCTTCTAACCTTTATATTCCCCAGTGGGTTATCAGACTGTTGTCACCTTGTCAATGTAATTTCATGGGCAATTTCTGAAGGTTATGATGAGTTATGTGTTGAAACACATCCTCATTAGCTAGTCATTTATCCACTAGATATAGCTTCATATGGACTTAGGAATTATACACAATATGTCTTGTTTGTCTTAGTGTTTGTTGCATATGATAAAAAATGCATTATATCTATGGCTTAGATGACGGTATGCAGTTTGCTAAGCTCCAGCATTTTTGTTTATTATATTATCTTTATAACTCATATCTTTTTCTACTTGAAGATTATTGTCAATATCTCTGTACTACATTATTTTTATATTTCAGCATTCTGTAATCCTTTTGCAATGTAATCATTTGTTGTTTTCTTTGCTTCTGACAGACCGGGAAAACTGGGTTCGTTGAGCACCGTACCTTTTTGCATTTGTATCGGAGCTTTCACCGGCTTTGGATTTTCCTTTTCCTGATGTTCCAGGTTTGAGAGCAAGGGATTCCTCGAGTGGTTGCATTTAAATTTTTTTAAGAATCTGTATAATAATTTAATCCTGTTTGTTCTATCATTTAATGCAGGCATTGACAATTATTGCTTTCTACGATGGGCACATTAACTTGAATACCTTCAAAGTAGTACTTAGTGTAGGACCGGCTTTTTTTATCTTGCACTTCATTGAGAGTATGTAACTCTTTATATACCAAATTTATGTGGTTTCTCTTATCTTCCAACATTTTTCCTTAAAGTTTAATTTTAGCAAGTGCTTGTGTTTTAGTTATTTGTGTTATGTTGTTTCTTAATGTTTGATTTTTTTTTAAAACACTTTTGCAATTCCTCATTTTGCTTGTAGGCTGTCTGGATGTCCTACTCATGTTTGGGGCCTATAGTACAACCAGAGGCTTTGCTATCTCAAGATTGATTATAAGATTTATTTGGTTTGGCTGCAGTTCTACAATTTTGACATATCTTTATTTGTAAGTTATGTGAATTTAGTGCTGCAAACAAATGAAGTTTGTTAACACCAACGGGCAAAAACTTGCTCATACTTTTTTGATTTCTAAATCTGAGTTCAGGAAGGTTTTGGATGAAAGAAATAATAGGAACTCAGATTCAACCTATTTCCGCATATATACCCTTATTTTGGGTGTTTATGTGGTTATTCGTCTGACGTTTGCGGCATTAGTCAAGATTCCAGCTTGCCATACTCTCTCGGATATGTCTGACCGGTGGCCTTTCTTCCAATTCTTCAAATGGATTTATGAAGTAATTTTATTTTGTTTCTTTCCAATATGATCATTTATTTTTCAATCCTGAAGATGAATCTTTATATGCGTGCATTTATTTGAATTGTTAATTTTCAGGAACGATATTTTGTTGGGCGTGGTCTTTTTGAGAAGACAAGTAGTTATGCCCGGTATGTACATATTTTCTTGGTAGCATAGCAGTTTATTGTTTACTACGTTGAGCTGATTTGACACATCAATAATTTACCAGTGAGGCAATTTAGGCTTCATGAACAAGTATAAATGCTCAGCAGTTTTTAGGGTCTAATGAAATTTGTTAGTTAGGAAAAACAAATGAAATTGGTTTAAGAAATTTTTTTGAAGATGATTCTTGTTCTTATGTTTGTGAATTGTGATTACTGCTTTTGTAGTTATTTAATTTTGTCTCTTCTCTTTTTCTTTATTTCTCTCTTAAAGTTTCTCCTCGTGATTGCATCAGGTATGTGTTTTACTGGATGGTCATACTTACCTGCAAGTTTTTGTTTGCTTACTATCTCCAGGCAAGCAGATTCCTATCCATTTATTTTTGTTGTTAGTATGAACGAGTTTTATTGTTTTAAAGAATTTTATTTTCTTATGTATCTTCCTTTTTCTCTTGACAATGTCTTCCAACTTTACTCAAATTTTCAGATTAAGCCGTTGGTTGATCCAACAAAAGTAATTGTTGAACTGAATGGTTTGCAGTACTCCTGGCATGATCTTGTGTCAAAGGGTTAGTTTACTGCCTGAAGATTATCATGTGTGTTGCCTTTCTCACTTTCTCAGTTGTTTATAGATGATAAAATTTGTAAGATGTTTCTCACTAAAAGAAATACTGTCATATTGTTATAGTTTCTCACCAATTTGAGCCAGATAAGTCATTCTCATTTGGTTTTAAGGAGTGTGCATTGTAGGTTGGATATGTGCGTGAGAAGAACACCCATTTTTATTGGTGAAGATGAGGCTTAAAGCCTCTAAGATATGCAATTTTGTTTGGCCTGCATGATTTTAGGTTTCATCTATCTGAAATAGGGAAACAAGAGCTTATTACTACATTTGATATATAACATTATAACCACTCTGTTGCATCTAAAACTTGAAAAATCAGAGAAATTAAAACAAAACTAGGAAGGAATTTGTGTTTCTGTCGTGCTTATAGATGACTGTGTTCAAGATATAAGAGATTATACATAATCCTATACATAACAATGGCTTGGAGGATTTGCATAACCTAGTATCGCAAGCATGAAATATAATAGAAATAATAGAGTCATGAAGGTTTAAGAGGGTGGTAAAGAACACAACCAAGCTTAATAACTTGAATAATGACACAAAATAGGAGATTCAACTGGCCATTTAAAGGAGTATCTATTCATTGATTAAAATCTGTTATGCTCGCAGAAAGTGTTCAACAACTTCCATAAGCTTCAAAAAAATGCAAAAAATGAAATCTATGAATTACATTTTTAAAAGGTATAATCACAATTATGCTAATAGTTTAGTCCTAATCATTCCATATGACGTTCTATGAGTATTGAGATATGAAACAAACCTAGATTTGCATAGTGAATTATGCTCGATGCTTTAAGGTCATGAAAGACATGAAAATCTCATCTCATAAAAAACCTAACTATTTGGATTGTTGACAGCCAATTACTATGGACATTAATCCTAATCACATCATTATGACCTTTTAAAAGAAAACAAAATAGGATGTAATATCCCAAATGATAAAAAATTACCACTTTGACCAATTGGTTTGATGGATTCTTGAACTCTGAATAGTATGAATATTTATCTTCTTTCTTTTTGTATCAATGCATTTTTACAATGAACAATCAGGACCTTTAAATTATAAATCATCTAGAATCCTTTGTTTGATCTTTAATTTTTGTTGATGCAAACTGCAAACCATTTCTCAGACCATACGAGGCCTGGCTGTTAAATATGTTTTTCTCACCACCTCTGACTTGGATCCAACATTGTCCTGGATGGTAAATGATACAGTTGGTACCAAAATCATAATATACTTAAAGTTTGCTGTTTAATTTGGCACTTATGTCTTACAGCATGTGATGTCTGATAAGAAATTGACTACATGCATAATTGTTCAAGGAATCAAGAACCAGTACATGCTGGCCATATCAATTAACATGGCTTGATTTGACCCTATACCCTTATACTGGCATGTGGTATAATGACAATACCGATGTATGCTGCCACTTCAACTATCTCTTCCGATGCTTTTATCTTAACAATATACTTTTACATTCCATGCCATTCCTGCCAATTAGTGCCGATTGACATGGAAGTCCTTGCTTGTGTTTTCTGTCTATTGACCTGACAACATCATTTGCACAATTGCAAATGATGGCATAACACATTGCTAATTGTTTTTGTTTTTGTTGTTGTATCCATTCAGGTAATAGGAATGCTCTGACTGTCCTTAGTCTTTGGGCGCCTGTCTTTGCTGTGGGTTTCTATCTGCTTTGTTGGGATGCATATTTGTTTAGCCTTCTGAATATGTAGTTGAATTTCTCTTTTCCTTGCTATAATAAAATCATTTTAATGACTTCTAGATTTATCTAATGGACATCCATATATGGTACACCTTGTTGTCTGCTCTTGTCGGTGGTTTATTGGGTGCATTAGGTCGCCTTGGTGAGGTATTCTTTCATTTTAGTGATTCTTGTCTCAGAAATATCACCATACATGCATTGGACTTTAACTTGCTTATGATAATGGTATTTTTGGCAACATGACAGATACGGTCTCTCGATATGTTTCACAAACGTTTTGAGAGTTTTCCAGAAGCTTTTGTGAAAAATCTAGTCTCATCCCAAATGAAAAGGTTGCAACTCTGAGCCTCCTACTAATTTTTTGAGTACATATTTACTTTATATTGTGGTCACTGATTTCCTATTAACTTTTTGTAGAAGTATTCCAAATAGACCGCCTGCTCAGGTAAGATCTTTCTTTTTCCCTTTGTACAGGTAAATGGTATCAGAATGTTTCTACAATGTTTTTACTGATTTTTTTTCTTTTTTCTTGTACCAGTTGTCCACATATTACAATATATTTTTTTACTGTTTATATTTTGCTCTTAGTGGTTTCTTTGACAAATATATATTCTGTATGTGCACTTTTTTAGTAAGAAATTCTTTTGGTAATTTTGTTTTCTGTCATCCCCTCTTAGAGTGATGAGTTAGTTTTTTAAATTTTAAACAACTTGAACACCTAAATATTGCCACTTCTGGGCATGAAAGTATACCAAAATGTTTTTGGCAGATCACAATTTTGTGTTGTGCTGGTTGGCATGCCCTTGCCGCTGACATAGATTAAAAAAAAGCCTACCCTTGTTTCAGTGCCTCTAGCATGAATTAACATGGTACGGTTTGGCTCAAGCTGACAATGGCAATAGGCACATCAATCCTAATCATTTATAACAGTACTCCTTGACAAATGGATCCCGTCAATGAAAGTATGTATTGTAGTTCTATTTGGTCTTTTCGTTCTCAAGCAGTAAAAATCTGTGATGTGTAACTAATTAGCAGCACATTTTGTTATAAATAATCCTTGGAAGAAGTCTTTGTCATGTTTGTTTGCTTGTTGTGTGTGTGTGTGTGTATATATAGGGATGCTTATTATAAGAAAAAGTAAAAAACAATGTGACATATTACAAATATAATGAATACAAATGTTTGTTCTTTTGGCTTCTCCATCTTTGTGGATTTTTATAGTAAACCTTCTATATGTTGATGTTCACTTTTATGTCTGTGTGTTTTTGCAATGTAATGAATTCCCTTTGAAAGCAGATTATTATCAAACTTGTTGTGAAATTGATCTGTCATGAATATTTTATAGGAAGTTTCTGTAATTGAATGAATACATTTTTGTGTAAGGTTCTTGAATGATACAATTACTTATCCTTTGCTTTTTGAAGCTACTGTTTGTTCAGAAGTTTTGTGCCTTTTCTTGGGAGTCAACATGATCATGATATTTGTCATAATATTGGATTTGTATAACTATATGCTTTCACTTTGTTTGGAAGTTTGCTAATATATGCTAGTGAATTGGTTTCATGGAAATTCATTTGTAATTGATTCAATTAACCAATTTTCTAATTGCTTTTGTGGGAGATACATATGGTAGGAACCAAGGTTCGAAATTTCATACTGTACTGATGTATCGAGCTTTGCTCGGTATGGTATGGTATGTTACACTGAACGGTATGCCTAAATAAATATATATAATTAATATAAAAATATAAAAAATATTTTTTAATAGAAAATATAAAAATTAATATGTAAAATATAAAAATAATATAAAAATATAAAAAAAGGTGTATGTAGCCTTGGCGATGTCACCTCCTCTTCTCATCACCTCGTCTACGACATTCGGCGAAAAAGGCGACGAAGATGTTGAAGGCCGCAGATGTCTCCGACCTTCGGTGAAGAACGCGGTGAAGAAGAAGGCTGCATAGTCGCAGACGAGAAAATGAAGGAGACCGCCTCTTCCGTTGCTATAGCTATAGCCTTCTTTGATCCCCGCGCCTCCATAGCCTCCTCTTTACGACTCTCCTCGTCGTTACCTTCTGGATCGGGATCATTGAGCGAGGGCAGTACCGGATCGGGATCGAGAAAGGGCGTGGAAACAAGTTCGTGCCGAGGTTCTCCCGATTCTCCCTCTTCTTCGAACACTTTCTCCTTCTTCCTACTTCGATGCTTCTTCCTCAGCCTCATCGCAGCCAGGCCGCTATATCGAGTGGACTGCCCGGTAGCGGGCGGTCCGCGTACTGGTTCATGGGCGGATTGATACGTATTGTCCGTGTCGGGCGGTACGATTCGAAATCGCAAACCTTGGTAGGAACAATGTCTAAATCTGCTACTTCATATGAAGTGGAAGTAGAAGTCTTGGGAGGGAGAGGGAACATAGTTAACATGCATGCTGCTGTATCATATTAAAAAAAGCCTAATCATATGCCCGAAGGTTAGAAGATCTTGCTTTAATATGTTAGTAAAGTTTATAATCTTTGTCTATCAACATGAAAAAAAAAAAAAAAAAAGATTAGGCAAAATTTGGCTTCTCAGGTACTGCCAGATAGTAAGAAGGCCGGTTGGCCTGTTACTTGTCAGAAATAGAGGTTAGTATGCTCCTGTTCAAATGACTTTAGATGGGTCAGACTAGGGTGCTTCAGGCAGGCTGAGTAGGCTTTGGAAGATCCAGGCCATCTGTATCATGACAACATTATGATGCTGATCCACTTCAAAATTATCTTTTTCATGCTGGGAACTTCAAAAAATTAATGTGATGCAGTAGCTATATATTTAATACTTTTGCCACAATAACTTTATCTTTGAAATTTACTTATTAAACCAATTCTTGTTTCCTTTCAATATTGATTGGTATACCTCAAATTTTATATTAGTTTTAGGTGGTAGGAAGAGATGCCATCCTTCCCTAGTATCCAACCATAATGTGACTAGATATGTGAATCTTCCGAAATGGCCTGCAATAGATGTTGTTAATTGGTTGTGCCAATCTGAAAGAGCTAGAAACTCGTCAATTCTTTGATTCCAAAGCTTCCTTATTTGCGTTGTTGGCTATTTTCTTTATCTTTTTTGTAATGATATGGTGGGACCATCTACCCGCATTTCATTTTGTAAATAAAATAAAGGGAATTGGTAGGCTTGCCTGCAGATCAGATATGGCCTGATTTCATCTGAAGCTTTGTCTAGTTTAAGTTGGATATGGTTTAGTGTTTTGAAATGTTAATCCCTTTGGTAACTTCAAGCCATTACTTGATTAATAATTGCATAAAATATGAACCAATCTTGATATTATCTGTTTATGATCCAATCACATTAGTCATATGATAATTTTAGTACCATCATGTGATTAGTGGTGGCATGGAAGCAGTGATTTAAAAAGCGTTAAGTGTGAAAAGGTGCTAAGCTCCCAAATTGCCGAAGGTACTAAGCGCTCGCTAGAGCGAAGTGAAGCGCTCTAAAATATTAAAATATAAAAAATATAATATAATTGATAAATATGATTATATAAATAAAAATATGACATTATTAAAAAGATCTAAATTGTCAAGTTATATTATCCATATTCTAATAACAAAAATGTCAAAAGACTCAAAATAATAAAGTTTTATATTAAATTCAATCATCATTATAATCAACATCGTCTTTCTCAAATATATCATAATCTTTTTCTTCCTTTTATTCGTCTTTATCAAAATATGTTTTCTTCTCTTCGACAATGGCAGGAGATGAACTGGAGACTTTTGCACTCATTTTTTCCTTTGTCATCTGCATTGTATATGTGTCACATCCTGAAATATTTTTTTCCTTTCCACACATTCAGGCCAAGTAGATAAACATCACTTTATTCATTATTCATAAGCCTTTATTACAATTCATTTATTGATCAAATCACAAATATAAAAGTAAACATAGTGGTGTTAACTTCAAGAATCATCCTAGCGGCTCTACCTAGCGGTAGAGGAAGGTCAGCCCTCCATTGGAATCCGATTTAGTGCTAGAGGGAGGTTGCTTTGAAAATAAAATACAAAGAAAATTCAGCAACGCTGAGTAGGAACCCCAAAAGTCAACTCAAAATGAATACATGATCAAAATTCAATCATCCCATTGGCGTATATCAAATACCCGAAGGAGCACTCCCCCAATAGCGGATGGAGAGGCTTTATCCTACGGGATGAGTTTGTGTTCTCCCAATAGCGGATGGAGGCAAACTCATATTGCACTCCTAACAGCAGATGGAGTGGTGTCCCGCACCCGCCAAAGTGGGAACACGTTCCTCCTAACAGCGGATGGAGGAACCATCCAGCCGCCACGTCTGACGGCTCGCTAATCCTCGAAAGGAATCGCCCTACCTGCTCTCGGCAGGGAAATAACATAATCTTACACTGGTCATGTCCATATCGGGATGAAATAACACAATTAAAACATCTCTTTCAAATATCATCAATATCAAATAATATAAATTAGCCCTCAATTGACTTGAACCCTAGTTCAATCGAGCCAATTGAACTTAATTTACTAGAACCTAACTGAACTGATCTTTAATCCTCATTTAACTGGTTTGGAACCACCCTGGACTAGTATAATTTGGACTAGATTAGGTTCAATTTAGGTTAAACTGACTTGAATAAGTCAATAATTCGGAATCACCCTGAATCGATCTAGACTAATCAAGTTTAGTTTAGTTTAATCAATATTTGGGCTCAAATCCAACAATAATATTGGGCTGAATTGGGCCAGCCACCATCTACTGGTCATGTGCATTATATATGACTAGGCATGTATCACATAAAGTTGGCCCATGGATTGGTTATGTGCATCGCATGTGACCACCCATGATGGTTGGGTTTGGTTAGCCTACGAGCCAAATCCTGACCTGTGGGTTGGGCCTGGTCTACGGGCTAGGCCTGATCTACTGACTGGGCTTAGCCAGTGGGCCATGGCCTAAACTATGGGTTGGGCTTGACCTATAAGCAATTTCAATCCAATTAATATCTAATTTCATACCACAACATATATTTATTAACAATATAAACAAAAACATAATAACGTATTAAAAGATAGATAAGGAGATAAGCTTTAATACAAGGAAATAATATTCTAAATTTGAATAGAAATCATAACATATTAAAAGATAGACCGGGAGATAGCTTTAATACAAGGAAATAACCTTTTAAATCCAAATAGAAATCATGCTTTCAACACATGTATAATTTCAACATATTATAGTCAAATAAATTTTAAATCATTTATAATAACACATTTTAAATTTCAGATCAAAGAATATAAAAAAAAAATTTTAGATAACATATTTTAATCTAACAAAGATTTTAATCTAGATAAGATTAAAGATAAACTGTAATGCTAGGAAATATCATATAAAACATATAAATTTTTAATATGTTTAAATATAAAATAAAAGTCTTAAGCAGGATTAAAGAATATTATAAAAACTTCAGGAAATTTTAATGCAACAATATGATTTTGACATTTAAAGAATTGATAAATATCTTTCAAACTACAAAATATTCAACATTTAAAAAATCAAAATAAAAACTAAAACTTTTATTTTCAAGGAAGGTAGAAAAACCTATCTCTCGTCAGCAGGGTGTAACTCCTCTTTCCTCCTGCTGCCAAGCTCGACTAGGTGATGAACGAAGGAGAGAAATCCCTCCCCTTAAATAAGAGGAGGTGAGCCTCAATTAAAGAAAATTTATTTTAAATTTTGTATTTATTTGATATAAATTATTTTCATTTAATATACTAACAAATATGATATTACCCTATTTGAATGCTCAATAGTTATTTTCTAATTCGTATTAACAAACAAGGAAATAAATTAAGATTTCCTTAAATTACAATGACAAGTAAGGAAAAAATTAATTCCTAACTTAAATATTTAATGTGATTACAATATGTCTGTAATTCTCCAATACCTGAGGCTCTTGTCATATCTCTCTATATTAAGCTGTCATCTTTGAATACATTCTCATCTTTGACATCTTGCAAGTTTGCACCCATTCCTCCCCCCAAACCACTCATTTAAATCATCAATGTCTTGTAATGAGATTGGATCAATGTTATTTCGCAAATCATGACGAGCCTTTATTGCTTGATTATACTTTATATAAATAAGATCATATAATCGTCGATGGTCTAACCGATTTTTTCTCTTCGTGTGAATCTGTCATATTATATAGTTTAAAAAATATTAATATATCTATCTAAAAAAGAATAGATTAATTGAAACAAAAATATTTTGTGATCTTTACATGCTCAAAGACACTTTAGTTTCTCTCACAACACGTAGAACTACAAATCAAACTAATAATTTTGATAGCCAATTGTTACAAGTTCGGGATGAAATTTCCAGATAGACTCCACCATTCTGTAGCAAAATTTACTTTGTTATTAATAATAACATACTATACATAAAATTAATTATATAAATTTATTAATATCGGGGATGTAGTTGTCCTTGATCAAACTGTCATTGAAATTCCAAAAAGACCATTGATATCCTTATATAAAGATAATTTACTTTTGATCTTATCTTGCATCTCAAGGTTTGGAACCAATCTTGTAATGCACTGATATAACCCATTTACAATTTTTGCATCAAACTCAATGGATGTAAAAGAATTATGGAGCTGTATCTGTCCTTGGCTTGACTCGTAGTACCAGTCAGTACTGGTGTACTTACACATGGTACATTGGTGTTTCAAAGATGGAGGAGGAGAAGAGGAAGGAAGAATAGGAGGCAGTGGAGGAAGAGGAGGAAGAGGAAGGCGGAAGAGAAGGAAAAAGTGGAGGAAGAAGGTGGAAGAGGAAGAAGGAGAAGACGTGGTAAAGAGGAGGGAGGTGGAAGAGGAGAAAGGGGAGAAGAGGTGGAGGAAGTGTAAGGCGGGCGGTGGTGGGTGGCGACGAGCTGCTGAAGAGAAATGTGAAAGGCTCATGTTCGGGGTGAAGAGGGCTTGCACTAATGTTTGTTTTTGAATTTTTTTTAAAAGGTCAGGACCGGACTGTGCCAACTGGAGGCGGTCCACATACCAGTTCACCTCAGACCAGTGCGTACTGTCCGTTTTCTATCGGTCCGAGCGAAATGTCAATCACTAGACATGACATCTCGGTGTGGTTAGTTAATGCCATTATCTGCTCTGCATCTTGACCAAATATATCATCTGTTGCTTCTGTTTTATCGTTGTAGTAGTTAACTATGTTGGAAGTTTATTGTGATGTCTTGATTAGCCTCACATTTGAAGTGGATGATCTGTTGTGTCTACTATTAGCAACATGGGCTTAAGGTGTTCGGCTACATAGTATGAGGTTTGTCTGCAATTTATTGGCTAGTAGACCTTTCGGTTTTGTTGTGACATTATCAGCCTCAATTTATAGCAGACCCTTCTCCTACTTTCCTAATGAGTCAACCATATCAGGTTATGTTCAATGTTGCAATATTCATTGGCTTATACAAGGCAATGCAGAGAATTCATGTCCAGTACAAGTTTGATGCATCAGTTTGTTATGCTTCTTTTCTTAGCGCCCGTCTAGCACATCTTTCATGAAATGTGCACATTTCGCCCCCAAGAACTAGTGTCACTCTTTTGGTCCTCTTTTTTCGGTGCCATCTCATCTGGCATTGTAACTTCTTGAACCTTCTAATACTTTTTTCTGATATGTATGTTTTACTTAGATGACGGTTGAGGTAAGTGTCACTGTATCAAATTGGTAATTGCCGCCACAGGAGCTGAAGATGAGGGGAAGGGAGGTGGAGAAAACTGTAGAAATGTTTTCAAAGTGGTGATGGAGTTGCATCTGATGGAGCAAAAGCAATGGTAGTGTGTCCTGTAGCATTATTGGGTCAATGGGCTCAGACAGAGTGAGAAGATATGGAGATTGTGGAGCTGACAGTGGAGATGCAATGATTTGTTTGAGGCAGTGGAATGAGGTGGCAAATGCTGAAAAGCAGAAGGCATGTGAAGGTGGAAGATTATTCAGAAAAGAAACAATAGCAGCCATCTCCTGTCGAATAATCTTGATTTTCATAATCAACAAATTAGTATTCTTTGATTTAACCATCAATAGTGTATGATATTAGAATCCCACATTAACCTGAAGATCATACATAGATCTACTGGCATATTCCATGCCTGTTCTGCAGGTTTTTTATCCAAATTATGCTGAGGAAACCACATTCTACTTCCATCAGGTTGTACTGCATCATAGGTTTGTGACTGGAATAGGTTATGTTCTGTGTCAATCTCTACAACTCACAATGGAAGTTCTCTTTTTGGTGTTTTTTGAAAAAAAATCTTGTTCAGGGACTAATCAAGAAATCTCTATCTTAGAGGTGAGTAGAAAGACATGTTTTGTCTGAGTTCACCAATCTCTGAAGTCTGAAGTATGAACCACTGCAAGTTGTAAACAGCTGAACTGTTTCAATTTTCCTGATTCTTTTGTCGTTATAAGCAGTCACTACTTTTGGTGTTGTCATGTTCTTAAAGCTCCAAAATTTATTTGATTAAGTTACAACCCATAATTATTTTATTTGCAAAAAGAATATTTTATCCTTTTATTGATATATGATCTTATGATGCCTATGGTGTTCCTCCATTGTTTACCTTCAGGATTCTAAAGATATGGACAGGGATTTTGCAGCGAAGTTCTCTCCCTTTTGGAATGAAATTATCAAAAGCTTGCGGGAAGAAGACTACATAAACAACCGGTAAATGCAATTTCTAAGATGTGATTCTACTTGCTATGGAACTTCTGTTTTGTGAATGCATTGAGTCTCTAATTTTTTGTCGAACTAGTTAAGGCCTTAAGGGCCATTTTGTTTTCATGGTTTTTGACAGAGAAATGGATTTGCTTTCTATTCCAAGCAATTCCGGGACCTGGCGGTTGGTCCAATGGCCTTTATTTCTCCTGACCAGTAAGGTTTGTTGTCAGTAGTAATAGTTCCTACTTTCAAAACCCTATTGCAATTATTTTTCAATTGATTCTAAAACCTGTTTAATGTTTATAGATACCATTGGCAATTGACGTGGCTTTGGATTGCAAAGATACACAAACTGATCTATGGAGCAGAATCTCAAAGGACAAATACATGGCATATGCTGTTAAGGAAGTCTACTACAGTATGGAAAGGATTCTGGTTTCTGTAGTTGATGGTGAAGGGAGACTTTGGTATTCTATTGCAAATTTCTTATTTCTTTTCAGAAATGCATAATTTTATTACACGCGAATCTTACATATTTGCTTGATGGCAGGGTGGAGAAGTTATTCCAAGAACTTAATAACAGTATCTCAGTGGACTCACTGGTAGTAACTATAACGCTTAAAAAGCTGCAACTGGTGTTGACAAGGTTCTCTGCCTTGGCTGGGCTTCTTGTGAGTCATCTGAGAACTAGTCCATCTGCCTTACAGTTGGTTGCTAGTTCATGTAAAAGAAACATGAACTGCTCATTGTTTCATCTATCACCGTCTCTCATGTTCTGTGATGTTCTAATCTTGCTTTATGCCTAGTTTTGTTACATTAATTTGGATGCTTATTGCTAGGGCATAAAACTGGTGACTGTAAAATTTAAGAAGAATTGTCAAGGATGCGATAAATGATTTAAGCCACAAACTTGAAACAAATTGAATGTATTGCAAAATTTGAAAATTTTACAGCATACAAATCCTTTGTTTCAGGGCATTTTAAGCATGGTTTGCAGTACCGGTCCGTACCGCCCGGTACGGGTGGTACGTACCGGTCCGATAGGCTTCCGGTACGTGGACCGCCTGTTACCGGTCCGGTACTGTAGTAGTACTGTAGCACTGCTACAGTGCTCGGCATACCGTACCGTAGTAGTATAGTAGTCCGGTACTGTAGTAGTACTGTACCGAGCGGTATACCGTACCGTACCGGTACCGAGCGCAGGTCGAAACTCCGGTACGGTACGGTATTGCGAACCTTGATTTTAAGTATCCCACATGTCAAGTTTTGTATTTTGTTACATGTTGATCTTGTAGTTGTTTGTCTATGAATTGTGATGCTAGCATAAGGTTTCTATCACAAAACAAGTTACGAAAAACATACGAAAAACAAAGCACATGATAGTCAGATTTGTTTTTTGTTATATGCGCTTGAGGGTGCGTAAATTTTGTCACTACTGTCCTAGTCCCATGCTGATGTCATTATTCGATTGTGCCTGCACTTCTTAACATCTTGGTCTCTGTCTAATATATTTGTGTGTTAGATGCTGTTTGATAGCTTGTTTTCACACTCCTTTTTATTTTCTAGTGGTTTTCTTCATAAAAAGAAATATTATGCAGATAAGAGATGAGACTCCTGAACTTGCCATTGGTGCTTCAAAAGCTGCACATGAATTATATGATGTTGTCACTCATGATTTCTTGACCTCAAATTTGAGGTACCATTGAACACTTGGCCATTATAGTGACACGTAATATGCTTGTGGTATCCATACAAATATTGCCTAGAATCCAATGAGTTTGTTTATCCTCAGTGAGCAACTCGATTCTTGGCAACTTTTAGCGAGAGCAAGAAATGAAGGTCGCCTCTTCTCTAAAATTTCATGGCCCAGGGACAAAGAAACTGTATGGAACCTTCTTACAGTTCACAAGTTAGTGCTTATTATCAATAATATATATTGCTGGTTTACTTTGTATTTTTCTTCAGAGAGAACAGGTGAAACGGTTGTATCTACTTTTAACTGTAAAAGATTCTGCTACAAATATTCCAAAGAATTTAGAAGCCAGAAGGAGACTGCAGTTCTTTGCAAATTCATTGTTTATGAACATGCCGTCGCCGAATCCTGTTTCTGAGATGATGCCTTTTAGGTATTTGTTAAACATGTTGGTAGTGTTGCAAATTTTCAAAGCATTTTTAGTGTAATTAAGATTTTACTTGATTGGATTGTAGTGTTTTTACTCCATACTACAGCGAGACAGTACTCTACAGTTATTCAGATTTACGGGTTGAAAATGAAGATGGGATTTCAACCCTTTTTTATCTTCAGAAGATCTTTCCAGGTGATCCTTCAGTTCTTCGTGAGAACTTTTATGATTTATGTGGTCTGGCGTATATAATTTTTACTGAATGGCAGTACAAAATTCAACTTTATATTTCAAATCCATTGTTTACTGTAAGTTTAGAATTTATACTACTAGTAATACTTGCGATTTTGGACTTTGAATCAGGGTTCTCAATTTCGATTTGTACCGTCCAATATGGGCGTACGTACCAGTCCGAGATGATACCGGTACACGGATCGTCCTCTACCGGGCAGTACCAGTGTTTTGACCGGTACCGAGGCGTATCGACCGGTACCGAGACGTACCGATCGATACCACCCTGGATATTGACCGTTTCTAAGGCATACCGATTGGTATACCCTAGCGTGATAGGTGAATGTATTTTTAAGGTTTTAGGGTGTACCATCGGTACGCCCTAGCGTACCGACGGTATATACCGGTACGTACCGTACCGAGTAGAGCTCAGTACGTCGATACAGACCGGTATTCAAAACCTTGCTTTGAATAATTCGTTGTAGATATATGGTTTACGTGATCTGAGGAGTTCCTACATGTGTTTTACAGGTAGTCCTTGTTTTTTCTGGAGAATTATTTAAGTTTTTCATGATAATTTCTAGCTTGCTTATCAGCTTATCTAATATTTACATTTTAGGAACAATTTGATCTGGCTTATGCTCCTACTCTATCGACCATATGATTTTCAGAGTTTGGGTGAATCGATATATAACACATTTTAAATGATATGCTTATTGGCTTATTGCTACTGATTGTTAAGGTTCTGTAGATGAAAATTCTTTGTGACACCATTGTTCCAAAAGGTTGATATGATGGAGAACATGATTGCCATTTAATCCCTAATTTCACTACACTATGAGTAGTCACATACTGGTACATTATTCTGGGTCATTGTTAGCACCATATCAGCTGTTGTTAAGATGTTCCCTAAGCACCATTTTTTCCTATAAATTGGTCTTGTTTACTGGTCTATGCATTGCCTATCACAATATGGTTATACTGGTTGCTCTTTGCAAATTGGCTGATGTAGGGATATATGTTGATGTGGCCAAAGATTGATTTTCCATGAATAGAGGTATGTTGAGGTTAGCATTCTCATGATAAAATTAACATGAGGATTTTTTTTTTCTTCCCCTAAGGTGTAACGGTTTATTCAACACACTATTGGTGTAGGGTAAAGATGTCTAGGTGCGACTCTTTGGAACTGGAGTAACTCCAACTATCGTGCTCTTATTTTGGTCTCTGTTTTACTGCTGCCATTCTTAAAACTAAAAAAACTAAAAAAAGTATTTTTTTTGCTTTAATCCTCATCTACTCTTTTATCTTTGTTTGTTGGCTTTTCAAAAAAACATAGCTGAAGACCCTTGCCTTTGCTCCAAATACTTTCTGGTTTCCAACCCTCAGAAATTGAAACAAAAAAATTCCTAGAGCTTTGAATTCCAAAAGGTACTATCTTTTTAACCATAACCTATAGATCCAAGTTGTCTGAAGCAAGATTGTAAATGTTCGTCAAATACTGGTTTCAACAATTTGTCAGAAGGATACAATACCAACATACTGAGTGGTACACTGAGTTGTGTTGCTCAGTATCAAGGACTGCTGTACCGCTCAAAACGATATGAAACAGGCAGTGTGTACCGGTCCAGGCGAAGGTCGGTTCATGGTCCATCTTGTTTTGGGTGGCCTGATTAAAATAAAAAAAGAAAAAGTGGTGGGACTCATCCAACTCAGCGTTAAAAAAGAAAAAAAAACCAAATTAGGGCTTGTGAATGTGATTCCTCTTCTCGCATATGATGCTGTTGTCGCCGCCGTTGCTGCTATTTCGTGACGTCACTGTCGCCACCGTTGCTTCCTGATGTCGCTGACACTACCGTTGCTTTGCGAATCCTTGGTCGTGCTGTTGCCGTCGCTGCCAACACCATTGCCCTGCATTCCTTCTTCTTGATAGGGATGCTCCCACGTCTTCTCCTCATCTTCTTCCTTCTCCTTCTCCAATACTTCTTCCTCCTCCATTGCTTCCTCTTCTTCCTTCTTCATTTCCTTTCTCCTTTTTTCTCCTGTATATCTCCACCGCTCCTTCCTCTTCTCCCTCTATTTATTCCTCTGCCAAACACCGGTATATACTAGTGTACCATGTGTCGGTACATAGGTACTGACCTTTGCGTACCTATGCGACAGATCGCCGAAATGGGCCTGGTACCCGAAACGATGATTGTTGCTCAGTATTACTGGAAAAAGAATAAAAAAGTGATTTACTGATTCATATTATGTTGTATGGTCTATCACCGGCCCATAGTCAGATCAACAATGTACCAGTCTGACCAATATAAAGTATATTAAATTATGGTGTGGAGCAAGTAGCATCCATCATTATCATCAGAGCCCCTTTAAATGCTTTGTCCTACATGATTGCCAAACTGCTCTGTGCTGATGCAGTTTGCCTTTCCATGGATTTTGTGGTGCGTGGTAGCCCATGTCTGACGTTTGATGTGATATCTGGTTCTTAGCCTACTAGCATAGATGGTAAGATTACATTTGATTGGGAACAAGGCATGACATAGATGGTGGTGTGACAGATCATGGTGCATTTTTGTGCCTGTATGTTATTTATTTTATACGTAAATGCAAAAATGAATCATTTGAACTAAACACTGTGATTTTCTTTTGGCCTTTGAATTGGTTGTTGACTCATTGAAAACAACCTGAAACATGCTTACTTCCAACTTACAATGATTCAATGCGTATCAGCCTACCGTTTTAACATTTATGAATTTTTGTTTTGAAAGTTAATTTTGTTTGTTTTTTATGCTTAAACTAGTGAGTTGGTAATTGACACCTTCAAATTATGCAGATTGATTGGCTAATGACCTCTAGCATCTAGCAATTTTCTGAAGTAATGGTGTTTGTTCTCAAGTTAATGTAAATAGTAGATCACTTTAAAGCTAGTCATGGCTTATCTGTTTTCTGCTGCAAAGCCTACCATGCGTTCTGCCTTTGGTTTACCTGCCAAGATCATTCTGCTGGTTATTAGTTATCACATAGAAATCAGTTCCTTGGTTATGATTATTTGGTGTTGTGCTTCCACCTCATGACCACATGTTGTGGTCCTTCACTTCTATCACATGATAGTTGCTTTGTGTGCAAGCATCCTTGTACAAACATTTCTGTGCACATGGCATTATCTTGTGCAGATAAAACATCAACTTCTAGAAAGTTCTTATGCTTCGATTGTGAGATATTAGTTCTAGCTGGCATGCTCATTGGGATGTATTCACTCTATGTTGATTCGCTTCAGATATTCATATGTCCTGTATGACATTAACATGAATTCATTTACTGATTCAGTTATCTTGCCATGTTAGTTTTATTAACAAATGTGGTATGGTGATTCATATGTCCGTCTGATTTTTTAAAATGTCATCTACATTAAATAATTTCATTTCTTCATCAATCTTACATGATCAACAGTTCAGATATTCATATGTCCGTCTGATTTTTTAAAATGTCATCTACATTAAATAATTTCATTTCTTCATCAATCTTACATGATCAATTTGTTATTTTAGATGAGTGGGAAAACTTTCTAGAGCGAATTAAATCAACTGCAGATGCTGTTGAAGATAATGATAACCTTGAATTGCGGTTTTGGGCATCTTATCGCGGCCAAACATTGGCAAGAACAGGTTATTGTGTTTCTTTGCTACCTGAATTGCCTGTTGGCAATCGTCTCCTTTTTTTCCCCCTTGTTTCTTTGACTTCCAAATGTTAAGCCTCCCTTTTATTAGCTCATCTACTTCAGCTGCCATATCATGGCTATTCTGTTGCTTTCTTCTTTCGCTCATGTGCTATTAACAATTTCATGGCGTGATCATGTAGTGCGTGGTATGATGTACTACAGAAGGGCCCTTATGTTACAAAGTTATCTAGAAAAGCGCTATCTTGGAGGTACTTTCTTGTTGCTGTTCATCTGCCAATCTTTACCAGACCTGTAATCTTTATTGTGATATTTTTCTATATATTATAATGTGATATTGCAGGAATTGAAGATGGTTATTCTGGAGCTGATTACATGAGTACACAAGGATATGAATTGTCTCCTGAATCGCGTGCCCAAGCTGATCTGAAATTTACGTATGTCGTCTCATGCCAAATTTATGGTCAACAGAAACAAAAAGGGGCTCAAGAGGCAGCCGATATTGCTCTCCTTATGCAGAGGTTAAATAAATTCTTATCTTTGAAACAAAGGGTTTGCCTTTGATATAGGCCGTTGAAAGTCATAAATGTTATTGATATATGTTCAAATTCTCTGACTTTTGTTGTCATTATGGATTTTATAATTGTGAAATTTTGGTTTTCAATTTGACAATTTGGACATTGTAGATTTGCAAGCCTCTAGAATTTTTGTAGGAATTACATGCTGCAAGATATTGATTGTTTCCAACTGCTGTTATGATGGTCCATCCAAGGTGCACTTATGTATGATTAGCATGGATACTCATTATGGAATCCTCATTTTGGTCTGGTTTCATAGGCTTCAATGAGTGCATATTATCTTTCACGTGTTGTGGGCTATTCGAAAATGCTATGGCAACTAAGAGATGCCTATATATTCTAATGCATACATCTTTCAAAACTTGCTTTCTTTTATCAAAATCAAGTCTACCTGTTTTCAATAATTGAATTTATGTGTTGTGATGCATCATAATTGAGCTGCCTGTCAGTGGGGCTAACTGTTCGTTGGGATAGAACGAAAAAACGCCATTGCTATCTTGATTTATTCGTCTGCCTCTTTTTCTTTTCATTTGTTTTTCTTGCTCTGGTTTCCTAGCTCCTATTACTGTCCTTTTATGCAGGGGTTTGATGTGTACTGCCCGGTACGGGTGGTACATATCAGTCCGAGAGGATACCGGTACGCGGACCGTCCTCTACCAGGCAGTACTAATGTTTTGACCGGTACCGAGGTGTATCGACCAGTACCGAGATGTACCGACCGGTATCACCTCGGATTTCGATCGTTATCGAGGTATACCGATCGGTATGCCTTGGCGTGGTAGGTGACTGCATTTTTAAGGTTTTAGGGTATACCATCGGTACGTACCGTATCGAGCAGAGCTCGGTATGCCGATACAGACTGGTATTCAAAATCCTGCTTTTATATTGTTGCTACTTTCAATTACATGTTTTTTCTTCTCTTTGTTTTCTTTCTTAATTTGTAATTTCTTTGCTCCTGCCACTCTTCAATTAATCATTGCTTTGTGTTCTTGGTTTTTCCATAATGTTACTTTTGATTCCCCTGTCCGTTCCTTTTTTTTCATCTTCTCCGTCATCTTTCGGTTTCTTTGCTCTTGAAATGAAGTATCACGATTTCACCTCACTAGAAAAGAAAGGATGCAGAGGAAGGATAGATGCCTTGTCATCATATTTCTATATGCTCACCATCTGGCATAAGTTGAGATAGAGTGGAGATTTCCTAGAGGGAGAGGTTATAGGAAAGAAAGTAGCTTTAGCCTCTAAGGGCGATATGGATGTCATGTTAAAGAATGGAAACGCAATGTAGGGCCAAAACAGGGCCCATTGCTTACTTCAAGGCTGTGGACAATTTTCTTTGCCTTTGCTGTATTACTATAAATATAATAGTCGATAACTGCCATATTATCTTTGTATGTTGTTCTTTATTTATTTTCAATAATCTTATTGGTGATTTACTCTTTTTTTCTCTTATATTAAAATCTTATTTTTCATATTTGATATTTTATTTCCGTATTTCTTTGAAAAGATAGATATCTTATGGAATATGAAGCTAAAAGAGTTTTTCTGGCATTTATATTCAGTTTTTAAAAATTATGCTTTTGTTTTTGAGCTATTTTATCTTGATCCACCATATCTTATTTATCTAGTTTCTCGTCTTTATCCTACCGTCCTCTTGTTTTGGTTCTATTTCTCCTAGCTGATTCATTCCTAATTCACATTTTGATCCTGTATATGTTGGTTGAAGCTACTTTAATTTCATCCAAGGATCCGTTCCTTTGCTGTCTGAATGTAAATAGATAATTTTCTGAAATTTTGTTTTTGGAATATCTTATCATATCTTTTTTATGTTAAGCAAGTGACTAAGGTCCAAAGGGTCTCTTATATTAAATTTTGTTTTTCTGAAAGTTCGCCCTGTGCCTTGGTTCCAAAGGGTCTTAGCTCTTAGTGTTCCTTGAGCCTTTGAAAATTTTGGTCCTTGTGCCTTAATGTTCCTTGAACATTTTGGTCTGTGAACTATGGATGGCTGTAACTCTTTAACTTTTTTTGCAGTATGTCAAAGTTCTTTTTTCTTTGTCTTATTGTGTGTGTTGGTTGTTGCTGTGCTGAATGAATATTGCCCTGTCCTGTTGCTTGAATTCCAGAAATGAGGCTCTTCGAGTTGCTTTCATACATGTCGAGGAAAATGCATTAGCTGATGGAACAATTTCTAAAGATTTCTACTCAAAGCTTGTCAAAGCTGATGCTAACGGAAAAGATCAGGTGCACAGGATAGCACATTAATGGTTGAATTGGTTTATCTTCTTTTCCCATTGTTCATTTTTTCAGCGAAGTTTTTATATTTCCAAGTTATTCTTGTATTTGTTATACTTAATAAGGTGCAGATTAATTGTCGTGCTTTATTTCATTATTTTATCATCTGTATAATATTTGAAAAAAACATATTTTGGTACAAGTATTGACAAATTTGTTTATTGCTATTTTAGCCTGGTTGCTGAAATCTGTCCAAAGCATGGTATGCAATTTCGAATGGTATTGTCCGGTACGGGCGGTATGTATCGGTTCGATGGTATACCGGTACGTGGACCTCTCGCTACCGGATGAAACGTGCTACACGGCTACAGTGCTATACTGTAGCAGTGCTACAGTACTACAGTAGAGAGAGAAATATTTAAAATTTGGCATACCGCTTGGTATACCCTGGTGTACCGCTCAGTACTTGGTACCATACCAAGCCAACCTCGAAACACTGGTATGGTACGGTATTGCATACGGTGGTCCAAAGGATTAATGATTGTGTGTTTGTAAATTATCTGATTGAACCATGAACAGAATAATTTTGCTGCTCTATGATAATGTGTTTGACATTTCTATTTTGTTACTCTTGAGGACTAGCAGAAATCAAGTGTGAAGTGTGCTTATATGGACCTCTTAACCATCCCAGAACTTTTAACCGTTGAATATCCAAATGTAGGTGTGGGCTTTTCAATGAATACATAGAATTACTTTGCTAAACAACAATATGAACTTGAAAATGATCATGTAAATGAAAATGGGAAATGATATGTCTTCTGTTTGTAAAAAAGAAATCCCTCTTGTTGCTTCCTTTTGTACCTGGAGTGGCTATTTGACAGGCTATTGTACCGACATTAATATATTCAAATATGCAATTTGTATGCCCTGGAACATCTTTATGTTAAGTCAGAGAGAAGCATGCTTTAGTTGAAGATTTAATATGATTTATTTTTCTCAAGCCTTCCAATTTTTCTGTTGGAAAGTTGAGTCTTGGATGAGTTTTGATGTGGCCACTAGAATATCAACACAAATTCATTTTCTTTTTTCCAAATTCAACGTAGCTTCATGTATTGATCAATGGGTCTTTGCATTTCGTGATTGTGACACACTTGGACTGTAGTTCATTGATATTGCTTTTTGTTGTAATAAAATTTGAAATTCCAAATCACAACTTTGACTAGGCATTTTGAGTTTTTGATTTTGTTCTACTCAACATAACTATGCAATTGTTGCAACTTGCTATCATATGCTAATTGGCAGTTGTCTTTCAAATGCTTTACAATTCTATTTTAGGTCAAGTGTAACTTTTATTACACCATGTAATGTCCTTTCCTTTTCATTATAGTCATAATTTGTTGTAATTGGCTGGAGAGTTCTTTTTCAAAATATTTTCTATCATTGATATTTTGTTTTCGATTTGTTATTCTTTAATCATTTTTTGTGTGCCTTAATACCATCTAGGAAATATATTCAATCAAGCTTCCTGGAGATCCCAAGCTCGGAGAAGGGAAACCTGAAAACCAGAATCATGCAATCATCTTCACCCGTGGGGATGCTATTCAAACTATTGACATGAATCAGGTTGCTTTGTGATTCATATTATTTCAGACTAGTTCATCTGCCACTAAATTTTAATTTTAATCAATTTAGTTTTTAAGTTCTTAATGAAGGTACTAGGTTATATAACAGAGAAGGCAAAAGAACTAAGTCAGGAAAGTAACTAGTACCAAGGTTTCATATACCAGTTGAACTGGTACATATTGTTCTGACCACGGACCACACCAGGCCATATAGGTTGGTACTGCTGGTATTTAGATCTTTATTACTTTACTAGTGAGACCAAATTGTACAAGGCGACATACTGCTTGCGTACCAGTATGACCAGTTGCCTAATGAGGTGTTGGTCCGAAATTTGAACTCCTTGCATATGACTATATAAATTTTAGCGTATGTTTTATTTTTCTTGTTGAGTGTTTAGCAGTAAAATAATATGTACATCTCCTTTTTTGTCAGATTTTGTAATTTCATTGAATTAGAATGCAAGGGTAGGTAGGCAACACTATATTAAAAATCATGTTAGCACTAGTTGGCCCTGTTGTTGCTAGACATAGTCTTCTTGGAACTTACAAAGGTCAGATTCCATAATAAGTGCGATACCGTACCCTTGATTACCGACTACTTTTGGATCAGCTGTCTGCATGGCTACTTTTCTGATTTGGAATATCTCAAAGCCATGGTAATCAACTCTTGGTCTTCCTTTTCTCATCATGATTCTCAAGTTTGAACTTTTGCTGTGTATTACATAATACATATATTTATATATCAATTAAATTACTGTTCTGGATATAAGTAAATTGCCTCAAGGAATTAATTGAAGAAACCCTAGATGACTCGTCTTCTAGGAGAGTGCCTCATAGAATGCAAATATTACCAATTTAGACTAATGGGCTGTCTATTTGCTGAAAAATTAAATGGCTTGCACCAGCAAAATTTTCGACCTTGCTTGTTTGTTGCAACCGGTTGTGAAAACTGGTTTAACCAGTGTTTTCGGTATACTACTGATATTGATATGGAGCATTAGTACTGGTTACCATACCTGTGTGCTCAAACAGGAGATAAATTGACTTCACAACAGTAGAAAACTAGCATGTGTTGCACTAGTTAAATATTTTAATGCTTATTGATAAACATTTTTAGGTGGTTACTTTTATGTTTGCATGAATTAATCAGTTTAGTCACATGTTTGTCTATGTTCCCGACCTGTTATCAATCAGTAAATTCCATCACATGATGCAGGACAATTACCTAGAGGAGGCTATGAAAATAAGGAATCTGCTAGAAGAATTCAATGGAAAACATGATCTTCGAGCTCCTACTATTCTTGGTGTGAGGGAGCATGTCTTTACAGGAAGGTTGCTGTCTCCAGCTTGTCAGAATTCCCTTTTTTCTACTGTTCTAATTCTAGCTTCTCTAAGTATGTTTATTATCTTGTCAGTGTTTCATCGTTAGCTTGGTTCATGTCCAATCAAGAAACTAGCTTTGTTACATTGGGACAACGCGTTTTGGCATATCCTCTCAAGTAAGTTTTGCCATTTGAAGCTCTTGTTAGAGCTTACTTTCAAATTGCAAAATTTTCAGATCCTCAGAGAATTCCATTTTTGTGTTTTTGTGGGTCAGACGATGTTTGCCATGTTTGTTGAGCTAATTGATGTGGAACTGTGTAGCTGATAGAAATAATTGATGTGGAACTCCACTTCACTTTCAAAACCGACATTTTTCTGCTTCAGCGCTCGATAGAGATTAAATTACCGTTTAAGTATTCTGTAAAAAAATTATTAGAATATTTCACTTGCTAATCATATTTATATTACTACCTATTTTATTATCTGCTTCATAGTTAATGATGGCTGGTTAGTTAGAAGAGATTGATGTATCTATTGTGATTTCAACTACCATGATGCTGTCAGCATATTAGCATTCAATAACACCAACATACTTATTTGTATTAGTTGGTGATTACCTTTTTTGTGTTGGTGTATTGATTTATACTAAAGTTTGCAATGCTGCTTGGTACGGTTTGGTATCGATGGTATTTGCAGATCGGACAATCTGCCAGCTCACAAACCTGGGTAAACCGGCAGTACACTTGATACAAAGCCTGTACTACCTGGTACAAGGCTTGTACTGCTTGGTGACTTCCTTTTTTTCATTTTCCAGTCTTTTTTAGAATGCATCCTAACTCGGTTCGTATTGGTGTATGGCACAGTATGTCAGTATGACTCGGATCTATACTGGTCCCATCTTAGATCGGTATGGGACTGGTATTTGAGATCGTGTGCCTTGACGCATACCATATTGTATTGATAGGTATGTAGCTTATCAAGGTTCATGGAATTTTGTGTATGTAGAAGATTTTCTTACAACTTAAGGTGAAATCTATGAACTAGAGTCTTGTCTAAAGAAATTGATGTTGTCAAATAATTGAGTTTGGTATAAATTTGTGAATTTATAATTTTTTTTATCCTACAATTGGTATAAAATTGTGGGTATCTTTTCTTGTATACATCTTCCGTATATCTCAATATCCTACATTCTACCCTAGCATGTATTACAATGAATGTTTAAAATCTTGATCTGAAGCCGATATAACTTTGGCAGCCGGAGCAGTATGAATCCGGTACAGACCGGTGTATTGACACTTGTACGGGTTAATACCATCCAGACTGAGAAAGGGAGAGCAGAGGGGAGGAGCAGTGGAAGAGGAGGCATGTCAGAGAGTGGCAACTCTTATGAGGAGGAAGTGGTAACGGTGATGCAGCAGAGTCGCGGAGAATGGCACTGACGAGGAAGTGGTGCAGCCATGAATGAGGAGATCCTGCTGTGTGAAAGAGAGGAAGAAAGGGAGCATGATGGGAGAGAGAAAATAAAATTTAAAAAGGTAAATCGGACAATTGTCAGAAGTTCTGAGAAAATAGGGATACCGGCAGTAGGCTTATTATTAGTGGTACACCCAATAAGGTAATTGATCCGAGAGAAAACTGATGGTCCATGTACTGCTTCCTGATTGGACCAGTAATTACTGGTTGGTGGCAACATATATGATCGTTTTAAAAATTTTGATTACAACTGCATCTGCACGTCAGTGAGATGTGTCACTATGAAGTCCTTCCACTTACATGAACCTAGAAACCCATATATAAGACCACCTATAAATCAAGGTAGATTACACTAGGGACAAACAGATGTGCCACTATGAAGGCCCTCACTTGCTGTCCTCTTAAAATATCATGGTCAACTTGAAGCACCATATTTAGATCCTCCAATCATGAGAGAGTCGGTTTTTCCTAAAGCTTCTCTCCATACAGATCTAATCTACATTCACATGAAACATAATAGTCTTAATGTGAAACATATTAGTCTTAATCTTTGCTTTAAAGCACTTGTTCAATCAATATACTATGTTCTGTTGTTACATTTTGGAAAAAAATATGAACTGTTAGTATGGATCTATGACCTTCTCATTTGTTTGAGTTTTTTTTAGGCAAATTATATGCAGCAGCGTGTCCAATATCATTTCACTAGGTAAAAGATATTAGGGGTTGTTTTTGCAGGTTGGTAGATCTTGTAACATTAGTGTCAGATTTCCTTTTACCTGTTACTCCTTATGTCTTGATCTTCACATTTGCTGATGTTCACTTTTAGAGTGATTTTTTATTATGAGACTCGGTAGTCATCTTTTTCACTCTTAAATTGGATCTTCTTGTTCATACATATTTGTTCTGTAATAAAATGTATGAGATCATTTGGTTTAACATCCTCTTTTCTCATTTTCTTTCTTATCTTTTAATAGGGTTCGTATGCACTATGGACATCCAGATGTTTTTGATAGGACATTTCACATAACTAGAGGTGGCATAAGCAAGGCATCTCGTGTAATCAACATCAGTGAAGATATATATGCTGGTTGGTTTCATGAACATTTGGCATCCTTTACCCTACAGTTTACACGAACTCCCTTTTTGCTATTTCTTTTATGTACAGTAACAAATTAGAAGTGCTTTTTTATTTGTTTTTGGATCTGCAAATCAACATAGTTTTCAAGGTCTAATGCTGTTATGCTGCCAACTTTTTTAGATTTGTTTCGTCTGCCATTGGATTATGCTGCCAAATATACTAATGTATGTTGGATAGGTGCTGCTATGCTAGTTCCTGTAATATCTTTTGGTTAGATACTAGTATTTGAATTATTATTATTATTAACAATGTTGAAAGTATGTTGCCAGCATGTAATTGTTATCTTTCTTGTATGCAACTAAGACTTGCGCTATGTTTGCCAGAAAACCCAAAATGGATTCTATAAATTTACTTAAAGAATCTAATTTGACTTTACTGTAAGGATATTGAGGTAGCTATAGTTTTATTCATTTGACAAATGAACTATTTGGATGACCTAGATTAGCTTGCAAGTTGCAGAAAGTTTTAAATGATTTCAAAGGCATATAGTGATACCAAGGTGTTTGTTGAATGATTCCAGACTACTGAAGTTTCTCCTGCTTGTACCAATGCTTTTTCGGTTTCTCATATTGCCACTTAATCTTTTAAGGGCCACTCATCATAATGAGACATGGTGGCATGGGCTTTGTTACTATTGATGCAAGTACAGGTCCTCCTAACTTCTTGTATTCAAGGTTCAATTTGCAGCACGGAATCTTCATGAATGAGGATAGTAAACAGAGACTGAAACGTGGTAGAGAATAAATCTGAAAGGAGGATTAGAATTTGTAGAAATGCCATGAAGGATATGGAAAGAAGACAACTATGGCTATTGAGCCATAAAAAAGCTTATTGTTTCATCTTTGCATATGATAAAATATTCACAACTTATAACTAGCCTCATATTTACATTAAAAGGTGTCTTTAGAAAAAGGAAATAGAGATTAGAATTAGGTAATTATATCTTTTCCTTTCAAGATGTTTATTATAGCTTTCAGTTTCTTTGTTTGCTGTTGAGAAGTCTTAATTTTGACAAATTCAAGGTTTGCCTTATCGGTGTACCGATCGGCCATTGGTATGGTATGTACCGATTTATATCAACGTATTGCATGTCGATATGGCAACATGTACCAATGGCACGAAAAATGATCCAAAAATTCTTGAAAAATAGAAAAAGATAGATTAGGATTTTTAAGTTAAAAATAAATATAAATTTAGTATAATTTTAACAAAAATAATCTACATTAGTAAAGAATAATGATATTTTTCAGGCTTTGAGTAGTTTTACGGTATGTTCCGAGTCGTTCTTTCGTTGATATTGAATTATTTACAAAGAAATGATTTGAATTGTTAGATTATTTTTTTAAAAATTAAACTTTAAGATTCAAATAAATCTAGTAATCAATCGATGGATATATCCCGTTCTTTCACCAAAAAGAACGATGGGACTCCATAGGTGGTGGATCTGGGTCTTCGATTTTATGTATATGTATATTAATTTGATATGCTTGTCGAATCCAATCCTGAAATTGTTCTCACGACATAGTATACTGATACATTATATGCCATTGGTGCATCAATATGGTGATGATTGTAGTCTAATTGTCATAAACCATACGTGTCCGAGGTGGCTCCTGAGGCAAGTATGATTGTGGCATCTGTTGGTACAGAGCACGGAGAATATCATAACTTTTACTTTTGCCATTGATCTGCTATTTCGTATCATAAGATCGAGCACCGTACTATTGCTCAGAGACGAATGACCATCACTGTGCTGCTGTTAGTCGTAAATTCTCCATAATACGATGGCTGTGAATATGATGAGCTCCGTTCTATGTATACGTTGTGTCGGCTTTGTTGCATCTGCTCAAAATCATCCACTGCTTTTCCTTTCGCCTTCCATGTATAAACTTGATTAGTACCTCGTCGAGTTCCATGATTTGAATCTTGGGTGAGTTTAAGAGAGTGAAAATATTTTGTTTAGTTAATCCTCAAATTTGATTCAATCAAGTTTAAGTATTAATCCTCCTAAATTAGCCTCCTAAATTTGATCTAATCTATAAATCGTACTTTTGTTGAGTTTAAGAGAGAAATTATGAGAATGAGAGAGAGATGCGAGTGAGAAAGAGTTTGAAAGAGTTTAAGAGTTTGAGAGAGTGAAATGGGTTGAAGGAGGCGGGGGGAGGAAAAAAACCCTTTCCTCCCGTTCAAACGATCAAATAGACTGTTTGAAACTTGGCAATCTTAGCCCTTGATCGGTATCGGCCGAAATCTAACCATTACTGATCAGAACGATTGGGTTTCGACTATTCCGACTGGTATAGATCTGGTATCGCTCGATACAGGATCATGTAATGTGTACCGCCCGTTATAGTACGGTCCACATACCGGTCTCCTGTCGGACTAGTATGTACCGCTGATTCCGGGCACTTTACCATGGTGCAGTGGACTTCGGACAGATTCACTAATTTTGAGTCGTTTCTGGTGTTTGAAAATTTTTAGTTTTTTGACCATGCTGGATTGTGATTAGCAGTTCTAAACCCAAAAATTGTTGGAAATATTCTTTTAATTAAAAGATTAATGCCTGGGATATAATTCGATGGTTTAGCTTGATTTTTGGCAGTCTCAGCCCCAAAAATCTATCCAGACTGTTACTTAAATTCATAGGCATTTTCAGACTAAGATAGCTGATCCCAATTTATTTAAGCTTGTCTAGAATGAGTTATGTGGTCAGTTTTGTAATGGGTGATTTATCTCCAACTGGCATACTTAAACCTCTCTTGAGAATCCTACAGCAATTTTGTAAGAGTAAATGAATAAATTCTCTCCAGGCAGTCGGTGCTATTAATTTATTTTTCTAAAACAATATTCATCTGCTTGTAAATGTTTAGACTAAGTGTTTGGCCAGGAAAACATGTAAATGAAAGCATTGACTTGCAAATTAAGAAAATCTGAAATGAGTGAAGATAAATAATGTTTTCCAATTGATTCAAGAAATTATATAGGAACAAGGATAATGCATTATTGAAGTGATAACATTTTTGTAAAATGTAAAATTTTAATAGTAGATTAGTCAATCACATGGATTCTTTGATGACTGATTACGATGTTTGTCAAGTAGGATGTCTTATTCTATGGTTTATCATTGAACCTATTGTTGGAATGCCTAAGTGTTTTAAGGTTTCTTGCAGGGTTCAATTCCACATTGCGACAGGGCAATATTACACACCATGAATATATTCAGGTTCTGCTTGTGTTATCTTTCAGTGAATTATAATGGCATGTTTGCTGAAAACTTTGTCTTGTAATAGGTTGGAAAAGGCAGAGATGTTGGGTTGAACCAAATTGCTCTTTTTGAGGGTAAAGTAGCTGGTGGAAATGGAGAACAAGTGTTGAGTAGAGATGTTTATCGACTTGGGCAGCTTTTTGACTTCTTTAGAATGTTATCTTTCTTCTTCACAACAGTTGGTTATTATGTTTGTACTATGGTACTAATTTTCCCTTTATCTTTCTGTGTGCCTTATATGAATTTTTGAAATTATTTGGACTGTGATCTATGGAACTTCCCTTCTTTCTATGCAGATGACTGTTCTTACTGTTTACATTTTCTTGTACGGAAGAGTGTACCTGGTAATTCCTGGCTCAATTATCAAGTATATCTTATTGAGTTACACAGAAACGATTTATTATTAATTTAATTTTTCATTTTTTTACATATTTTAGTGAATTTTTTTTTTATCATAAACAAATTAATTATAGTTATTGTTTTTTTCTCTTACTGGTCAATTATATATTATAATCCTTGTTTACCCTAAATCAAGTCGTCTGAAACTTTTTAGGCACTATCTGGACTAGATTCTGCAATATCAACGAAGGCTAGGATGTTGGGCAACACTGCACTAGATGCTGCTCTAAATGCTCAGTTCTTGGTTCAAATTGGAGTTTTTACAGCAGTACCAATGATAATGGGTTTTATATTGGAGCTTGGATTAATGAAGGTCTGCCTGGCTATTTCTGTAGTTCTTTTCCCTTCTTGAAAAATATTTTAATAAATTTTGTGGATTTAGTGTTCCTAGTCTGCTTATGCAGTACTGTTCTATAGAACTTGTTGTCATTAGTTGCCTCTTCATTTTATTATAAAAGATAATTAAGGAGCAGTTACCTTCCCCATTAAGTAATTCAGGAATTGGCTACAAGAATTATAACATGCACAGCCATTTAGTATAGTGTTCAAGATACAAAATATAATTTTGTTTGAAGTAATGGGCCAATAATTTCAGATTGTAGTAACTTGGAAGACTGTCAAGTTTGAATCTATGACCATTCGGAATGCTGACTTTTTTAATATTAGTTGAACTTTTTGATTCATGTTGAAAACCATGCAGGCTGTCTTCAGTTTTGTTACCATGCAACTCCAGCTTTGTGCAGTTTTCTTTACATTTTCTCTTGGAACCAGAACCCACTATTTTGGTAGAACGATTCTTCATGGAGGTGCCAAAGTATGTACTCTTACCTGTTGAACTTTTTGTGGTGATTCTGCCTTCTCTTAATGCATAATACTCATTGATTTTAACAGTACAAGGCAACTGGTAGAGGCTTTGTTGTTCGTCATATCAAGTTTGCTGAAAATTACAGGCTTTATTCAAGAAGCCACTTTGTTAAGGCGTAAGTTCTATTATCTTCCAATCTTCGATGTACTTTTGTTTGCTTCAGAGGAATCTTTTATCTTAATATACATGAATGGTTTTGATTTTTGCAGACTTGAAGTTGCACTTCTTCTGATTGTCTACATTGCATATGGATATACTAGAAATGGTGTATCTTCGTTCATTCTTCTCACTGTCAGCAGTTGGATCCTCGTGATATCATGGCTATTTGCACCATATATTTTCAACCCTTCTGGATTTGAATGGCAGAAGTAAGTTTCTCATGAAATTAATTATAAATGTGATATTTTCAATTACTTTGTAATTTGCAAGTATCTTGATTTTTTAAAGTCCTTTTTCTTAAGTTGAGTTTTCTATGTTTGTTTTTTATGAATGGTACTGTTTGATATCTGATTACCAGAACTGTCGAGGATTTTGATGATTGGACTGCTTGGCTTCTGTATAAAGGTGGAGTTGGGATTAAGGGAGAGAATAGCTGGGAATCTTGGTGGGATGAAGAGCAGGTATTTTTTTTAGTTTTCTTGAAATGCTTAATATGCATTTGTGCTTTATCATGTGGACCCTCTAATCTCCTTCATCATGTAATATATAATATATTCGATTATATCTTATATCCTGTCTCTTTGGTTTTCAGAAAATTAATTATTGAACTGGAGCTGCAGCTCGTCTTGCAACATTAGCTGTTTTTGAATAAATTATTTTAAAATACTAAATGGTCTTAAAATATCTCTTACTAAAGATATTATTTTGTTGTTCTGGTATTTTCTTTTGATGGTCTTTAAACTTCAGTGCTTGTGTTTTGTTGATTTTGGTATGGTAGTATTTGGCTTAAAGTGAGCCTCTTCTGGCCCTTTTCATGTGTCCTTTAAATGATGACATTGTCTTAAAGGAGCATGTCTTATAAGGTTGATAGTGCTGTTTTTGTTGTAAATATTTAATGGGCTTTTTTTCTCTATTTATTTATCCTGTCCTCTTAGTGGGGTCAAATTCGCTTGTTCCATGTCTTCTGACAATGGATGGCGTTGATTGCTGATGGCTTTACTTGCTTCTAATAGTGTGATCAAATGGTATGGTGAGTGATGAACAGTGTATATTTATTTACCATGACTAGTAAGGTCCACTCCTTAAGTTGACTGGTTAACAAAATTACCAAATTGGTTGATACGAAATAAGTCTGGTTTGTATATATGACTCGTTAAACATTTCTGTTGGATTGAATTATCGGTTCATCTCTCCTCATCTCAGATTATTTATGTTCTTCAAACCTAGTGCAGTTTGTTGGACATGGCATTTCAATTAATCCATGTTTTGTAGTTTGTTTAGGATTTTGGCTTTGATGTGTTCTTGCAGATTATCAATCTTGTACTGAGAGCTAAGAAGTCAAAATTTAGTATTGAATGATGTTTACTATCCTATAAAGATTTCTTTAACCATGATTAAATATCTTCTTAATTTTAGTTATATTTTGTTTATGAGTCATATCAAAATACTTATAGGGAATATTTTGGAAATGTTTTCTTAATTTGTAATATATTTTGTCGTGTAGAGTCATATCCAATTATAGAGGGAAAATTTTGGAAATTTTTTCTTAGCGTATCTAATATTTTGTTCTGTAGAGCCACATCCAAACACTTAGAGGAAAGATCTTGGAGACTATCTTGAGCCTCAGATTTTTCATATTTCAATATGGAATTGTCTACAAGCTGCATCTCACTGGAGCTGATACTTCACTCGCCGTAAGTTTTATCCTCATAACCACTTGACTATTAGCAATCGCTGGGACCAATTGAAGTTTTATATTAGTGGTTCTACTGCTATCTTTATCAACAAATTAAGAATATGACTTTCTCATAGTGTGTATTGTTTCAGTCTTGTACAGATTTATAGAACTGCTTGCTTCATGTTTTTAATTATCTCATATGCGCCACCTTCAAATAAGTACTTATAGTTTTCATATTTATTCGATTATTACTGCTGAATATTTGGGCATAATTGTGGTGGAAGAAACCATAATTACTAGTAGATGATAGAAAAATGTAAAATTTTCAGATTAGAGATACTTTTATTTGCATTATTAGGTACTTGTATTTGCATAATTAGGATATACATCTGATAATAAACTGTGGCACTAATAGTCAAATGCTAGTTTTCCATGGTATTAAGATATCTTTTATAAGGTTTTAAATATTAGTACTGGTACTGGCACCCATAGTAGAATTTTACCAGGTTGATATGTATCTATTGGTATGGTATGCTATGTCTACAGATAATACACTAGTAAGAAAAAATATTTAAACTTATTGTATTTTTAGGTACATTGTAATATCAGGAAGTTATGAGGGTGTAGTTGATGTAAATAATATTTGAAACCTAGTTGTCAACATTGAAAGCTGAGGCACCTAAGATAGTTGGGTGAATTTGAGTCCAAAAGACTTCAGGTAAGAAAAAGTGAAAGCCCAATTGAGCTCAATATCTGAGAAACCCAAAAATTAAATCCATCCTATATCAACAGATAAAATAGCAAACTTATTGTGTGAAACACAAACGAAATACAGAGAAAATGCAAACAAATGAGTCATTGTCTGACAGAATCTTACCAGGTGATATGTATCTAATGGTATGGTATACTTTGCCTTGATATAGTACACTTGTAAGAAACTAAATATTAAAGATTATTGTATTGTCAGTACATTGGTATATCACGAAGGTAAGAGGGGTGTAGTTTGTTATAGACAATATTTGAAACCCAAGTATCAACAATGAAAGCTGAGGTATCTAAGATGGGTGAACTTTACTCCAAAATACTTTATAAAGTAAAATGTCAAAGCCCAATTGAGCCCGATATTTGAGAACCCCAAAAGTCCAATCCATGATATCATATATCAACCGCACAAATACCATATTCAATGTATGAAAGCCAAAGTGAAATAAAGAGAGAATACAACAACAACAAAACCATAAGTCTCAATTATTTGGGATTGGCTACATGGATCTTTTGTCATAACTGAGATATGTAAAAAGCCATATGTTTAGTTAAGTTCAGGATACTTAAATATTTATTTATAGTTTATATTAAAGTAACTATAAATACTTATTGAGCCCTTTATCTTGCGCTGTTCCCCTTATCTTGGGAAGAAGGTTGAGATGAACATAGACTTCTGCTTCCTAGATTTCTCCTTGTTTCCAAGCATAAAGTTGAACCTTTTTCAAGTCGATGAAGTGGGAAGAAGAAATGTTGTTCCTTGATTTTGCACTAGAATAAGATTACAGTCACAAGTTTCATATAAATCTCTTACATTGGCAAGTGTCGGACTGCCACATCAATGTCAGTGGTTTCCAAGCATGTTAAAAGAAGGCTCACTTATGGTCAAAGACACTTGCAATGAGGCAAATGAGTAGAGATGGTAAAATTGCTGTTTTGGTTGTCTCAGATTGACATGGAACTTCCACGAGGGCAGGAGGCCAACGGGTAGAATTAGTAAGGATTGTTGCGATAGTTGGAATAAATTGGCTTTTATTGTCCTAGAGAGGAATTGTGATGCATCATGCCAACCTTTAATACTGTTGCTGATGTATAGAAAGGTCAATCTCGGGCCCATGTCGATCAGCACTAGAATCTGCAGATAGAGTGGGGTTGAAACGTATGGTGCCTTTAGGCATCAGTATTTGCCTGTCCATGGAATGACAATTCTTGAGAAGCTGACATTTGTTGGATATCCTCTAGGTCCTAGCTTATGTCCTTCAAATGTAGCTGGATGGCCAATGTAGTTACTAGGCACCAATCTCTAGTACTATAGTGGATGATTGCCAACAATAAAAATCAGGTGGCTAACTTTGGATAACTTCAACCAACACCAATACTTTTACCAATTAACATCCTAGAAAATTTCACAAATCCCTTCTCTCTTAGTTTTCTACTTTTCAGAAATATATTGGTTGATGAATTAGTAGTTGACATTTTTGATTCTTTAGTCCCTTCAGTATTTATATACCTGTTATGTTTCTTGGCTTATTTACAAATGGTATTCAAGCTCTTATTTTTGCAAGGTAGCCACGACTTATATAGGTGAATCCATGGAGGGTCATCATTGACTAGCTTTCAAAAAAATCTTTTTTATTATTATCCCAGCTTATGGAAGCTATTGCACACTTAGCAATCAATTGTAGCGCCTATCTGTAGATTTCTAGTATATTGCATTCACAACAAATGCATGTATGTGCATCTCTGTCGAGCATAGTTAAGGATGCAATGCCTAAGTTCCAGTGCCTATGTGAGCCATCCAAGGTGGTCATATGCTTCATACGTTTACAAATTTGAAAAATGCTTGCAACGTAGGCTTCTGAATTTGGCAACTTTAGCTCATATATCCAGTATTTGGATTGCACCTCTGTTTCCATCCATCCCACAACTAGACTCATTGATACTAGGGCATGCAAACAGGCTGAATCTCACCAACCGATTATGAAATATTTTGTTGAGCTACACATCACCTGTCACGTAAGCTTAATGACACTAATGTTAATTTTACTGTGAACATTGGGTCAATGGATGACCCTTTGCTTTTTGCAAAAAGTTCAGCCAGAACTTAACCTTGTAAACTTATCCTTTTGCACTTTTGTTTTTTAGCTTATTATACTTCAAAATGATTCAACGAGCAACTTTGTTTTACATAATTTCCAAAGGACATCACTGGCATGCAAAGCACAGGGTTTCTGCTCACTGGTGTCAATGTCATGTCTGGCAAAGTGTGTCAGCACACCCTTGGCACAGCATGTATCTCAACACCAATGCTGCGCTAACATGGGACATTCCATCTGGTATAAGCCAGCATGTTCACCTTGTGCAACCCTTGTAAACTATAGCAGCTTGTGTCTGTGTGACATAATATTATTAGCAAGGAGTGCAGTTTCGGTTACCGTGCTGGTCCATAGCCTAACAGGTACAGGTCCAACATACTGTAATACCATTGGGGGAGGGAGAGGAGGAGAGGAAGAAGAAGGAAGAGGAAGAAAAAGAAAGGAAGAGGAGGAGGTGGAGGAAGGAGGGAAGGCATACTAAAGTGAGTGGAGCACATCGACAGTGGCAAGAGGCGACCGTATGAGCAGTGGTGGGTGAAGACCTTGCTAGGAGTCGTGAGGAGTCAGGTCTGGCTGAGCTCTAGTTAAAAGGGGTGTGTGTGTGTGTGTGCTGGTTGGACCAATAAATACCAGCTGAACCTGCTGGTTTAGCAAACCATGATTGATAGTTTTGTTTACTACACTTGCTGTGTTTCCTGTCATCAACTATGATTCTCTTGTTTGCCCCTCGAAGTGTGCCCTTGGTAGGGGTTTTAACATTTGCACAATTTAATCCAAAGTTAGCTTGCAAGTACTGGTATTATCTGCAAAAAGATAAGGTATCTGTATTCACCATCATCAATATTTTTTAACAGAATTTGAAATGGTTACTTAGTCCATATCTCTTTTTACTGGTGCTGAATGGTTCCAACTTGTCTTTCCAGATTTATGGTTTTTCATGGGTAGTTCTGCTTCTAATCGTCATGATATTCAAGGTGAGGAACAACATGCCTGCTTTAAAAGTGAAGAATTAAGTTGCATTGCATTATGGTTCTTATTTTGCCTTGCAGGTTTTTACCGTTAGTCCAAAAAAGACACAGATTCAGCTGATGATGCGATTGACGCAAGGAATCGCTGCTATAGGACTCATTGCCGGACTTGTTCTAGTTGTTGCCTTGACAAATCTGACAATTCCTGATTTGTTTGCATGTGTGCTGGCAATTATACCAACTGGCTGGGCCATATTGTGTGTAAGTCTAAATTGATCACCAATTTTGTATCATGATTTTTGCCTGTATAGCATATGCATTTGTGTTAAATACTTTGCCTCTCAAGAAGTCTTTTTTATGTGATTTTAGCAAGCACTAGGTTCCAGCGAAAAGGACCTTTTGTTGTGCATCCATTTTTAGTTTTGTTATTTTGAGTGTTACTAATGCATATGACTCCTATCTGAATATATTGGAATCAGTGGATTATTTTAACATTAGGATTTAAGTTTCAAACTATAACAGGTGTTTGTTTAGGATTTTGTCAGACTCCAAAATTTTGAAACTAGGTAGATTTTATATGGAGTCCTTTATTTCAAGAAGCTCAATATCAGTAAGAGTAGTAGGAGTTCTTTCGCTTGAGAAGGTTTTGGGCTGCCAAAGTGTCTGAGACTGAGCTATGTTATTCTGTTTTCCCATCTGTGTATTAAACTTTCTTTAGTTTGGTGGCCCTTGACCTTTTTCTATCTGTGTTCATGATTCTGTTTATTTTCCTCTTATTCTAACTTTCTACTGAAGATGCATTTCAGCTGTTGCTATGTCACTAGGCTCTCTCAAAACATTGGGTCAGTTTATTAAATCTTAATCTCTGTTTGTAATAATCAAATTGGACTTGACACTGAGGTTATATTGGTGTCTGGTCTAATCCACCTTAATTTCGAAATCTGTTACTCTCAAGTTTTTAATGCTTATTTGAAGGATCATAGTTACCGAGAACATGGAATGTTTTGGGTTGTGTTACTAGTTAAGGGAATACTACTTAGTTTGCTCCATTATTCTTGAGGGTTCATATCAGTTGGTTTTTTTCTTTTGGGTTTGTTGTGTATAAGAGCAGCACTTGTCTACTTGCTGTGCTGATTAGATATTTTGATTTCAGTGGGTAGCACTTGTCTATGCATCTGATTAATTTAATAATAATGGTAGAAGAAGTGAAAGCTATGAACTCTTTGTTTCTTATTAATTGTTCAGTGTTATCTTGATTTGGGCTTTTCATGGTAGCTTGCAGTGCAGGAATGCCCACAGATTTATTTGTCTTCATTTGGCTTATATCTAGAAAACACAGTTGAAAGTATTGGATCCTCAATTTCAGTATTCTGTATGGGGTACAATAATCATTGAAGATGAAATTTTTTTTTACTGTGGTTAGGTATAGGTTACCATAATTATCTAGGACCTATGGTTCTATATAGGATATCATAGATATCCAAGACGAATGTATCTTCAATTGAAATTAGGTAGTGGCTGCAGTTCCAACCAGCGATTTCAATAAGCGCTCGGGCGAGGCAAGGCGAGGCCCGAGCACCTCGCTTCATGTCCAGGTGGCGCACTTCAAAGAGGCACCACCTGGACGCTCGCCCAAGCCCAGGCGCTTCGGGCGCTTCGGGCGAGCGCTCGGGTTAAACCAGGCGACCCTGGTGCTTTAGTTGGTTCAATCGAACCAACTAAAGCACTGATATCAGCCTCCTAGCATCCCTCTCTCGGCTTCCCCAACCCTAACCCTGCTCGCGATTCTGTCGACAACATTTCCTCTCCGCTGTCGCTGCTCTTCGTTGCCACTGCCACTGCCACTATCGCTGCTCGCCGTTGCTCCCGTTGTCGTTGCTCGTTGCTATCATTGCTGCTGCTCTCAGTTAGCAGCATCAGTCTTACTCTTATGTTGCGCTCTCGCTGCCGCTGCACGCTGCTATCGCGACCGTTGCCACTATCACTGCTTGCCGCTGCTGTCGCTGCTTGCCATTGTTGCCGTTGCTTGCCGTTGTTGTCTTACTCTTACTCTTCTCAAATCAACTCGATAGTATACTGTTAACAGTATATTAATAGTATAATGTTAACTGTATACTAGTAACAGTATTTTTTATTTATTAGATTAATAATATATTATTTTAATTTTAATACTGTTAATTTTTATTATTTGAAATTATTGTTATTGTTTTGAATTTTGAGACTTTTTGTTAATGTGATATTGTGATTTTACAAGATTTTCTTAATTTAATATCATATTTTTATTTAAATAATTATATTTATTAATTATATTATATATTTTTATATTTTAGTGTCTCGTTTCGCTCGGACGAGTGCTAGGGCATTTTTGGACCTTGGCGCCTAGCGCTTTTTAAATCACTGGTTCCAACATGCATGGAGGGTTCCTGCTAATTATGAGAAAAATAATAATTTTTATCTTACTTCATGTTGATTATTCAAGTTCCGTTATTAACTAATAGAGTCTAGCAAATATAGCTTCCACTTGTGTGGGGGGTCTAGGGTGGGTCAACATATGTATCTTGTCTTTTCAAAGCAAAGAAGCTTTTTCTGAAACTTGAACCTTGGTCTCCCAAGTTGCAAAGTATCAATTTTGCTATAGCACCAAGTTTCACCCTCTACCTTTCTGCCTTTGGATTGTAGACCTGGGATAAAACACCAATATGTGGTAGTGTAAGTAGCTCAGTTTGAGCATCAAGATCTTGAAGTATGATCCTATCAACTTTCATCTGTAATTATGGGAAGCATCTTATTTTGGTGTAGGTTGAATTAAATTGCAAATCATTTATGATATAGAAAGAACGGGACAAAGTTATTTATAAATAGGTGAGATGAACTATATACAAACAGCTTGGAACTTTCCTGCAACCTCAAATGAGAGTTATCTCAGGGCAGTACTGAAATTGTGTAGATTCTGTAGTTAATAGTTGTAGAATGAGCCACTCATGATTAATTCTCTCATGTATGATGACTTAATATCTGAGGAATCTGAGCAGACCTTGAGCAAATCAAGTTTTACATACTGAGCGTATAATGGAGTTTTTTAGTTGCCATCTTCCCCTATACGAGAAAAATTGGAGTTGATAATCATTTGTGCTAGATATGGGTATCTGAGGCAGAAATATTAGCATTGTTCAATCCTTTGGTAACATTTTGTTCTCCATTTGGTTGACTTTTCTTTTTTTTCATCTTTTTGTTTAACATGTCAATCTTGTTTTCTTTTGCAATTCTTTTTCTTGTTTTTTTTATTCTTCATTATGTGTTTATTTGTGTCCAAATGAGATATGTTAGACTGAATTTGCACTATCTGGAACAAATTCTTGTCTGAGAAATTACATGTTCAGTGCAAGCTTAAAGAATAGTAGTTGCTGAAATGTTGTTGTACTCTTGAAGGCCATTTGCTCGATTAACTTCGCATTACTATTGGAACCCGTGTAGTTTCAAATGGTTAGTAATCTGTTGCATAGGTCATAGGCAGCTCACCCAGCACTAGGGCAATGCTGAGAGCTGCGGTTAGGAAGGGGCATCTGAGGCCATTGTGAATTGCTAACTGTCATAGATTCATTTATATATTGCAGCTTTCTTGCATCAATAAATTTGCCTCTACCACTTATGTCTCCTCTGCTTGGCAGCTGGCTATTGCATGGAAAGGCCTAGTCCGAACTCTGGGATTATGGGACTCTGTTCGTGAAATTGCTCGAATGTATGATGCTGGGATGGGCATGGTTATCTTTGCTCCTGTAGCATTTCTATCATGGTTCCCATTTGTGTCTACCTTCCAGTCTCGGCTTCTATTTAATCAAGCATTCAGCCGAGGGTTGGAAATCTCCCTCATTCTGGCAGGGAACAAGGCAAACGTTCAGGCTTAAAATAATCTTTTGGGTGTCAACAATGAGATTAAGGCATATTGATGTTTCAAAAATATTAATTACCTTGAGTTGTGGCTTGCACTCTAATCTGCAAAATGTATTGCACTAGAGCAGTGGTGTTACCAATTCGAACCCCAAAAGCGGTCTCATCAATTGTCCTTGTATGTTATTTCATATTTTCTGGTGCAATGTACAGTTTCATTTTCTGGTGCAATGTTAATTTTATCTTTTTATGATGTGCCATTTATGTCCCTTTGAAGGTACTGATGGATTGAGTTCATGATGTATTTTATTAAAATACACTTTTTGACAACTGACGGATTCATCGTCATCTCCATTATGTATATGATTTCCTTTGGTAAAATTCTGTGTTCCACATGCTCTGGGGCTTTCATGCTTGAATCAGTTTCTTGGTCCTGTTGACATTGCTTTTTGGATTGCTATGCAGAATGTGGCATTCAATGTTGAATGAGGCTGTGTTTATTGATGATACATGTGTAAGATGACATGCATTGATCTAAGTTGGATGAATTTTTAATGTAGTATGGTACGGTTGTGGTATCGGTCTGGCTAGTGTTTGTTACATGGCAGAACTCTAATGCTCGGTTTCCTTGTAGGTTCCGTACGGTGATAATGGATTATATTATGTGGAGTTTGTAGAATATGTTGTGTGGATTATATTCTAATGGGGTTTAGTGGAGTTGGGTACATATTCCTCGAGGTTCATTGTTGTGACATTACTTTTCATACTTTTTTTTTTTTTTCGATCAGTATCTTTTGATACTAAACGCCAAGAGGTAATCTTTATGTTATTCTTTCAACTTGTATATACTAGTGTAGATTTCGAATTCACTTTTTCAGATCGATGCCACATCTCCATGTTGATTTTGTTCAAATTTTAGGATGCTTAGATTGTAGAATGAAATCAGAATCATAGTGAATACGAGACCACGGGTTGATCACATCACGAAAGGGCAAAAGACTAAGGCGTTTTGTAAGCTCTAAAGCATTCTTAATCATGTGTCATTTCTGCTCTTACAATATTTTATCTTTTGAGACACTCGTATTGTCGGTGATAATGCTGCTTTATGACAAGTTTTTCGATGCATGTACATGGAACTCTAATTTAATCAAACTCTCATCAAATCATATCTTCCGACACGTTCATTGGTCTGTGGTCTGTCCTTGGAGGTTCCTTTGATCTCCTCAGCCAGCCAAACTGGAGACAACATAGAAATGGTCAATGGCTTGGGTCGATGAAAGGTCTTTTTATTAATCCTTTTGATCCTCTACAGAATCACTTCTCCGCAAGTCATCTTACGGTGGCAGGTCAGTTCACTCGCAAAGAAGTAAATCATTTACGACGCTTATACATGTGAATAGACTGACTCTATATAATAACATAAATGGACTGGAAATTTAAGATACAATATGATGATTGGTTTACAAGTCAAAATTTTGATTTGGATATTATATTCGTCAGACCAATCATCAATCAGGTCATCCATCGTACTCTCTATCTCAGTGGCAACTCCAAATGGCATCAGCCGATTACACCTACAAATTGCTACTGCCAAATATCCATGAAACTTCCCTAAGTGGATCCCACGAAGCATGAGCAGCAGGTCCCAGGGGTGAGCTGGAGACCCAAGGAAAACACATGTAGGAAAGAGATGGCAAAGCGGATCACATCCATATCCATGTGCGAGCTATCCTGTTGCTGGCCTCCCTTTGTCTCGGCCATGTCCTCCTTCCTCCCCCTTTCTTTTTACCCACATCACTTGGATCATCTCAACCGACGTCAGCGCTCTGTAATCTCCATGGAGGGGGGAGGAGACAGTCGTTTAGATGCTTCCTAGGGTTGTCCGGGAGTCCAATATGCCCAGGATTACCTTTTGTTTTACTTTTGCGTAATCGACCTGTTTTCTAACAACCCCAGAAATGTGCTTTCAAGCCACCAGCATCATCATTTTTTATGCCAACGAGCTTAGCTGAAACAAGTCGATGAGACTAATTGTTTTAGCTTTTCATTCAAGTAAGTTCCCTAAGGTCTTTCTCCCACCCCCAACCCCAACCCCCCTCATCTGATCCATTTAATACCTGCCCCAGAAACAAACACGAGGCCGAGAAGCCAACGAAGGGGCCTGTTGGGGTAACCGGACAGCGGCATCTACCTGAGTGGGACGTCACAAACAAAATCCAGCACACCCACTGGCCACCACCACTCTCTTATGTTTTCAGCTACTAAATTACCCTCTCTCTCTCTCTCTCTCTCTCTCTCTCTCTCTTGGTTGCAGACTGCAAGTGCCTTTAAATATCCTCAGGAAAGTGGCAAAACACAGCTTACTCATGAAAGAAAAAAAAAAAGTGTGATCACATCATCTCAAATGTCTCCTTTTGTAACTTCGATCTTTGTCGGATTCGAGACAGAAAGAAAAAATCAAAATTCTAGCTACTATATTGAGGACTACCTCTCTCTCGGCAGCAGTGTCTTGAGAAAAAGAGAGTTATTACGGGACTCTTCTTACGATTTACGACCTCGGAAATAGAGAAAGAAAAAGATGGGGAGCGATGTGTGCTTCTTGTGAGGTGGGGTGGGGGGTGGTGTGGTGGGGAAATGGGACTGTTGATCTGACACCTAATGAAACTATTACTCGCCTCATTACTTCCTCTCTGCCTTCTTCTCTACCACCTCACTCTTTTCCATTTTCCCTTTGTGGGTGGTGTGCGGCACGGCATCCACCGCGTCCTCCTTCCGCCCTTTACCCTGAGCTCTCCGGCAGCTCCCATTGGTAGCGTCTCACTTGCATCTCCCTAAGCCACTAACTACTATGTTGCCCGCCAAAGCCAAGTAAGCATCCTTTTCTGACCAGATCTGTGAGAGCTTCCTTCTCTTCTTCTCCTCTACTTCACCAAGCTGCCGCCTTTCCTAGTTTCTCAGGGGTTTTTTGGTACGATTTGCTTTGGGTTTGTTTTCAGTATGGTTTTTTTTTTTGTTCTTGTTCTTGAAATGCTTTCTCTTCCTGTGATCAAGATGCATTTTTTAGCGTAGGTAAAGCGGTACCTGCACATGCTGCAATCTGACCGACTCTTGTTAGATTGGATGCTGTTTGCTGATTTGTCTGATCTAAACGTGGATCTTTAGGCCATGTTTTGCTGGATATTACATGGGCTTGAGCATCAAGATTCTTCTTTTATGGTTCGCTATTGCATTTCTACATTTGGGCAACATAGTAGTGATGTATGCAATGCTATTAGGTTCCCGAGTTCGCTGTATATGACATTTGTTGACTGATTTAGCTGTGGCTCCTAAGATAGCTACTGATTTATGCGATAGATTCATACACTTTTTAGGATGATCTGTATCGGGGATATCTTGCATTGCTTTCCTTTATGTAGTGGTTTTATAGTCTGGATGAAAGAAAGCTTTGGTAAATCTGACCTAGCGCAGATCCGGCCTATCCGAGGCTTCGAACGGCAAGACTACATCGGCAACCCCCAAGGTCAGCAAGGTACCTAGTAGAAATGGATCCACCAAGTCGGACTCTGGTTCCCCTTCTCCGGCACAAAAGCCATCTTCTCCTGTGCCAAAAGTATCTCCGTCTGTGGCAAAGCCATCTTCTCCTGTGCCGAAGTCACGCTCTTTGCTTGAGCGGTCACCCAAGTCGGCGGAGTCCAAGCTGCCGATTAAGAACAGTACAACTCCTGAGGTAAGAACACAAAATTTACATGTTAAGTCCAGGTCTTCTTTCTGTGAATCATTTTAAGATCATGATTTTGGTTGTAGAAACTAAATCGAACTTCAAAAGGCTCAGAGCTGCAAGCAAAGTTGGATGCCATTGATGAGGATTTGAAGAGAGCAAGAGAGCAGTTGGCTTCAGCAGAACAGGAGAAGACCCAGACTCTCGAGGAGTTGAATGAAGCTAAGAGATTGGCCAGTGAGATGAATGAGAAACTCGAAGCCGCAATTGTTGCTAAGAAGATGACCGAGGAGATCTTGGAGATTGAGAAATTCCGGGCTGATGAATTGGAGCAAGCAGGCATTGAAGGCGCACAAAAGAGGGACGCAGAGCATCAAAAAGAACTTGAAAGCATCCGAAATCAGCATGCTTTGGATGCTTCGACACTGCTTTCTGTGACTCAGGAACTCCAGAAAGTGAAACTTGAGTTAGCTAGTGCCAACAGTGTGAAGAACACTGCGCTGAGCGAAGCTGATGATGCAAAGAAGATTTCTGAAGTGAATGGAGAGAAGGTGGAGGCCTTGTCCAGAGAAGTGATCCATTTAAAATCCTTGCTTGATTCCAATCTGGATAATATGAATACAGAAGCAGCAGAAATGATTAAGAAGTTGAATGTGGAAATGAATTGTTTGGAGCTCGAACTTGAAAGAGCAAAGACAGCTGAAGAGAAACTACCCAAGATGGAATCATTGGTTGAACAGTTACAAATGGAAGTGACTGATGCGAGAAAGGCTGAATCAGATGCTTGTGAGCAAGTTGAGGAGTTGAAAAAGGATGTGGCATCATTCGAATCTAGACTTAAGGAAGTCAACCAATCTGAGAAGTCTGCAACTGAATCTCTTGATATCACGAGGAAAAAAATGGAAGAGTATGCCACTTTACTGCAAAATGCTGAAACTGAGATTGCTGCTCTTCAAGGAAAAATAGAATCCATGGAAATTGAGGTAGCGAAGTACAAAAATGATCTCAAGGAATCAGATAGGAAGCTTGATTTAACACAGGAAGAGACAGTAAGCCTCAGAAAGACAGTTGAACTGTTAAAATCTGAAGTTAAGAAACTGGAGGAGGAGAAGTTGCAGGTGCTCGACAAGGACAAGATTGCTGCTTCAGATATCGAGAGACTGTTGGAAGAGAAAAACAAACTCGTTCATGAACTTAATACTAGTAGAGATGAAGCAGAAAAGGTTAAGAAAGCAATGGAAGGTTTAGCTTCAGCATTGCATGAAATGTCTACTGAAGCCAGGGAAAATCAAGAGAGGCTTTTGGCAAAGCAAGCTGAAATTGAAGATACCCAGGTGCAAATAGAGCAATTGAATTCAGCTATCAAGAACACTGAAGAGAGGTATGAGGTCATGCTGGATGAGGCAAGATATGAGATAGTTTGCCTCAAGAAAAGTGTCGAAAATTTTGAAACAGAAGCCAGCAATTCGAGCACCGAGTGGGACACAAAGGAGCTACACTTTATTAATGCCATCAAAAAATCAGAAGATGAACTTTCTTCCCTCAAGATGGAAATGGCAAAGTTTGTTGACTCGCTCAAACTAGCAGAGCAAGAAGCACAGGCAGCAAAGGCAGATAGCGTTGAAATGTTAAGCAAGTTGAAACAAGCTGAATCTGCAGCCACTGCAGCTTATGAAGCAGCAGAAGAAGCAAAGGCTGAGACTTTGCGGCTAAAGGAAAGGTTGTTGGACAAGGAGAATGAACTGCAGAGTATCACTCAAGAAAATGATGATCTTCGGGTCAGGGAAACAACTGCCCTGCAGAAAATCAAAGATTTGTCTTTGCTGCTTGAGGAGGCCACAGCCAAGAAAACTGAAGAAAAGATTAGGCTTTCAAAGAGTGAAAAAGAATATGACGTACTGCCGAACATGCCTCAGGAAATAAATAGTCGTGAATGGGTACTAAATTATCACTCGGATGACCAAAAGCCAAATGTGGAGAACAAGAAAGGAAACCAAAATGAGGAAGAGGAAGATCCCATGGATATCGTGTCAAAAGGTTTAGCATCAGAAAAGGACCATGAAGCAGAATCAATAGATGACGATGCAGATTCGAAGTTGGACAGTGGTAGCTTTGATCAGATAAATAGCATGACAGAGAGCATGGACTATGGAACAACCTCACCCACCAAGAACCAGGAGCAAAAGAAGAAGAAGCCTTTTCTACATAAGTTTGGGACTCTGCTGAAGAAGGGCAGCCATAAAACCCATAAGTAGAAATAGTAGCTCAATCGCAGGTAGTGTATCACATTGAGTCTCACATACTACATATCGTGCTTCTTCGATGCTTCAGTATCACTTGGATTTTCTGATGCTTCATCAAGTGCTTGTCTGAAATCCTGTAACGAACATAAAGATTTAAGGGTATCTTCAGTTCCATTGCCAGATTTTAGTTGAGGAGAATTGTACTACATTTTCCTTTGCGCTTATAGAGAAACGGTATATCTTTTAAACCCATCACATATCCAATGAACTCAATGTAATTATTTTATAATGCCGAAACCTTGTTAACTATTTTTATTACATGTGAGCTAAATTTTTCTTATCATTCACTTCATGCTGATTAGTGACTCTGTCTGCTGTTACGATATGTTAATCCTCTAATTTTTCTTTATGTCTACCATTTGACACATCTTGATTGTGCTACCACTGGAATTGTTTAGGTACAGCATAAACACCAAATTTTTAGTGATAACTTCGTGGTTATATGTTAGGCACAAGTGAAATAACTTCTTACTGTGCTGTGGCTAAGAGTACTTACAAAGCTGCATACTGTGCATAATATTTGTCTTCTACTCTCTCTTTCAGAAGCTTTAATATACTAACTAGATCACAGCAAGCTTGAGTCATTGCATTTGCTCCCTGCAACAAATCCTCTGCTCCATGTGCCCACGAAGAGTCTGTGACTAAAGACACTTCTGTGCATCTTCTGTTCTCCCATGGAGTTTGTGGCCGGAAACAATGTCAGCATTAGAATCTACCGAAGACATTACCACACCATCAGATTTGACGAAGCTTCCTACTATTGGCTTTGTGGAAGTTTGTAGCTGTGAGATGGTCAATATGATGAGTCCTTTTTTGGCCCTTCTTTGACTTCTGCTGCCAGCCACTTCAACCGTTCTTTCTGTTTGTTGTGATGCTCTAAAGATTCCCCATAGCAACTTTTCTTTCATGGAAAGAGGTAAAACTCAGATTTGCTTTGATATATCAAATGATCAGATTTTAAATTTTTAATATGGCTGCATATTTGATTTTTTTTATATTCGAATATAATATAATGAATCATATGGTCACTGAACAATTCCCACAGACTTCTGGATAAGAAAAGGCACCTCATTTTGTTCCTTGATCTCTGAGATTTCAGTTTAAGACTATCTGGTGATCTAAAACATTAATCCAAATATTTTGGAGCTCTGTAACTCTAATGCTTGTCTCTTTGGTGCTCTGGATGACTTGTCTCTTTAATCAAGGTCAAACCTTCAAATCTATCTTCTCAATAAATTAGCAATCTCCAACCCAACCAACTATTATCGAGTTCATCAAATGTCCCAAGCTTTCAGCTGCACAATCCTACTTTCTCCTTTCAGCTCCACCAAACCAGAGAATTGTTAAAAGAAGATCATGTATAGCATCTCTAGTCTTCTATACATTTTGAGTGGGAAGAGAAAACTGTGCTTATGTATAGCAAGGCTTTACATCAAAAAATGATACCTCAAAACCTATCAAACAAGTTGAAGTTTATGCATTAGGCCATGGCATTTGGCTGCAAACACAAAGAAAACTTGTCAATATATCCATTGCATGTAGGTAGAAATTAATGTGGAAAGAGAAGATTAAAATGCTTACTCTTGTATTTCTTTCCAGCCAAGATCACTGATGAGGCTATCCAAGTTTAGGTTTTCCCAAGCCTCAAATGGTGTGAAGGACAACGAATTCGCGTATGTACTATCACTTAGCTTGAGCAGGTCAACATTCTCTGCCTCGGAAGAGGCTGAAGCGAAGAGCGGAGTAGAATTTGAAGCTGGCGATGAACTGGCGCTCTGACGCTCTTCTGTTCTCGAAGCACTCCAAACTGTAACCCCTCCTTCATCCATACAGAAGCTGGAGTCCGGAACAGGTTGTGAGTCCTTGTTCCAGTAAGGGATCACCGAAGCTGAATTCTGAAGGTTGAATGAGCCGCCGAGGCAGCCGTCACCGGCTTTGTAGTTTGTGTGAGAAGGTGATCCGAAGAGGTTCATCAGGTCCATGTTTGAAGTGGAGCTGCTTGTCAGGGCTTGAATCAGGCTCTGCACCAGGAGTGCAGCTTCTGCCTGTAGCTTGAGAGCGGTTTCCAAGTGGCTCGTCGTATAGCCAAGATTACCAGCGGAGAGCAAACTCGAGAGGCTCGTCAGCAGGCTGAGATCCGTTGTCGGCCTATGGGTCACCGGATCGATCCCCATTCGCATGAGCTTCTTCCTCAGGTGCGTGTTCCAGTAGTTCTTGATCTCGTTGTCCGTCCTTCCAGGTAACTTCGTCGCGATCGACGACCACCTTCGACGAACAATCGTGCTCGGTTACATCTTCTCACACAGCCAATATGTGAAGCTAATGAAGAAGAAGATGGGAATTCATACTTGTTTCCGAGAAGGGAGTGGAGGTGGACGATGAGCTGCTCCTCTTCCTCGGTGAACTTGCCTCTCTTGATATCAGGTCGGAGGTAATTGGTCCACCGGAGCCTGCAGCTCTTGCCGCAGCGGTTCAGGCCGGCCAGCTTGGGGATGCGATGCCAGCGCCCCCGCCCATGCTTCTGCACGTAATCAATGAGCTTCCTGTCCTCCTCCGGTGTCCATGGCCCCTTCTTCACGCTGCCCATCTCCTCGTGACTAAGAGACCTCGCCATTGCTGCTACAATACCAAGCAGTCTCTTGGGTTGTCTGAGAATATATAGGACAAACCCGATGATACAGAGAAGTAAACGCAAAGCAAACAGCCGACAACATCGACATTAAATATCGCTGGCTTGGCTTACCAATCGATGTATATTTCTGAAGAGAAGGATATATACTGTGGAATTCACGTTCTTTTAATATCTCCATGCATGCATCTTCTGATCACGTAATCAGGGTTCTCATTTGGAGATTGAAGGAATACCGAGGACTGCTTGTGATGACACCTCTGCAGGAGAGTAGCTGAGGATTAGGTTCGCCATGCCACTTGACAAGGGTTAGAAGTCAAAGAAGGCAGTGGATTCTGCAAGGCAATGCCGAGGAAGATTCATGCACTTGTTTCCCTCTGTTTGACACGGCACTCACTCTGCATTTGATTTGGGATCAAGAACTGAATTAAACGATCAGGAAATGTCTGATTTGGCAAGGAGAACAGAAGTAATTAAAATAACACAAGTAATTAGTCGATAACAGTGCTGCTGTAATGATGCTTAACATCTTTTTCTTCGAGTTTCTAAATCACTAAGAACATTTGAGTCGGATCGGAAGGCGACAACAACATTCTTTGAAGTGTTGTAATGGGTGATTCAAGTGAAAGTGGATGTTCATTGTGTGTTACAAGGAATTCTAAATCTCGGTTAGAGAGCAAACTGACCTAATCAATCAGAGCAAGTTAGTGGTTTAAGCAAGCTGGGAGATCCATTGTCAGGTTTTTACCCACAGAGAATTATCTTTGCAGGCTGATCAACTTGCACTTGTTTTTGTTGCCGTATGAAGTGCTGCAAGTGCCTTCACGGCCTGGTGTTCTTATGCCTGCATGCATCAGTAGTTAGAGGCATTTTATATTGTATCAGCATGAGAAACCCCACCCCACCCCACCCCACCATCATAATTGTTCAGCTCAAACTCTGTAAGTGGCTGAGAAAGAATCAAGAATAGCAGAGTTCTGGTTAATGATTTCCTTTTCAGTCTAAGATTCTGTAGCAGTTGGATCAGAATGTCCAAATTCTGATTGATCTACATCTGAACCCTTTTTCTTCTGCTCAGAATGAATCAGTAGTTTGATGAAGAGACAAACTGATCTCATGCTATTCTCTCCATCAGATCTTTACTAGGGTAACTACTTCATCTTGCCAAGTAAAACCAATAATACTGCCTTAAGAAATCCGATTTAAGTTTGCTCTGCAGTCATATTCTGCAAGTTGTAGTGCAGTCAGTGTTTGGTTTCTGAGATGCATAGGTCAGATTAGAATACACTGCTGTGATGCTGCATCATCATCTTTGCAGTGTACTGCCACAATAACAAAAGCAAAACTAAGTGTTTATCTCATTTTTCAGTGGTAAACATGAAACATCCACATTGCTGTTGCTTCCTTGTTACAAGCTGTCTTCTTCCACCAAGAAATGGTGCTGCCAACTATCTTATTTCCACCTCATAAACATCAAAACCATGAAGCAATTCTTTAATTTTCTCTATCATATTAGATGACCATCAACTCTCAAAAGGCCAAGATAAATCAGAATGATGAAACATTATGAAGAGTGGAGGAATTTTTTTTTTTAATTTTAATTTGAGGGAACTAACTTATCACCGGCCAATGCATTCATCTCTACCAGTTATAAATCCTTCAAGAAAAAAATTCTGCAACTCAAGAATGCCATTGGAAAGAGTTTTGTGCACATCAATCACCATGAACATCTGAAACAACTAATCTATTGTGTGTTAGACCAGTATAGTCATGAGGAGTTTAGCATGTGGATCAAGCAATGTGTCACCCACCACTGACCACTCCTTGAAAAGATATGTGAACTATTCAGTCATTTTCATGTTAGCTGTGCCAACCATTTATCAACCATTTGAGATGTAATCATTCAGCAGCATATCTCACCCTCCCACTGGGATCCACCTTAAAGCCATCACCAAAAGCTTGTGTAGATCTTCTTTTGTGTCACCACTTTCGTCACCCACATATCAACCTCATAATGTATATATATAATAATATTCAAGCAACTTTCATTTTTCTTTTCCTGATATGAAATGAGGAGGCAGTCTTCGGTTTCCTCTTTGATCCCGCTGTGCTGCTAAGCTCCCTCAACAAGCAAACTATAGAATTCCTACGTGCTTTTACTTGTCCAACAACGATAAAGAAATCACCTTCTATTTTGCTGCTCTGAGGCTGATGCCATCCACAGTTCCCTCTCAATCAGCAGAAATGGCTGAAAACATCTTTGATTTGGGAATTACAACGTTTGGAGAGCCATATCTTTCATTCTCCAACGTGAAGTTTGCATCATTAAGCAGTGAATTCTTCTTTGATTTTCGCTATTCTAAATAACACAACTAACTTTCTTTGTTTTGAACTCGGATTTCCATTGCATTTGTACAGCCACATTTCTTTTCTATACGATCGAACTCACTGAATTTGGTTTCATTTTCCGAGGATCAAAATGAGAGCTAAGCTTGTGATTTATTTTGTCTCCTTCCACATGGTTGGGGTAATTCTTGTTGGCATGCTAAGATATGCTTCTGACATTTTTTAGTGTCATGAACAAACACCGAAAGCCTCGTACCGGCAATCACGGATAAAATGCGTCGATCCATTTCAGTAGGTCATCATCATGATCCATCCTTTTAACAAACAAAGTTGCTCTGATTAACATGTTTTTGCTGGTTCTTCAGATTGAAAGCATCCTCAATTCCTCATGATCCATCCTCTGAACAGACAAAGTTGCTCCGATTAACATGTTTTTGCTGGTTCTTCAGATTGAATGCATCCTCGATTGCTCATGATCCATCCTCTGAACAAACAAAGTTTCTCTGATTAAGATGTTTTCTGCTGGTTCTTCAGATTCCAACACCATATCGAATGCATCCTCAGCCACAACAAGAAATCAAGTCAACCACAACTGGGGAAATCTAGTCAAGAGCTCAAGTTTTAGGATTTGGAAATAGAAATATGAATGCATCCTTAGCCACAACAAGAAATCTCAAGTCAACCTCCAACTGGAAAATCTATTCAAGAGCTCAAGTTTTAAGAATTGGAAATAAAAATATGAATGCATCCTTAGCCACACCAAGAAATCAAGTCAACCTCAACTGGGGAAATCTATTCAAGAACTCAAGTTATAGGATTTGGAAATGGAAATTTGTAAGAATTAGCACTTAATTTCTCCAAAACAGGGGAACCACTCTGGTAAGAGCAATCTTAATTGCGTTGCAGCTTTGAGCACTCCTCTGGTTCATCATGACACTGTTTCTTGGCAAACAAGGACTCAGTTATTGTAGTACATATGTTCACTAGATGTGTTCTCGGTAGGTATGAGTTGTTGAGAACCGATGCCATCAAGTTCCAACTTCAAACGCACAAAGACTCTGTGCAGATACAGTGAAACATGCCCTTCACATTGTCAATTCTTTGACTCAAGTACTTGTGGTACATCTTCCTTTATTGACTTCAGATCAATACAACTCTCTTTCAACTAAATCATGCATCTGTCATTCTTCTGCAATATTTCTTGCTTATCATTCTCTTCGTTGCTTATCATTATCTAACATTTCTGCAATATTCACTCTATTCTCTTTGTTGCATATCATCCATTCTCTTGGAGGACAAAAGATGAAACTAATTTTTCTTGCCTAATATATTATGAGATATTATCTTATCTAACATTGTATCAGGGGAGAAAATGAATCTTGAAGTCCAAGGAAAAAAAGATTAAGGGCAGTCTTGGTTGATACTTTAACATTTTATGTTTTTTTTACTCCTAAGGAGTAATGTAGTCCTAAGGGTTTCTGCCTTCAATGTTGTTGCTTACTTATAACATAGGATTATAATTTGCTCAATCAAAACCTAGGAGCATAAAGAAATCTGGGCAGCACACAAGGAACCCAAACAGTACATCACAAAAACCTGTACTATAGGAGGTTTCACAATTAGCAATTAGCTTTGAATTTTATTTAGAAAGACAGTCAATGGCTTCATAATTACACTTCACATTACATTATTGGATGATATAAGACCAGTTAAGTAGAAAAAAGAGATCAGCAGCTTCTGCATCAGCAGTTAAGTTGAAGTCACAAGCTAATGCTTAACCTATGCAACCAACCCTAATTAATGAAGAGTCAAAGTCCTGTAAATTGATTTATTGTTCATTTTTGTGGTTCTTATTTAAATGATTTAGTTCTATGTTAAAAGCATGAAAATGACTTGATTTTCTTGGTTACCACTAAACAGGACACTTCAAACTAATTTTCTTCATAAATACTTTTTTTTTTGACAAGCTATCATCTATAGTATTTTTCACTCTTTTCTAGAAATTATTATATTCTTACTCTAAAATGTTGTTTAGAGTTCTTTAATTGGAGAATTAAATAAATAGCATAGAAAAATATGGATCTGGGTGTTTACAAAAATGGACTTACAAGTCAGAAAACATGTAGCATTTTAGAGGATGTTGCTTAGAAGGGAACCACTGTAACATTGTCATGCTTGCACAGATGAACAAAGGAATAAACTCATGTAGCATTGGAATCATTATCCCAACATGACATAGTCTTGCTCATCATTTGCATGCAATCTGAACACTTTCCTGTTCTTGTTGTGATTGTAAGAGTACAATCCAACATGCCTAGGCATTATTCTAATGGTGCCAACATGCAGCATCATACGAATCCAATATAAAATCTCACCAACCTGCATACCCTTTGCTGTTCTACCAACTCATCAATTGCTTCATTAGTAGGTGCTCACATAAGGAAGAAATGTAAAGATTTAGCAGTTTGCTTTGCATGTATTTTTCATCCATCTTGATGACTAATGCTGCTTTGTAGCCGCAGCAGGAAGCAATTTAGACAGATTTTACTCACAATGAACATAACAATTCACCTTGTCTCTAGTATGCATGCTGTGGGCATAACTGATGCACATTGGTGGCCTTCTTCTGATGCAAGAGTTTTAAGATTCATACGTGAAAGGAGGTAAAATGAACACCAAGATAGTACTAGTGTGTTCATCAACTCAGGAGAATGAGAGGAGCAGCAAGCCACAGAGAGCACTTGAACACTGAGAATAACAAACAGACATAAGCCATTCCTCTTAGAATCGCATTGCATGAGTTGACCACCATCTTAGTTTGAAGACACATTACACACTTGAACATGTAGAACAACAACCATACATAGAACATCCCCATCAAAATTCCATTGCATGAGCTGATCACTACCTTAGTATTAAAATATTACAAGGTTCCCATTTGTTGAAAGAGATCCTGATTTCCATGAATTTACTGAGTTCTGGGACCATATGTCTGCTACAGAGAAACCAGGTATTGATGCATTTGGATTCTAGTCTATCAAAATAGGTCTATCGGAACTTAGACCGTTATTAAGACATTCAGCTGGGAGATCTCCTCTAAGAAGTTGAACCCGAAATGTAAAATCGGTCTCGTCCATGAGTTCAAAGAAGCAGCAATCTCCAATCTTCAAATTGTTATCATTCACAAAATGTTTCCATCCACCATCGAATCTTCTCTGGGCTCGATCTCCATAATATCTCATCTCCCATATCTTCTTCTTGAAGTGAAGTGTTAAAGGGACACAGGTGTTTGGAAGATGTGGCCAAAATTTCTTTGGAATTGCCTATAAAATTAAAAAAAAGATATAAAACGGTATAAATCACCTGTGTGGCATCTAATGAACAAAGCAGCAGATTCACTAGAAATTAAAAGAAGCTATATTCAGGATTCTGATACACTGAAGCACCTTGGAAGCTGTAAGAACACATTTCAGCAACTCCCTAAAAACAAATAGGTTAAATCCAAGATAGAACTGGTCACCAACACTAAATACTATCACGACCCATATAAGCCAATCATAGTCATTGCCCATTTCCGATGTGGGACTAAGTAAGGTGTTACACTATCCCCCACTCAATTGTCAAGGCCCAACATAAGCCAGATCGAACCCTAGCATAATGCATGTGAGGTTTAACCCTGCCCATGCGCTGTGATGAGTTCTCTCCATCCACGAGTAGCCTTTTCCTACTCGAGCCCTCTTACCTTGCCCAAATGTTAGGTCGGCTCTGATACCAAATGTCTCTGACTCTATCCACGAGTAGCCTTTTCCTACTCGAGCCCTCTTACCCTGCCCAAATGCTAGGTCGGCTTTGATACCAAATGTCACGACCCGAGTCTGATGAGCCAACCTGGCTAATAACTCCATTTTGGCCTTTTAACCACAGACCAAAATACTTAAGCAAGAGTTGTCATAATACACTCATCAGACCCATATAAGCCAATCATAGTCATTGCCCACTTCCGATGTGGGACTAAGTGGGGTGTTACACTATCCCTCACTCAATTAGCTTGACATCCTCGTCAAGGCCCAATGTAACCCTGATCGAACCCTAGCATAGTGCATGTTAGGTTTAACTCAGTGGTGGCTCCACGTCGTGATGAGTTCTCTGACTCCATTCATGGGTAGACTTTTCCTACTCGAGCTCTCTCACCCTGCCCAAATGCTAGGTCAGCTCTGATACCAAATGTCACGACCCGAGTCTGATGAGCCAACTGGCCAATAACTCCATTTTGGTCCTTCAACCACAGACCAAATTGTTTAAGCGGGAGTTGTCGTAGTACACTCATCAGACCCATATAAGTCAATCATAGTCATTGCCCACTTTCGATGTAGGACTAAGTGGGGTGTTACAAATACTGTCTCTTCCATCGTGTCCACAAGCACAAGGCTTAGTTCACCTAAGGATTTTTATTTGTAGTTGGACTTCTATTAGAACTTTGTCAACTGGTTGAGCAAAAGAGTACGACTGAACTCACTCTTAGTTTTTATCTGATGAAAAAGTACAGAATCATCAGATCACCATATGATAGTAGCTAAGACTGATAATCGCTTTAGCTCCTATTCTCTCAATTAATATAGTTAGGTCACTGAAATAATTGTTTCAGGATGAGAAGGGTAGTAGCTATTAATGACAATCGTTTTAGTTCATGTTCTTTCAATTAATATGGTTGGGCCATTGAAATAATTGTTTCAGTATAAAAGGGTATTGAGTTTTGCTTCAAATCAGTTCAAGAGTACGGCAAAAGTATGACATATCATTAAAATTATTCAGAGTTTGACAGAATGCAGCAAGACAAAAAGATTCTTAGATGTTGGAGAAAATTTAGAAGAACCGCATACCCAGGATTAATATAAAAGGAAATTACCAGTTGATATGGGCGCTGGACTTGAGACTTTGACATAATGATTGAAAAGAAGGGTTTTCCAGAAAGTGGAACAGTTTTTTCTTCTGCATCAGATATATCAGGTTCTGATGGATTAGGGGAAGAAACATCATCTTCATGATTATTCTCTCCATTTGTGCTGCAGTTCGATACATGGTGTCCAGCTGCATGTCCAATCTCAAGGTATCAGATGTTGAAATCAAAATTTGCAAATTTCTCATTGCAAATCAGCAGAAAGAGATCAAAAAAGTAGGAAAAGAAAATTCTATATCACTGCAATATATTGTTATCTATAGCACCTTATTTTGGATAATTTGAATTGCTATCAACCATCGGATTCACTATCAATGCATGAAAATGTAATAAATCAACTACACTAAATTTTTATCTATCTAAATCAACATTTGACAAAAGATTGCTACATCATTCATGAACAAGCAGATTATTGAATGACTTTTTAGTATCGCCAATTGCGATGCATCGACAGAAAATCCGACTGCTGATACTAAGATAGTATAGATAACAACTATTTAACAGTGGTATAGAGTTTCCCTTCCATATCTTTTCATATACCTGAGCTTTCTTATTTATAAGAAAGTTACATAACTCAATATGAAACTATAGAAGTCAAATTCATTAAATAAATAGAAAAGAGACATGGAGATGTTCTACCCGTACGCAACAGCAAAGAGACTTGGAGGATGTATATACCTGGATGGTTATTTGATTCTTCAGATGTAAGGCTGCATGCTGCCAGAACTACAGAAGAGTCTGACTGAAAAGATGTTAAAAAAGAATCAAGAATGAAAATGGTTAAAGATACAAGTTTCATGCTCTTTAGTGAAATGTAAATGCCCAATATGAACGGTGTGTCCTCATATTTTGTCACAATTATACATAGGACAGAACCCTAATACATTCAATGCAAAGATCCCTCTTTGCCTGCTTCACTTACCGAGCATGAATATGATCCATAAGGGAGTTAAGAACCAAAGATTTAAGTTTCCAAAGTTTGGTACCAAACAAATCGAAATTTAGTTACCAGATTGTGCAAATTAACTGTAGATCTCCTTGCCTTGAGTCCTCATAGCTCTCCAAGAAAAGAAAAGTTTCCTATTCTAAACACTGTGCCATTATAAGATGTTGAACAAATTCAGCAAAACAATACAAGAAGATTGATCACAGCTTAGCTAGTTTGACTTGTGGGATAGAACACGTACAATGCATGTATTAAGAGGAAATGGTATCTGGCCAACAAAGATAAGGGAATGTTGATCAATTTAAATGGATCTTACAAAAGGTGAATCTTGTCAGACATAGTCTACTCACACCAGCAATAACATACAACAGAAAAACAAGAGCTCAAAGGAAGAACACCATGAAAGATAGGACGTCTTCATTAGATGCATAAGGTGAGTTGACTTTAGTAATGAGTGTCAAAAGATAAACACAATCGTACTTGGAATACTTGCATAAGCTACATCAGAATGGATTCGGTAAGTTTAGTGGCTATTAACTACGAAAAAGTGAGATTAAGTGAAGAAAGATCCTTTACACCATGCGCCACCTGCACACTTGTTTTTGCTTCCTTAATTTCTAAAGGAAGTCGCATTAATTTCTAAGCCTTAGGACAGAAACAATAATAACAACTAAGAAAGTCACGGAGGAAAACATGAACATGTAGACTACTAGATTTCCCAATGATTTAGTTTAGGAAGCACAACAATGAAGAAAAAAGGTCTCATTTATGCACGCTTAAGTGCTGATCAAACTACAGCAAGCATCAAACAAACAAGGAAAAGAGGAGCATTTAGAAAGAGGAGGTAGGATAAAGCTGAAGAAGGGCAGGAAACGCGAGCACTCGTCACCATTGGGCCTCCGGAGGCGGAGATTGCCGAACAAGACTCCACTACCACCTCCTCTATCAAGAGACCGGCCCCGTTTCCCGGCCATCTCGCCGGATTCCAGATGTATTGTCCGGCTGCAGTAACTTCACAGCCCTCGAAACCCGCGCTACCGCAGTCTTTGTAAAAGTTTAAGTATCCCCTGCACATCTACCTATTTTGTGATTGGAGCACAGAATGGGACCCGTGAAACATCTTCTCCAATCATACGAAACGGGTACATGAAAAGACGTAACCTTTGGTTCTCGGATTGGTCTTAAGACGGATCACGTGTCCGACTTCATTACCACTAACATTCAGGCATGTCGGCCTAAAAAAGAATTTACTATTGGGCTGAGCCCGTTAATGGCCCATTATGTCATGGGTTCACCGTTAGCTTCCTTTTATTGTATTACCCGCTCCCCCGACTCGACTCACGAAAGCAATACAAATGCTGTCGACGCTGAGCCCGTTCGCTGCTGCTGCTGCTCCTACGCTTCCCAACCCCTCCCACTCCCCTCCCCATTTCTCCCCTCGTCTCCTCTCCCACCCTTCCTATCTCCTTCTCGATCTCTGCGCCGACCGCCGCGAGGTCCGCCTGTTCCTCCCCCAAGTCGTCAAGCGCGGCCTCCACCTTGAGCACGTCTTCCAAACCAAGCTGGTAGCCCTCTTCTCCCGCTTCGGTGACCTCCGCGATGCCACCCTCGTCTTCGGCTCCGTTGAGGACAAGACCGACGAGCTCTACCACTCCCTGCTCAGGGGCCACGCCAAGCACTCCTCCCTCGACGACGCCGTCGCTTTCTTCCGCGCCATGAGGCGCGCCGGCGTGCGCCCGGCCGTGCACAGCTTCACCTACCTCTTGAAGGCCTGCGGCGACCGCTCGGACCTGGGGCGGGGCAGGGAGATACACTCGCAGCTGATCGCCAGTGGCTTTGGCTCCAATGTGTTTGCCATGACCGCCGTCGTAAACATGTATGCGAAATGTCGCAGGATCGAGGAGGCGAGGAGGATGTTCGATAGAATGCCTGAGAGGGACTTGGTGGCGTGGAATGCCATCGTTTCCGGGTATGCGCAGAACGGGATGGCAGAGAGGGCTTTGGAGATGGTGATAAGATTGCAAAAGGATGGTCACAAGCCTGATTCAATCACCCTCGTCTCGGCTTTGCCTGCCTGTGCCAATGTTGGATCTTTGAAGATCGGGAAAACCGTTCATGCTTTTGCTATGAAGGCTGGCTTTGATTCTTTGGTGAATGTCTCAACTGCTCTCGTGGATATGTATTCAAAGCGGGGGGCAATTGAGACCGCAAGGTTGGTGTTCGATAGTATGCGGCTGAAGAATGTTGTCTCGTGGAATTCTATGATCGATGGATATGGGCAAAATGGGGATGCAGAGGAAGCCTTGAGACTGTTTAAGAAGATGATGGCAGATGGTATCCAGGCCACAGATGTTACCATAATGGGTGCTTTGTATGCCTGTGGTGAACTGGGGGATCTCGAGGAGGGGAGGCATGTTCATGAGTTGCTTACAAGAACTGGCTTCGAGTCTGATGTTTCTGTTCTGAATGCACTCATCACCATGTATTCAAAGTGTAAGAGAATTGATCTTGCTGAAGATGTTTTTGAGAACATGCCGGTAAAGAGTCTTGTGTCTTGGAATGCTATGATCTTGGGCTATGCACAGAATGATCGTGTTGAGGATGCTTTGAGACTCTTCAACAAGATGCAATGGGAGAATGTAAAGCCAGATTCATTCACTATGGTTAGTGTAATTCCTGCACTCGCTGACATATCTGTCTTGAAGCAGGCAAAATGGATACATGGCTTTGCTATTAGATTGTGTACGGACAAAAATATATTCATCATGACTGCTCTCGTAGATTTGTATGCCAAGTGCGGGAGCGTTCGTATAGCACGAAGACTCTTTGATGCAATGGAGGAGAGGCATGTCACGACATGGAATGCGATGATAGATGGTTATGGGACGCATGGTTTTGGGAAGTCTGCAATTGACCTGTTTGAACAGATGAAGAGGAGCTCTGTGAAGCCAAATGACATAACATTGCTGAGTGTTCTTTCGGCTTGTGGTCACTCTGGTTTAGTCCAGGAGGGGAAGAAATACTTTGCCAGCATGAAGGAGGACTATGGCTTCGAGCCTAATATGGATCACTATGGTTGCATGGTGGACCTGCTGGGCCGTGCCGGGAGGCTTGATGAAGCTTGGGACTTCATTCAGAAAATGCCAATCAGACCGGGTATTAGTGTTTATGGTGCCATGTTGGGTGCTTGTAAGATCCACAAAAATGTAAAGTTGGGAGAGGAGGCAGCACAGAGATTGTTTGAGCTAGAACCGGATGAGGGAGGGTACCATGTTCTATTGGCTAACATCTATGCTGCAGCTTCAATGTGGGAGGATGTAGCAAGGGTGAGGACTATGATGGAGAAGAAAGGGCTGCAGAAGACTCCTGGTTACAGTTCAATCGATTTGAAGAATGAGATACATACCTTCCATTCTGGAAGTACTGATCATCCACAATCACAGAAGATCTACGCAAGATTAGCCAGGCTAATAGATGAGATTAAAGCTGTCGGCTATATGCCTGATAGTGATTCTTTACATGATGTGGAAGAGGATGTTAAAGAACAGCTGCTCGGAACACACAGCGAGAAGCTTGCGATCGCATTCGGGCTCATAAACACTACACCAGGAACCACAATTCAAATACGAAAGAACCTTCGTGTCTGCAACGATTGCCATAAAGCAACCAAGTTCATATCTCAGGTCACAGGTAGGGAGATTATCGTGAGGGATATGCAGCGATTCCATCATTTCAAGAACGGGCAATGTTCCTGTGGAGATTATTGGTAGCCAGTGTTTCCACTTCAAGTGGAACTACAGCTGCTATTTCTTATTGTATAGGCTTCATGTGATTGTTGTTTCTTTCGAGTTTTGGGGTGTTGATGACCTTCAAACAAATGTATTACTTATTCTATCATCGATAATTTGATGAAAGAATGACAATTTATGTGACAGACTTTTGCTAATGTCACACATACTTTTTGCTTGAAGGAAGCTGATGGAATTTGGATTATTATGATCAGTAAATAGCTGGTACTAACTTGCTGAGACAAGAAAACAGATCAACTCAAAGAGGGACAGGCAATTGCATTGGCAGAACTATTTGTCTTGTTTGTCAAGCAGGTTCGAACCAAAAGAGAAGTCTTAGCAATCATGCAACCTGCAAACTGCTACTACCAAGACATCTCAAGACAACCATGAAGGTGAGAGCTAAAACATCATACTGAAACCTCTGCCCAACTTCATTTCTCCTCCAGGTTTGGAAGAGGCTTGTCAACTTCCTCGAGCTGCCGGATCCAGGTAGTCTGCTCCAACACCAATGAACAATCGCCAGCAGTGTGCTGCAGGGTGTTACGGAGATCATTCATGCTGTGGTTGCCACCGTTGTGCTCGTCGGGGACGAAGACGCCGGTTTCAGGGTCAGGAGTCCAGTACTTCTCCGACCCAGTATGCATTGTATCATTAGATTAGATGATTCTATTTAATTAAGTAAAATATATTATAAATCTGAGTAGTTATCAGTTAATAGAAAAGAATCTACTTATGATAAGATTCCATCACTACGATGTTACTTAGATCGCCTCGTCCAGCAACACCATCGTCGTACCAGGTCGAACAGCTGCAAATTCTTCGGTGGTGTTCGAAGCATTGCACAGGCTACTACAACATGTAAAACTGATGCAACCTCGCAACTGCCACTGAGGAAATCTATAGCAGTTTGAAGGATGATGCAACTCATACAACCATGAGTAAGTACAAACCTGAGAAGAGCTGCGGCTTAAGCAGGACCGGGCAACAGCTGGTTGCTGGGGGAGCCATTAGCGAGCAGTCATCTGCTGGAGCAAGCAGCCATGGGAACTCAGTTAGGGAGGCAAGGAAGACTCCTGCTTTTATCAGCAGAAAGAAAGCGTAAGAATAAGAGAAGAAATGTCGAGAAGGGAGGAAAAAAGATCGATTCCTTCTTTTACCTGTTAGAATTCTAGTTATTTAGTGTCTTCCCTGTTCCCATCCAGCTGACAACTTTCTAACAAAGAATAAGATGGTGACCAATTCAATGGATTGTTAGCTTGGAAACACTTTGGCAGTGAAACCACAAGGGCACATGCTAAATGTGCTTCCTATTGTTTATGTCCTTGACATCAAGCAACATTAATACCCATGAGATTGATACGCAACAAAAGATACATGAGGAATTTGGAGGTCAAACATACATATCTGTTTACTAATTATTGACTTCCTATTCCAACTGTCAGAATAATGTCAACATCCATGAGAAACATAATGAGGTAAAATCAATCTCTGCTTATTAATCATTATCACTGCAATAAAATGTGAATAAAAAACACTTGTGCAAATCAAGATGATCATGAGCAGATATAGTACTTTCTTCCAACACAATATCACCAGAACAGTCACAAAAGAGGTCCTAAGATGAAATCCATACCTGAGGATCAACAACAAAGCCAAAACCTTATTTATTAAACAAGAAACAACTAGCACATAAAAGTTGCACCAAACGATGCCTTTTACCTTAAGATTCAGTTGATCTTACAATGAAGTTTTGGCAGGTTATAGGATTCATCACTACTGGTGGCCCTGCAGTACGAGGCCAGGCCTGAAACTTCTAGTCGGTGGCTTCCCACCATTCATTATCAGCTACAGTTTATGTTCTGTCTGGTTTTGAGAAATGCAGATGTTAGATTCAACTTTGTTAAAGATCATATGATACAGAATCAGAAGTTTAGCATAAATTACCTCCAAAAATCTTGCTGTCAGCAACTAAAGTGTCACATACATATGCAAATGCAAAGAACGCAACCACAGATCCAATTATTTTGGGTGCTGCCATGTTTAAACTGCAGCAACAACGAAATATCCAAAAGAATTATTCGAGTCATGGTACTGAAACACTAAGCAACAAAGAGACACCAAGAATTTACAAAGAATAGGTTAGTTCTCTCTATGCAGAATATTTTAGTTGGTTAATCAGCACAAAAACTATATAGTTGGATAACTATTGAAGAGACACTCGAGGCATCTTCCAATTTACGCATATCTTATGCTTGAAATATTCTTAGACACATGCCAAATTGATAAGTACATAGATGCAGAAATTAAATATATGGTAAGGGATCGATAGGTGAAGACCCAAATGCCAGAGTTACAACAAATGACTACCAGGAGTACATTCCACAAGGGTCTGACAGAAACAACATGTCATTGTTGAGATAGTCTAAGAAAAGATGGTGATCGCTTGCTTTTGCTGAACTTTTTCATGCCATCTTCAATCAGAAACATGCAGGAATTCAGAACGTGCAATTGTACTCCAATTACAATTAAGAGATCAAAATAGGCTATAAATCTATCACCAAAGATATAAAATCTGCATATTCCCCTTTATCAAAACACCTCAAGTTGAACTCTATTGCACGTACACTCAGAAGTTCAAATACAATTCTTAAGCAAACTCATGTTCCTTTTAAATCATACATGATATACACTGGCTGCTAATACTAGGATGTTTTTTCTATCTACATCATATGCTTTCCAACACATTTCTTGCTGAACCACACTAACTCTTGATGAACATTCTAGCATCTTGTAAGTGTTGAAAAACAACAGAAACTGGGACCAAATATCACTTGAAAATCTATATTGGAATGTTATGCGACAATGTTCTACAAGACATCATTACAAAGTATGCATTCTGAAGTCTAAATAATCCCTTGTCCTTCAGGCCGGCCTTCATTAACAGTTCATTTCTAACAGCAAGCCACAGAAACAATGATTAAAGGTATCTCTTCAGATGTCCAAACTACGTAATTCCATTCAACAAGTGGCCGTCTTTTCTTTATCCAATTCATGCCAGAGACTGGGGCAGTAAAAAAAGAAGGCAGAAAAGATCACATCTGACCGAGAGTAATCAGCAGTACGCCGAAAGGAAGGAAGTTTTCGCTGCAAGATCAAGCCCTAGATCAACCAATGGTGGAAGATGAGAGCAGAATCCAGGGGACCGAGCGATCGATCGATCGATATATAGAGCGCGTAAATCGAATCAAAACACGAGAACTCACAATGGAAAAGAGGAAGGAGGAGGGAATGGATTTGCCGCTCACCCGACTTCGAATCCCCAAGCTGTGCTGCCCTTGATCGGTGCATCGAAGCGGCCAAAAGAGAGGACGACGGGGACAGGGGCCCCCTTCCGTCCGACTTAAGTGACGACTGGAGTACCGGTGAGAGACACACCGTGACGAAGGGTGCACGGAATCCGACGGCGTTGACGTGTGTTTTCACAAATTCGAATAAAAATAAAATATAAAAATAGAAGCAAATTTTCTTTTTATTACCAAAAAAAGAAAAAAAATTATAAATTAAAAATTAATTTATAAATTCTTCTTCCAATTATAATCAAATATGAATTATTTGCTAAATTAGTGAATCAATTAGCCCGACGATTACTCTCTCACCAAATATGAATAAAAGAGAAGCAAAATTAGAACAATAAAGTCTTGTCCTCAAACAATAAGTCATCACGATCTCTTTATATATACAAAAGAAATAAATACTTGACCAAAACACAGATTTTCTTGTAAAAAGAAAAAAAAAGGAAAGCAAATAATCATTTTATTATCATACATTCCACGGGACTTTGATGCATTGTTCCTTTGCACCAATGGCACATAATCCCCCAAGGAATAAATAGATGTGAATGTCACAACATTACAAATAGAACTACTTTAATGCTGCCACGCAAAACGTATAGATCTTTATAAGACACAAAAAACATGCAAATTGTCCCACATCTAATTTTCTTTTCTGAAGTCTAGTCAGGATGTATTAATTACATTGATGTTGATCATACAACAATACATGATGTTCGTGCTGTGGCACAGATTACAATTGAATGATCTTTCAATGGATAACCCCTCCAGATTGTCCTGAATATTGCAGTTGAATGCTGCCAAATGCATGATCCATCACTAAGAAGATAAAGAACAATACATTATAGCTAATAGTCGACTACACTCTGTGGTACCAAGACAGAGCCGCCGAAGCAGGCAGCTGGTTTCAGGTCATGTAGGATGCATATCTATCTCCACATACCAAGGAAGAATGAGAGAAAAGAATGACCCAGAAAATAGTAGCAAGTGCCATCTTTAGGGAAATTGCTGCCTGTTATAGGTATCCTCATGCACAAATACTGGAGTGGGTTGAGTCTGGGGTGGTGTATGAGGATGGCCCAATGCGATGCCTTGATTTTGTTGTGCATTCCAGGACTCGGTGTTCTTTGCTGAATACGATGAAACATAATATACAATGCCAAAGGCAACACTTGCAAGAGATAACACCGCGCCTCCTGAAAATACTCCAGACTCGATGATAGCAATAGTACAAAGGCTATTATGAAAGTAACCCTGCATGATTGAAGAAAAGAAAATGATAATTAAGTTACTGGCCTGAAACAATGCAGATATCAATTTAAATAGAAAAAACCTAGCAGTAGAAAGCAGCAATCATTGATTTAATTTAAAACAGAACAACTGCTAAAAGTTTGACAAACTAGTTTGTCTACTCCAAGCAAGCAGCCAACGGACCAAAGAATGAATCAAGATGGCAGAGCTTTCCGTGCTACATGTATGTTGTATTTAAACCATGTGTGTTGTTTAACCCACCAAACAGAGCGAAAACTGGAGCATCACTTGGCACTGATACAAGCACCATTTGAGTCCCCTGGCTATATCTTTTGCAACTTTATCTTCATTGACAACTTTATCTCAGATTAAGCAGTCCATGAATAATCATCAGGTGTCTATTATGACAGTTAAACAGAATTTTCACTCTAGAAACTAATAACTTATACTTGCCAAACTAAGATATTAAGCAGTTAAGCACATTCCATCTATCACCCCTACCTGCATTTCTAGATGTCATATTTTCATTTCAGGTCATTTCATGGTAGCAAAGCTATCAGTTGATGCCAGAGTAATTGTAGTTGTACCATTGTATCATGTACATTAAAGTCACAAAAAGCATTTGATTGGCAAGGAACCTAGCATACCAGAAAAAATATAGGAGTAATGCTGTCAACTCTACTACAGAAGGATGTGGCTGTCACAGTATGTGAGACTAACATTTCAATTTCTCCATTTTGTGTTGGCTTTCCGATTGCTGCCAATACTAGTCACTATGAGTTGAAAGTCTCACAGGCCAAACCATGGTTGTCAAGTGCTAAAGTTATATTTACACCACTTTACTGTTTGCAAGTGTGTGCTAGCACATCCCAAGTGTATGGACCAACGATGCCAGTAAAATTTGATATAAGATTTATCAAATCACATGCAGCATAATAGTTCCAAAGAAGACTTCACTGGAAACAGTTCAAAGGACTACAGTTGCTCTTAGTTTGACCTGCAATAATACCCTTAATAGAGTTGAATGATAAGAAAGGATTCATGAAGTGAACCCCAGATAGTTGGGATAACTTCTTGTTGTCTTTACTTTTGTAAGTAAGCCTCAGTGAAAAATGATACTTACTTGCACTGGATACAAAATAATAGATATCCAACAGTAAATATTGCTGTAAGGATAGTCATGCCTAGAACTATTAGTATACCATATCAAGGTTTAGTTAATTAGGGACCAGTTACAGTTCATACACAACAACAAACAGTAAAATTCTCTTATTCATCTTAACTTTATATAGGTAGCACTAGCAGTCAAGAAATTCATGTACCTCAAAAAGATGCACCAAAAAAGGGACAGAATCATGAGTAATAAAGAGGAGAAAGTGATGATCCTTGCAGTTGCTTCCAGGCAAGGAATCTAAATTACAGAATCCCTAAAACAGAGAGGATTATCCTATGAGTTGTATACAAAATATGCCTTCAACAAAAGATAAAGTATTTGAATATGTTACTCTACACATGAAAAAATAGCAGCAGTCTGCAATTATCCCATCAAGTTACAAGTTTTTAAGGGTATGATAACTTTGCATCTAGTAAATTGCCTAAAGGATGACCAAAAACAGACGAACCTCAATAAAGCCAATTACCAAAGGAACCAGTACCACATTATTAACTCCTAGAAACTTGTAGCTTGCTTATTGTTTTTGTATATACTCTGCAGTATAGTCAAATGCATTACCAATAATTACCATGCCTAAGAAACTAATTTACAAGAGGCACAACAATTTATGTTGTATGGATTAATGTGTCCATGAAAAATAAACTTATAGGTGCTGAAGTTACCAAGTAGCAATAAAGGAGATCAACCCTAATGTCCAGTTAGTGTCTGATGGATTTGGATACTTTGTACAACAAATACACCCAGATACAGTTTTTATGATGGCTTGAGCTATCATAAGAGCCACTGCTGCTAATAAACCCAGAGCTAGTGCAGGAGTCCTTGGGTACGTGCATACAACTAGATTTGTTGTTTGCACATCAGAAACCTGCAATATAGAGATTGAAGGAACAAATATTACACTTGATAAAAAGGCAACAGTTCTAATGGCTCAATGAAAATTTCTTAACCAACGTGCAAGCTTATGTTGTCATATAAAGGAAAAATATATGGCATCTCATTGTGGCAATAGAATAAATAAAGAGATCTAACAAAGATGACGTAGGCAGTGACACCCCCACCTCATTTTTAGTGTGAAAGATGATGTAGAATTATATTTAAAAAATGAAGAAAATGAAGAAAAAATGTGAAAGATGACGTAGAATTATAGATATTGATTTTTGACATCAACAAAGATCCATTTAGACAAAAGCTATTAAACCTTGTCATGAATGAACATTGACTAGCAGTTCTCCTAGTTTATTTAGGCCAGCCCAGTCAATCACGATAAGGCTCATCAGTGTGTAGAGATGCTTGAAAACAATTTATTTAACATACATAATTAGAGATAACCCAACAAAGAAAAACATGGAATCATAAAACAAGTAGTGACTAAAGGAAGTTTGGGCAAGAAGTACCCTATGACAAAAAAAAAAAAAAAAAGACAATCAGCAAATAATGAGACCTGCCTATTCACGAAGCACCTTAAACTAATGCAAGCAAAAAACACAAAAGTGTATTTTTCAAAATTTCCCCTAGATTCTATAAGATAGGTGAAGGTGAAAATTTTAATTGTATTTGAACTATCATTCTTGTCTCTCCATGAACAATATGAATCTAAATTATGTATTCAAACTGAAGTACAGATCCATAATTAATCTGTAATTCCACAATGCAAGTGATGTTAGGACACATGACCTTAGACAAAGAGAACCTAGAATCTGTGATATGAAATCAGCCAGTATCTTGTCATGCTACATTATAGTAACATCACATAAGAGTAATCAAATACATTTCTGAGACATGGAACTTTGTTGAAACCTGTTTTATAGCCTCTCTCCTTAAAACAAATTTAATGCAACTCCCTCCTACTCCAATGCAGAGTCATACGACTCCTTTCCTATCCTTGTGCTCCAGAATCAGTAACCTTTTGGAGCCATGACATATGCAAAAACATGATCATTGCAGTTGAGTCAGGAAGATAAAAGACAATCAGAATCAGAACATAAAATGGCTTGACATTCAAATCCCTTTATCGGAAAACAGCAGTCACACCTGGATAGAACGCTAACCTGCATATAACCTTCCGGAGAGTAGAAACAAAACTTGACAACTGACAGCAATCCATAATGATTACAGTCCACCCTTACTCACGAAAGAAAACACAACCAAGGAACCTATAGATCGAACCTTTGCCATCGAGAACAGTAACGGAACTGGAAAGAGGCCTTCTAATTCTAATCACCAACATCCAGACTATAAATCCTACAAATCCAAATGCGATAAAGGGGTCAAAGGTCATCGTCGTAGCTGGTTCCAAGAGAACAGCTTTCTTATAGCACCAAAGCCGCGTCTTCCAAGAAAGACCAAGAAAATAGAAATCATCGAAGCTCTACCACGCATTTGCAAGTACAATGGGAGGAAACAGTGACAGCACCTACAAATGAGCAGAGTCTTCGCAATGAAAGTTCTCTGCATCAGGGAATGGTGGAATGCCATGATCAACAAATCACGGAGATCAGGGAGAGAAAATGAAAGCGAAAAGGGATCGTCTCGGTATGCCAAAACCGTGATCCTTGTGGCCTCTGCGGCGAAGCCAAGCGCGGCGGAGAGGAGGCCGAGGAAGCCCACAGCTGCGCAGACCATCACATTGTTCTTCTCCATGGCCAGGGCTGGTGTTCGCTTTCGAGGTCGTCACTGGTGGAGGAAGTCTGCAAGTAGGCGGTGACACCCCGACCTCACTTTTTAGTGTTGACGGCGTCAAAGTTATATGACATATTAATAAAATGTTTTTTACAGAAAATATGCAATATTATATTAAAAATATTACTCAATAAATGGATTTTAATTTGATTATTAAATAAAATATATACTACTCATTAAAATTATGAACCAAAATAAATTTCTTAGAGGAATTATTGGATTACTGGAAGAAATATAAGAATGATATTCCATTTTTTTTATTATTGTGTGTGTGAATTAGTAAGTATTCATTTTGTTATACCGGAAATCATGATTGATTAATTCATTAGTAATAATATAAAGACTAATATTGTTCTTACATGGCTAATCGCATTAATTAATGTGCCATTATATTCCCTTAACTAAACCAGCTCCGCGGAGTAGCTTAACGCTCGCTGGACCAACGCGGGGGGCCACGTGTCTCGACCGAGGCCAACGTGTCCCTTTCCTTTGGTTGAGATCACTAAACCCCACCGTGGATATGGGGCCCGCAGATTTCACCCAATGACAAAGTGTGAATCCCCTTCGCGGTGACGGGGCTGGCCAGACGAGAAAGACAAGTTGGATCTGGAGTTACTCGTAATACACGGCGATCACATGGTAAGCGCTTCATCCACCGTCCATTTACTTCTCAACGTCTGGGATTGAATCAGGCTGTGGGACCCGACGAAATTACAATAGGTCTCTTCCCCCGCCTCACTTCGTTTCGACTGGGGCTTCTCCTTCCACTGCTACGGCTTCCTCTCCGACGTCCACAGGTACGCTTTCGGCTCGATTCCTCGGTTCGATCCACTGCGTGGTCCTTAATCTTTCTCGCTTTGGATGCGATGGATGATGTTTACCTTCTTCTTTACTTGAATTACTATTCATGGCCTTCCTAAATTGATCATAACGAATATTTATACACGATCTTTGTTGGCGGATGTTATAGTTAGGATCCCCGTCGGATCGTGATCTCATAGTGTTTTTTTCTTGGGAGATCTTGGCTATATAGATTAGGGTTTAGGTTCTAAATCTGAATTCGTTGTCCATCGAGCTTTGTACGTGGATCTGGTCTTCATGTTAATTGAGAGCATCATGATCTATTTCAGTCTTGTGATCAGCGATTGGTTTGGCGGTGCAGATAATTTGAGCAGGATCTGATTCGTCACTTGCTTCGAAGAACACTATTTGATTCTTTTCTTTCTTTATGGTTCAGTTTTTCATCCTCTTGAGTTCTATATCTCTTAGAGTTTTAGATTCTTGAACTAAATTGGCTGTTGGTTGCCTTTTCCTTTATCTGCACGGAAACCTTCCATGATTATTTTTTGTCGTTAAATGCGTAGGCTGAGTGATCAGAGCACTCTCACTATCTTACTAATTTTGTTGCTCTCTCTCTCTCTCTCATTGTATATAATTTTACTTTATCTGATGAATGGGATGATGGGAATATTTTTGTTGTTTTAGTTTATCAAAGAATAAACCTTGTTGTCACTTGTTTTGTGACAATTTACCAGGTATATTTTGGATAATCCTTTTTGGTAAACATTGTTGGTTGATGATATTATTCTGATTGATAAAAATAAATTGGGATTAATTTAAATCTTGGATATCTCAGTGATAAACTTTAGAAGCTATGGATTTTACACTAAGTTTGATGCATGGTATATAATTTTGAATGTCATTCGGTACGAGCGGTTTCTCATGAAGTGTTCAGATGTCAACAAGAATAATTATATCAAGGACTTGCCTCCTACTATAATCAATCAAAATATACCACTTGTCTTAGTTACAAATAAGAAAAATAGGGAGAAAAAATAACATTGGTAAAAATATCTAAGAATACTGAAACATGTATAGTTCTCAGGTTGATGGTGTCAGAAACGGCCATCAATTTCCTACTTATATTACTTTTTTTTTGGTGATGCAAGAGAAAAATCAAAAGGTTATCCATATACTAAATGAACTTACAACTTCTTCAGAGTTTTTTATTCTAAAGGACATCACAGCGACCACACTATATCACAACATCCCCTTTTACTTTAACCATCTTGCTTAAACTTTATAAATAAACCTTACATCAATCTTCCCCTCTTGCTTAGCTGAGTATTAGATCGATCTAAAACTTCTCGTCCATCTATTTCAAATATACATCAAACCAAGGTATGTAATACCGTATCGTATCGGTGTTTCGAGGTTAACTCGATACCGAGCGGTACACCAGGGCGTACCGAACGATACACCAAGGTTTATTGAGCGATTTCCTTTTACTGTAGCACTGTAGTACTGCTACACCATAGCACTATAGTATTGCTACAGTGTATTACTATAGTATTGTAGCATGATCCATTCGATAGCCGGCAGTCCGCGTACTGATATGTCATCGAAATCATAACTCAGAGAGGAGATCAGATCTATCTCCTGAGATTCTATAATCATGCAGATTTATCCCTAGAAAGCATTTTGTGAACTGCTGTTTCAATAAATGGTTTCTTGAGATTTTTAGTAATACTGTAGCGATTGAAAATTTTAGATGTGATTGACATAGTGTAATCATCCTAGACAATATGGCTAAATTATGTCAAATTTTCTTCTTGATTATTTTTTGTTGGTCATACTACAGGTTTTGCAATTTTTCTGATTTTATTATTATTTAGTGGACCAGACCCACAATAAATTAAAAATTTTCAGGTAAAGATGCAACCCTTGGGAAGAGAACAATCAAATTATCCAGGAAAGCCAACCCCACCCTTTCTAGCTGCTCCAACAATCTTCAGGTCTTGGGGTTGGCTTGGGGGCAATAGGCGCTCCACAAACTACATCTCCATTTGTATCTTCGGGGCCTTCCATTGGCACACAACCTTCTAGCTACAGAGATCCACAACCATCTATCAGGTCTAATATTCCATCTTACCTGGCACAGGATGCCAGCATTTATCAGCAATCACAAGCCCCAAGATTTCTGCCAGCTGCTCAAACTTTTCCTCCCATTAGTCAGCCAGTTATGCTTCCTACTGGATCTTTTCGCCCCCAGTCACAAATTCCGGTGGTATCAATGGGTCCTCCACCACAAGGTGCAACCCAGTTGACATCAAGGAGTAATATGCCTCAACCATTAGAGTCATCATTCTCTACATCAATAGCTCCGCCTCAACCATCTTTGCATGGATATTCAAGTGTGCCCCCAAGATCTAACATGCCTTCATTTCATCCAGATGCACAGTTTCATGCTTCTAGATCAGTTTCACAGCCATCAATGCAGGCTTTTTCATCTTCCCATGTTGCTCCTGTACATGGTTCTCCTTATCATTCTCACCAGAGTCATGTATCTGCACCGCCTCCAATTCGAGGTCCTCTGGGTTTTGGTTCAAGAGAACAACTGCAGCATCCCATGGCAGGGCCACCTATGGGAGGTCTTCAAGGTCTGGTTGAAGAATTTGAATCATTAACTGTTGGATCAGTACCGGGGGCTCTCGATCCTGGGATTGACACCAAGTTACTGCCAAGACCTCTAAATGGTGATGAAGAGTCAGCTAAGATTCTGGAGATGTATCCACTGAATTGCCATCCTAGGATCTTGCGGCTAACAACTCATGCAATACCAAATTCTCAGTCATTGCTTTCTAGGTGGCATTTGCCTCTTGGAGCAGTAGTTCATCCTCTAGCAGAAGCTCCCGATAAGGTAAAGTGTTTTTTTTGGTAGTTTAATAGGCACCTGTTGATATCCATGTGAACCTCTTGTCAACTATAATTCTTCAGGAAGAGGTGCCAATTGTCAATTTTAGGCCAGCAGGCATCATTCGGTGCCGAAGATGCAGAACATATGTAAATCCATATGTGACGTTCACAGATGCTGGAAGGAAGTGGAGGTGCAACCTTTGTTCTTTGCTTAATGATGGTGTGTAAATCTTGGAGCTTTCATTTCCCGAGTTCAAAGCGTTCAGTCTTGCATTTATGCACACCTTTGTTATTTTGCAGTGGTATTAATTTGCCAGTCTATGCTTCTGCTTGTTGTAGGACTGATGTTTCATGAGATGATTATTGCCACATTTGGAGCTTACAATCATTTCATCTAATTTCCCTTGAAAACTGTTGCAGTTTATGCAATTGCCTCGTATAGAACAGGCTATCTGGTTAAATATGATTGAGCAACTTAAGGGTTCGAGTTTTCTAATTTCATTGTCAGACATCACAATGAGCAATAGAACCCTTTGTGGCTTCTAACAAAATTTTCATAGGTATCCTCTGCCTCACATAATTATGATTCATCTCTTCTAACTGGTGCATCTATAGGATTCTTCTATACATGTCTGTAACATCTGCTACCCTCATTTTGTTCTTAATTTTAGTTATTATCTATTCACATATTGTTTCTAGTAACTCCATGCATCTATGTTAACATCCTCAAAAAGATGGAGGTTGCTAGAGCTGGCCAACACTGTAAAATTTTTACAAAACCCTAATGCTGGATTATTTGTGGCCCTTGTACTATGTAAGTTCAGATGCAAGGATGATGATGTTGCAACAACTCTGTGTATGTTAGGTGACAGCTTTCAGCATGTATTACTTGCATGAACTTCAAATATTTGAAAATTATTAGTTCTGTTGTTTGGTATTTTATCCAGTTTTCACCTGGAAAATTCTTTTTATCAATGTAGATATCTCTCTTTATAAATGTCCAATATATTATCTAAGAGAATATGAATTGCTTCTGTTGGAATTACACCACAAAGTATGGCATTTGTATATGCTAGGTTTATGCTGGTGGGATTTGATTTAAGTGGCTTTCTTATAATTTTGGTTAACAAAGCATGCCATCTTTCTGATATTCCCAAGTCTTTTGGAACATGCCCTTATTTATATATATATTGTCGTTCAGTGCCTGGAGAGTATTACTGTACTCTGGATGCCAGTGGCAGAAGAAGTGATTTGGACCAAAGACCTGAGCTATGCAAGGGCAGTGTAGAATTTGTTGCTTCAATGGAATATATGGTTCGGCCACCAATGCCACCTCTCTATTTTTTCCTTATTGATGTATCAGTCCCTGCAGTTCATTCTGGATTGCTTGAGGTAATTTCCAAATTTGTCGAGACTTTCCTCATTATTCAAAATTCTTTTCAGATTTAGGTATATGAGCAAGCTATAACCGTTTATTTCTTGGTACATATGGACCTTTGAGTTTAGCTTGACCTCAAATTTTTTGCAGATTGTGGGAAAGACCATCAAATCCTGTCTTGACAGTCTACCTGGCTTTCCTCGGACACAAATTGGCTTTATAACTTTTGACAGCACATTGCATTTTCATAATCTGAAGGCAAGTGGTGTAGCTGTTTAAAAGTCATGGCTCCATGTAGTTGTTGCACGAAAATTTGCCTGTTGTTTCTGGGTGCTTTTGCTTTCCCCCCTAACATAATTCTTTAGGACAATCAACCTTGTTATTGATTAACATTTTTATTGCTTTTGCCAGTCTTCTTTGGCACAACCTCAAATGTTGGTGGTAGCTTACCTGGATGATGTATTTTTGCCTCTTCCTGATGATATTCTTGTTAACTTATGTGATTCTAGGCATGTAGTGGATGCATTTCTAGATAGCTTGCCGATCATGTTCGAGGGCACTGCCAATGTAGAATCTGCCCTCGGGCCTGCGCTTAGAGCAGCATTCATGGTTATGGTACAATGTTGTTTACTTAGTATATTTTTATTTTTGTCAGTGCAGGGCTGAGTGTAATCCTTGATTTACAAGTTTATGTTGTATCCTTTCTGTGACAGAGTCAACTCGGAGGGAAGTTGCTCATCTTTCAGAGTGCATTACCGTCTCTTGGTGTTGGCCGCCGAAGACTTCGTGGAGATGATCTTCATCTTTATGGAACAGATAAAGAGCATACCTTAAGATTACCTGAAGATCCATTTTATAAGCAGATGGCTGCTGAGTTTACAACGACCCAGATTGCCGTGGACATATATGCTTTCAGTGAAAAGTATTCTGACATTGCTTCTTTAGGTGACAGTGCTCAAATTCTTCATCCAGTGGTTATATATATAAAGTTTTGGCATTTTAATTTTTCTTTACCTCTCTATATACTTGCTTGAGGTAAATTTACAGGAACTCTGGCCAAGTATACTGGTGGTCAGGTGTATCATTATCCATCTTTTAATCCTGTTATTCACCATGATAAACTTGGCTATGAGTTGGCTAGGAACCTTACAAGGGAGACTGCCTGGGAAGCTGTGATGCGCATAAGATGTGGGAAAGGTCAATGATAGGATGTTTTTTCCTTCTATAGTATTTCTTTAATTTCTGCTGTACACTGGTATTTAATATTTTTGGTTCCGTTTTATTACAGGGGTCCGCTTTACAACCTATCATGGGCACTGTATGCTAGGGTCAACGGATTTATTAGCCCTTCCTGCAGTGGACTGTGACAAAGCTTTTGCTATGCAGTTGTCTTTGGAAGAATCCCTCATGACATCTCAGACTGTATATTTTCAAGTTGCCCTGTTGTATCCTTTTCTTTCTTGGTGCATCTAGAGTAGTTTGCTAAGTATTCTCACCCTTATGCTTTACTTTTTTGTCTAACCTATCTAAAATGTAAATTATCTATGGTTAAGAGGTGAAGTACTGGGATGAATACTGTGATCATAAATAAGCAACTTTTAAGCTTGGACAAAAGGACACTTGAAAAAACATACAAATACATTTTCTTTTAATGCCCCTACATAATCCTTGAACATAGAGCAAAAAAATAGATGAGTGGACCATATTGTGTGCATTAAACAATTTTATCTCCAAGAAAAGCATCATTGCCACCATTCTAGTTGACATAAAGATAGTCTTTGTTGTGTTTGTGACATTTTGCCTCTTTGTTAGTTTCTATTTCCTTTCTTCTGTAGTTTAAGTTCTAAAAGCAGTAAAACTTCTTAATTCACTCAAGTGTGAAATGTCCTATGTATAAATTTGACTTGTTTGAACGATTCCTGTTAGATTTGCTAGTTGCTGATGCTATTTTGTCTTGTGGCACTCCTTCGACTGCATAGTTTGCTTTCATAATCACTCTTGTTTACCTTCGTCATCACTCATTCTTCCACTTGTGTTCAGTTTCCCATATCTACAGTAGGTTGGTTTGAGGGAATGGAGCTTCTATGTTGTAGCATTTTTTTTCCTCGTGCTAGAATGGTTTTCATAATGAACTTGTAAATAAGATAATTGAAGACCTGCTTTCTGGTTTAGCGAGAAGCTCAACTATTTTGTATTGTTCAAATTTGCGAAATCAACTATTAAACTTTCTTTGTCATTAAGACGTCAGAACCATGCTTTATGGTGCAAGAGATGCTCCATGGATCCTTAGCTATGAAAGATATACTTCCTCTTCAGGTGAAAGGCGCATTAGAGTCCATACAGCAGCTGCACCGGTGGTGGCTGATCTTAGTGAAATGTACCGTCGAGCAGATACCGGAGCCATTATCTCTTTGTTGGGTAGGCTTGGTGAGTAAAAACATCCAATTTGGATTTTTTGAAGATGGATATTTTGGAAATGAACTTTTATTCTAGTTTCTTATGGCAAAAAATCCCGCAGCAATTGAAAATTCGGTGTCTCAGAAACTTGAAGATGCTAGACAGTCGATGCAGTTGAAGCTTGTGAAAAGCCTTAAAGAATATCGAAATCTTTATGTTGTCCAGCATCGGTTGGGTGGAAGACTGATTTATCCAGAATCTTTGAAATTATTGCCGCTGTATGTATTGTCTCTTTGTAGGTCCACAGCCCTCCGTGGAGGGTATGCTGATGTTCCTCTGGATGAACGATGTGCTGCTGGTTACAATATAATGATTCTACCTATAGGCAGGATGCTTAAACTTCTTTATCCTAGCTTACTTAGGATAGACGAGAACCTCCTGAAGGTATTTCTATCTCCTTATTGTTTCTCTTTTTTTTTTTTAATTCCCACTTGAATAGATCCTGGCTTGAACTTCTTGTTGCATATTTGATTGCAATAGATTTTATTATTTTAATTAGAAAATAGATGTTTAATAATATCTTATTCAAATAGAGAATCTATTTGAAATATAAAAATATATGTTATCATTATGCTTATGATTTCAGACAAACTTATCTTGTTGTTTTCTGTAAAACTTGTTTTGTTCAGAAGAGTGCTATGGCGTTCCAAGTTTCCAAAGCACAATCCATTTTGTAATGCGGAAATTATTGCTTTTCTTGTTAACTTATTTTTTTTTCTCCCTTGCAGAATCAACAGGAGATTCAAGAACCATCAAAGCAGTTACCACTGACTGCCCAAAGTTTAGATCCCAAAGACATTTACATTTTGGATGATGGATTTAATTTCATTATTTGGTTAGGTCGGATGCTTTCATCTGATTTAGTCAATAATATACTTGGAGTTGAGTTTGGCTGCTTCCCTGATCTATCTAGGGTAAGTTTCTTGCCATAGGCTTTGATTGTGTTGTTTAGTTGAAGTAGACAAATTTATTTTGGTATGAATTAATCATATTATATTGAAACTAGCTTAGAAAAAATGTCACCATACATTACTAACAAATATAATGAGCAAAAACTGTTTAAAATTGCTGAGCTTTATATTTACTACGAACTACAGCATAAATTGTTGATCAAAAAGATCCTCTGGTGTTTATACCTCTCTTTTGCTTTGAAGTGTTACTTCTGGACAGCATTATTTCAGTCTAACTTGTCGCTAAATGGTTGTAGCCTAAAACCTTTAGCAGTCAACTCTTGCAAAACTAGATGGAAACATGCTCTGTTTGACATATCCTTGTGCCCTTACTCCCAAAAATATTTTGCCAAGACTATTAAGAGGTCCCATGTTGATTCATCGACCGAAAATAGGCAGTATTGAGAACTGCGCCCTTCCATCAGGGGCTGTAAGTTGGTGAGATTCTGTAGTGTGACATGTCTCCTTCTCTTGCAGGTTGTAGTTTCTGAACACGACAATGACATATCAAAAAAATTATTGAGGATATTGAGAACATTGAGAGAAAAGGATCCTTCGTCCTATCAGTCATGCCATCTGGTAAAGCAGAGTGAACAGCCAAGAGAAGGCTTCATGTTTCTTGCCAATCTTCTCGAGGACCAGACTGCCGGATCCAGCGGCTATGTTGATTGGATTCTTCAGATATTTAGGCAATCACAAATCTCATGAAGAGGAGGGAGGGGGAAGTTTAATAACAGTACTCACTCCGTTCCATGCTGTGTTCTCTGAGTCTGAAGGTATTTGATCAACCAAGGCACAATGAAGTTTGAATCAAAACTTTTGAAGATCAAATCTCACATTCAGCCTGACTTCCTTTGGTAATCTGTTTTCTTCTTTATTTTACTTCTTTTTCATTCTGCTTTCCTTTTTTTCTCTTTACATCATCTTGAATAGAAGTTTCTTCTGTGTCACAATATATGGTTTTTTTTTTGTGGTAAATTATCCACCTCATGGATTTAGAAACAGAATACTTGATATGTATTTATTCTTGTGACCGTAAAATGATATATTCTCCATCAAGGTACCATACAAAGAACACGCTGAGATTGCATCATGTGTAATGGGAAACAGATCTCTTTTTTAGTTCTTTTACACAGTGATGACATCCTTTCTCTTGTCCACAAGAAGTCACCATGATTTCTGCAGCATGTGTAGCATTACACTTTTTTTTGTATGTTTCTTTTTGCATACAACAGAATATGAAGTTTCATTTACTAAACTACATTTATTTTTATCATTTTTGTAGCATGGGCATAACAAAATAGGCTGTAATGTAATGTTTCTTTGGGGTCTCATACCTTGTGAGCCTACCCATGAGAACAAACAACACTTTCATCATTTAATGGCTCTCATCTATGCCTTTGCTATTGAGCTTGTCCCTCCCAAGATTGCTCTCTCCTTTGGCCATCAAGTGAGTAAATGTTTCCAGGCTTAAACCTTTAAATGTACTTCTTGTAGGTTCATACCAGATGACTAAGATAAAAAAGACTACCAATGGCACACATCAGTAACATAACACTTGTTGCATGCAGCTACCACATACAGTTTCAGTGCATGAAATAACAAGAAAGCAGACATGAAAATTTCCACTCCACCAAATCAGAGAGATGACATCAAAATGCAGGCAAAGTTCCTGCTGTGCCTCGTCCGATGGAGGTTTAAAGATGGCATCCAAAGGTCGAAGTACTTCTCCCTCAATCATCTGCCGAGATAAGGATCATAGATAGATACCATGTAAGAACAAGAATTACAAGTATACAACGAGTCTGAAAAGGACTTACCATTAGGGGACTTCGAAGAGGTGGTCGAAAAGTCTGAGGAGGACATCGGGAATGAAATCGAGAGCTGGGTTGTGGAATATGATGTTCGGTTGGATCTATCTTCTTCCATATCGGACCAAGAGTCTCTCGTCTTTGGCCATTCGTCAAAGAAAGGTCGGAGGAATTGGCTTTCTTGCTTCACAGACTCTGGTGAATTGAACTCACCCCCAATGAATGAGTGTTGTTGCTGCTCCGGCTGTCGTGACATTGAACTGATTGTTACGTGCCCGAGATCTTGAACCGACTGAAGCTGAGTGTACGCACTCTGCAGAGGAGAAGGATCTCTAGCTTTTGAAGATGGAAACAATGACACTCGGGATGGCATCAAGTGCCATGAGCTGTCAACTGGGTCCATTCCAAGACCCCTTGCACTACCAGAGGCTTCCGAGAAGAAACTCTGCTCATCAACTCCGGGTTTAACACCAGAGAAGTACCTACAGGTTCCAGTTGAATGAATTACTACTGATAATAACAACAGGCAACTGATTAGGGCATATAAAGCATCAACTTTAACCTAGTGAACCCTCTTAAAATTACTTTGAAACTCACTACTAAACACACCACTAGTTTGCCGCTTTGCTACAATTTTTTCTCATGGTGTTGCTTCCCCTACATGTACCCACAACTATTCTCACTTCGGGCAATTAAGTTCTACAGCAAAAGAACTAGGGTACAGAAACCATAAAAGCAAACGGCTTCAAGCATGTTTATGCAAGAACTTGAAACTAACATGAGATGCTTAAAAGTATGGCCTATTGAGAAGATCATTTTTTTTTTTTTGAACTATGAAAATTAAAAATATGATGACATTTTCTTCCTGATGTGGAAGTTACTTTATTGAAGATAATACTTTTTCCTCTAATAATCTCAAACTCCCAAATTCAGAGATCTGTAGGGTGCATAATGTCTGTTAAAAATCATAGTATACACCTAATAGAAATTAGCAGTAACAGAAGAAGCTTGTTACTTCCAAGGCATGTTCCTAAAAATCCTCTATGATAAGACAGCAAAAATTAGACAATCAAGCATAGAACAGGCTGAGATAAGAACCATGTCAATGAAACAACTAATATTTTTGCTACTTATAACCTGGAAGCAAACAGGAACTATTTTCAAAGTACAGAAAAGCCATTAGTCAGGACTGAAAGCACAATTGTCATGTTCTACCAATGATGTTTAGTAGATGTCATCTCTATCCCCATAGTGCGAAAAACAAAATCGTAATCGTGCATAACCTGAATGACTGCTTAACATCCGGCTTCCTCTGATACAATGATTACTAGCCTTTGGCATTGCCTCATACTTCCACAGGAAAAAATAGACCATGAAAGAATAGCACATTACCTGTTCACATATGTTAAATGACGGCATAGAATCAACCAATCTCACATTCTGTACACAAAGGCAGCTCCGAAACAAAGCACAAATATGCTCAAACTATACCTAGAAAAGCTGTAAACACAATCTAACTGGCTGTAAAACTAATTTTGTGATTCCTCCAGCTCTGACAACTAAAACCTTCCTACTAGTTTCTATAATTATGGCATGTAGTCAGCAACTTAGTCTCAGATTGTCCCAAGTGGACAAAAAAGATAATAGAACACAATCAACAAGTCGCTACAGCACAAGTGGAATACCAGACTGCTGTGCACAATGTAGCTATGTTTACCAACAGATAAGCACAGATGATGTCAAGTGACCATTCTAATAAGATTTGTACCATATATGCAAACAGAAACAACCAGAGAGAAATCCTAATACTGTTATGTGTACTGCCTCTTCAAGAGGGGGAAAGAAAAAGATACCTGTTACCATAAGGGCCAGGGTCCATGGGCAGATGCAATGAGCTGGAGGCACCAAGGCACAAACTTTGTCTACCGCTGTGACCGGCAACGGAGTACTGGGGAATGCTCTGCAAGCCTCCTCCACTGCTGACACTCCCACTGCTCCCGGTGGGAGTTAGTGATGTCGTAGTAGATGAGGCCGACTGCAATTGGGAAATGGATTGTGATTCCACAGGCTTTCTTGAACGGTTGCGGCCACGATGCATGTGGCGCTCGCAATACTTGGAGTCAGGATGTGCATCCTTGGAGCACCGCCACTTCTTCCCATCAGTTCGACGGCACCGCCCTGGCTCTGGATCCAGCTTCTTTCCATAGTAGGAGCAGTAGGCTACTGAACTCGACAAACACCCAACCATATCAACTTTCATGAAAGATGGGTGGCTGTATGTAATCAGAACACCAAGATCCTCACCACAGACTAGGAGGAAAATTCAAGGAAAGGCACCATTTTCCCCATTCATGTAGCTAATTGGATTAATAGAAACTACATCTCTATAGTCTATACCATGCATTTTCCAAACAAAAACAAGTGCTGAAAAATCAATGAAGATTTCATAAGTCTTAAAGCATAATTTTCACTGTATAAATCATTTATTTCACAGGCATCCAAGAAGAGCAAAAATCTGGTTAACATAGCAGCAGAACCAAAATTATCTGATCCAGGGAAAAAGATGAAACCGAAAAACGAGAAATCAAGCTGATCAGCACTTGCAGATGTACTTCATTTCTTGAAAAAAGCACTGAATATTATAAAAAAACAGAGCACAGTGGCATGATATTAAAGGAGAAACCTATGATCAGGACAATTAGTACAGGTAGACTATTTAATTCTTGAAGCCCTTGGCATTCACAAAAGAAAAAGAAAAGAACCGATAAAAAGTTCCCTTGTGCAAGAAAAATTAGAGGAAGAACCACTAAGACCGCTCGATCCCGAGAAGCCACCAACTCTAAGCTTCAAATGATTCAAATCCATCAGGAAAAGGAGACAACAGATGTGTAAAGTTCGAATCTTTCGATCTTTTGATGGTTTCGATCACTAGAAACCATCAAAAAAACAAGAAAAAGCGCGATCTTGATACTTACTCCCATCGCGAAACCTCAACCAAAACCATCAGCAGTAACCCAAAAGAAGGAAAAGACCAAAGCACACGGTAAGATTCGCTTACGCGCAGGGTGATGATAGTATCGGCCAGGCAAGGCCTCAAAGCTGCGCCGGATGGGAATCAGGAGCTCCGGCGGCACGGGCACCCCCGCCGTCAGGTACTTATAGATCAGCGCCTGGTGCTCCAGCTCCTGCCACTGCGCCGCCGTGAACGGCGGCCTGCCCCCCCATCCCCCCCCGCCGCCTCCCCCACCGTGCTGTTCATCTGCCGGGGAACACCAAAAGCCCGAAGAAACACGAGACCCAGAAGAACAAGAAGCGAAAAAAGAAGGCACCTTTGACCTCACTCATGGCGGAAACCGAGACACGCGGTCGGCACTCCCGTCGGCAAGCGCGAAGAACACAGCTTTGCCATACCCGAGAGTAAGTAAAGAGGCGGTCGAGGTGAGCGTGAGAAACACACACAGACACAGACCGGTAATCAGCTGCAGAGAGAGGCAAGTTCTTATAGACCGCAGAGGAGGTGGCTGTTCTCTTTAACACAACTATACACGCATATTAATGGTGAGGGTGTGAGGATGGGATGAAGAAATGGAGAGAAAGAAGGTGGAGGCGGTGGTGGTGGTGGTGGTTGTGTGTATGGAAGGGGGTGGTGAGATGGAGCATTGCGATGGGAGGGAGAAGGGGGTGGGCTCTGTCTCTATCTGCAACTTTGGGTTTCTCAGTGTGTATTGGGAAGAGAGACAGTATCTGTTTCTGAGCAGGAAAGAAGAACTATTTAAAGCAGACAAAGTTTTACATGTTGCTTGTGATATTTTAATGCCTCTGCATCTCATGCACTCATGCAGTAAATGTAGTTGTTGGGAGGGTGGGGACACTCTTCTCCTTCAATTCATTCACACTCTTACCTTGTAAGTGTCGATTAAACGATTCACTTACAGTTGATTCTTTGAACATGTCAGGCAGTCACCTTCTCCTTTATGCCTTTGTGGCTTCCAAATGGGGTTTGTCCTTATATTTCTTTTCAATGAAAGATTGATATCAACAACACCAGCTGCTTGAGTATATGAAGGATTTAGGCTTAGGAGAAGGGAGACAGACAGACAGACAGCTGCTTGTGTCTGATGAACTAATTGCATACTGCAACTTCACAGACAAGACAAGCAAATACTATGTTGCATCAACATTAATTCTGAGATATTTTGTCTCAGGAACATAAGATACTGGAAGGATGAACCCTAAAGTTCAAACCAAGTGGGTGCCAACTTTGGGTCAAATAATTGGGCAGCCTTCCATGGGTAGCAAGTGGATTCTATCACTTCCACTGCCCCCACATCTCTTTTTTACTTGAGTACCAGCAGCTCCTCCAGCTGCAGCAGCATGGTAAATTTGTTTGCTGCTTTGCCAATCTCCACCTTCATCCCCTCAGCCATGACTTGGCCTGCACTCCTCCAGGATGTGGAGGAGGGCCCGTCCCTTTCTCTTTGTTTGCTGCTTTGCCCAACCCCAAGCAACCAAACCAAACTCCTCCAGTGCTAAAGGAGAAGGGGAGGAGCAACCGGAAGGCCAAAGAGGGTAAAAAGAGGAGCCCTGTGAGGTTCCACAGCTCGGTGATGCCCCCTTCTCCGTGGCAGCAACCTCACGTGGTGGTAAAGCTGTGTTCGTAGCCGAAGAACCAAGAAGCATCACCTTTGTCGGTGGTTAAGAAGCTGATGAGAGGGATGGAGGAGGCATATGATCAAGATAGGCCTCACTGTGGTCCTTCACAGGTTTGCTGCTCCTTGGCAATGATCATTTTACAGCCATTTATGTCATCAAATATATACATATATATATAATCGATTTATCTTTGCCTTGGAGGATGTGCAACATCAACCTTCCGAATCTGATTTTACTTGTACTGACGTACTACCGTGGTAAATTTTGACAAGGCCGATCTCTTTCATGGAGACAACAGGAGTGATGAACACACACGCACTGTTCTGAACATTTGAGAGCGTATGGGGAAAAGATATCATTCGCTGCAACCACTGTTTGAATCGAGCCTTGCAGAGCAGTTAGCTAACAGCAAGCACCAAGCAGAAGCTTTGTAGTATCGGACTACCATCTCAAGAGATGGCATGTCAGTGCTACTGTGCTCCCGAGCTGTGTGACCCAATCCTGCATCCACCATGAATCAGCTCAACTCAGTGAAGTGCTTCAGTACTGATTTGATCTGCATGGCTTGGCTTCTTGATCTATTAAAGCTGGTGACACAGAAATTGGATCTACCAGAAGAATGTTGGCTACAGAAGTCAATGATCAAAAAGAGAAACTGAACACAGAGAGCTCCACCACACACGAAGCATTTTGTCCGAGCATTTGGGAGTTCTGAAGGTTCAGTGGAAGAAAGTTTCTGCAGTCTTTTGCAGCTCCACCACACAAGAGCTGCAGAGGAAGGCATTGAGGCTTTCTGTGTGGGAGTTGGACTGAATCTGACACTTCTGTTTGCATATTTGCAGCTGTTCTTTAGCGACAGCCTCCCAAGCCGGAGCTGAACAACATGTTTCTAAGTGGTTTGTGGCATTTTGGACATGAGCAAAAGCGTTTCTAAGTGCACTTTGCCGAGTATCTTCTGCAATCTAATGGGATTCACAATTGTTTTTGGACTTCTAAAGCACTTTGACGGATGAGAAATTTAAATAGAAAAAAGGAATTCTATGTGAAAGAAAAAAAATATCTTAAAAATTAGAATTTGATTGTTTATAAATGATGGAAAGCCAATGTGAGAAGAACACTCTGTTTTTTCAATATATATATATATATATATATATATATATATATATATATATATATATATATATATATATATATATATATATAAAAGCAGAACACTCCGTTCTTTAAGTACGAGCTTACAATGAAGTGCTCCAAAATGGCCTGTCGATCCCCTTTAACGTCCAATTCAGAAAGCAGGGTTTTAACTCACAAAGAGCACAGAAGGTAGACATGAGAGGGTTCCATGACGTCATACCTGGTCGTTAGATCAGGTGGATACGGTGTTTCCTGTCTTGACCCAACACTCTCACTTCCCGTAGCTACGGTTCCATCATCAAAGCATTCAGATCCTTCTCGGTCTGCTATCCTCGTAGGAGGAATCGACGATCGATGGCTTCCCTCTTCTTCCTCTTCGTCCTCCCGTTTGTCGTCGTCCTCGTCGTCCTCACCGTCATCGTCCGTCCCCGCCCCGTACGGATCCCCCTCAAGGGCCGCCATGTCCTCATATCCGGCGGCTCCAGCGGCATCGGCCTCGCACTCGCCCGCCGCGCCGCCGCGGAGGGCGCCCGCGTCTCCATCCTCGCCCGAGATCCCGACCGCCTCCGGGACGCCTGTGACGCCATCCGCCTTGCTACCGGCGTCGACGCCGCCGCGCTCGCTGCCGACGTTCGCGACCCCGAGGCTGTCGCCTGCGCCCTCGAGGCCGCCGGTCATATCGACGTCCTCGTCTGCAACCATGGCGTCTTCCTGCCGCAGGAGCTGGATCGGCAGAGCCTGGAGGAGGTCCGCTTCACGGTCGAGGTCAACCTCATGGGCACGTTCCACCTCATCAAGGCCGCGCTCCCCGCCATGAAGCAGAGGGCAAGGGAGAGTGGCCTCCCGGCCTCCATTGCCATCATGTCCTCCCAGGCCGGCCAGGTAATTTGCATTAGCAACCTCCGAAACCATATCGATTTGGATTTCTCGTCCTTTATCACCTTTACATCGATCCAAAGATTTAATTTTTCTACGAATTCTGAGATCGTCTTCATCAAAATTTATGCCTTTTCCAAAGATTTCTTCTTGTCGATTGTGTTATGTTCTTCCAGGGCATGTACTGACAGCACGAGTGCAGGTGGGTATTTATGGTTACACGGCATACTCAGCCAGCAAATTTGGGCTTCGAGGCCTCGCAGAGGCATTGCAACACGAGGTTATTGCTGATAGCATCCACATAACCCTCATATTTCCTCCTGATACAGAAACACCAGGGCTTGCTGAAGGTGTAGAACACTGTCTTATGCTTTTTGTTTCCATTTTTGTTGATACTTATCATACCACTCATACCACATTAATTCAGAAGAAGATATGAATGTTTAGGTTCTTTGTGCGATCTCTAATGGGTTTTGCATTTAAATTTGGAATCTCATATTGTACTTAGAGATATTTTAGGTAAGTATCATTTTATATGCAGTATTTCTCTTGGAAAGATTGTTACATTTTATGACTATCATTCAAATTCATTTTTGGCCTTTCTCGTATCGACAACTGATTAAATAGTTGCTCATAAAGATTGCAGATGAGGTAGTCTATTTGGTAGGTTCATATTCATAGTAGGTTCAGACATTTTCACTTAGGATAGCTTTTTGTTTTAGTATTCATATTTACATTTTACTGATAATGTATTTCAGGATTATTTATTGTATCAATATCGAAGTAACATACCATATATGTTTTATTGATCTTATAGATTATTTTAAACTATACTATATTTTTCATGTGTCACTTATTATCTTTATCTTGACTCTTCTTTTCATTTTTGGGGATGGGGCGCTTTGCTTTGTAATTCTTTTATTTTTTGTTTAGTTGATCCTCAAGCATAACTCTGATATGGCAACCATCCAGGATGTTATTTAACTTCCCAATTCTTTCTACTTTTAAGATGAGGAAAAAGTTTGAAAGCCAAAGGGACATTGTTTGGCCAAGAAAATTTCCTCCTCAGTGCCAAGGTTTTTAAGAAGTATCTTTATAGCCAACATGAAGCATATGTTATATTCTGCTGGTTTCCTTATTGTCATAATTATGATCTGAAGTTTGTCACTAAAGCTTATGTCTAAATTCAGTGATCGATATGTTTATTTAAAGATAAGTACAGTAGATAATATAGTCATTACTTCGTAACTTTTGTGGAGGCTAAAGTGTGCCAAAGCCATCTGTTCAGGCAAAAAGTTGTGAGATCATTTTTTCTGTCATTAAAAGTTTCACGGCACTCGATAATCAAGTGTGCTTTCTGATTGCAGAACGGAAGAGAAGACCAGATGTTACAAATATGATAGCAGCATCTTCAGGTGGGATGAATGCTGATGATGTCGCCCAGAAAGCATTACATGGACTCAAATCTGCACAATTTGTTGTTCCTTGCAACTTTGAGGGAACCATGCTATCTATCGCAACAGCTGGTTTGTCTCCTCAGAGATCATATCTCATGGCATTTGTCGAGGTACTCGGTGCTGGTTTTATGCGCTTTCTAGGCCTGTGCTTCCAGTGGAATTGGTTTAACATCATAGATAAGTGGTACACCAAGAAGACCACGTAGTTGAGAATGTCTTCTCTTGCTGCAATCTTTTTGTGGAGGTTGCTCTATTTTCCATAAATAAAAGTAGTATGTTGTTTGATGTACTGCAATGGGATTCAGCAGATTTATTTTTGCATTTTTTTGGTACAATTTGTATTCAAAGTGCCATATGTTGGTTGAGTCACAAGATGGCCGCATTCAAACAGAAGTGGAGGATTGTTTGTCGATTAACACTGAAGAAAAAGTGGATGCAGGTATCCGGTTTTTGAAAACTTGAAACTCTTGAAATTACTGATGATCGTTATCTGTTAGTAGTTAGATCTAAGCATTCTGTATAAACTATTCTAATGGTGATAATTTCTGTCTAGTGAATATTATAGCAATCTGTTTTGTTCTGCACATATGTCCCTACTTACCTCTTCCTTTACCAAGATCATTTTCATAACACAGTAAGAGTATGGGTTGATAGTCAAATGAATTTGGAGATAGAAAAAAAGTATCAGAAACATAATGTAATTTATGGCTGAATGCAGCAGTACTTTGAAGACTATGCTTGACTTCTATTAATTATTTGGCAACATATACAGACATTGTTGTTTAACGCCTACTATAGTGCTTCATCTACAAGTGTCTTCTTCATCAATTATGCTAACTGAATTCATCCAGGATTCTAAGATCTTGCAATGCGAATTTGCATTCTGCATTTTCAAGAGGGAAAAGTCAAGTCGGAATTATGACTATAATTTTGAAGTTTGCTTTGATCTTTTGCACATAGCTCTCCAATGCAGAGGATGGTTGAATTGTGAAAGATCTCTTGAAGCAGAACAAATATTGATCCTGCAAGCAAAAACTTCAGATGAATGCTAAAGAAATCCAATTTCGATTCAACATCACAACTCCAAGCATGAATGATGTACAAAGTTTTTTTTACCCCAAAATTGGAGAACACAGAACATGTCACAGATAAGATAAAAGGCCCAAGAAAACCAGAAAGAATTGCATTTACTGCACAAAGAACAACAGCATCATGCCTCATTAGCATTCCTTTATTCTTCGCCTAAATATGAACGGTAACAAGATCAATAAGCTTTTTTATTTTGCTGAAGCTATTACAAAATGCTGTGATCTGATTTTGACCATATTTCTGCAAAATGAATGACCTTTTCAGAGCCTTTTCCTCTGCACAAGCCAATACCATCTTATCAAAGCTTCCCTCCAATGTAGTCTTCTATCTTTGTAAAAAAGATTTCAGGCATAAAGAAGAAATGGCACATCATCTTGCTGATCCACTGTTGATACAACAACAATAGCTGTCACCATCCAATATCAGTATGTAAACATGTAAAAAAGAGGTCATATCTGCTCTCATCAAGCTCTTGTACAGACAAGACATCTGGTACAGGACACCTTCAGTTGCAGCCGATCCTTGGTATGCAACCTTTCTTTTCGCTGCTAACCCTGTGAAAATAAAAGAGATGCCTTGGATGATTTAGAGGTTCCCCATTATGCTTCATGAATTGTGATCTTGACATCCGCTATAGAAATTTAGTTAATCGAAAGAACTTGACAACTATAATATGTTTGCGAATAACGAATGACAATGTCTGTTCTATTGGACAGAGTTTCAGAAAGATTTTTTCATGAAACATCTATACAATGGATGATTTGTCATGCATATATGATCCTTTTAAGCTCAAATAGATGCAGTGAAGATGAATAATTTGTCTGGAAGGTCAATGTGAAGAAAAAGTCAACTACATCACAAATTAATATAGGTTTTTTAGATAAAAATGATCAAATTATGAAACTGAAGATAATGTCATTTTTCTTTTACTTCTATATGCATACAAGAGGCAATTATTACATACTGACATACTGATAATGTCATCAAAAGGTAATTATGGGGAAAGATGATAACAAGATGGTAACAGGAGTCAGAGAGAATAAGAGAAGTTTAGAATCAGTCACATAAATGTGATTGGAGATGGCACTAATAAAATGTACATGCAGCAGAACGTAACATGGTCACACCAAACATGTTCCTAAAAGAGAAGAAAACCTGACTTCTACAGGTAGTAAGTACTATTTCAAAATTGTGCAACTTTTTCTTGACAGGTTCAACGAAGGCATGTAAATGTAGTAATAGTATTCCAGAACAAACAGATCTTGGTTAGTATGGAATGGGCATGTTGAAGAATGAGAACGTAAAACAATCACATGATTATAAAATTATTAGGCACTGATATTTACTTTGTCTATAGTTGCTTGCAAAAGGTAGGGTTTGGTTTGATGTTTCTACCTCAGTTACAGGCCTTAAAGATGAGGTAGTCTTACAGGCTCTCTTTTCCTGTTCTGTGTTCTTGCCTTTCTGAGATAAACTGCTTCAACATTTCCTCTTTGATATCTTGGAGCACATTTTGTAGCAGAAATTTTCGTAATAAACTAACAAAGGAGAGGCATCTTTATCGATGATTAATCAGCTGGCACCCTCCATTATGAATGTAAGATTGTCTAGTTCTTGGCATATCTTCTCAATGGAAGGATCTGATTTATCATTAGATACGAAGGAGCACATTTTCCCCTTCACCTCAATCCAACTGCACCCAGTCTGTTTCTTTAGACCTCGGTCTTTCATCAACATTCTAACACTTTCGGCACTCTTCCACATTCCTTTTGCAGCATACATATTTGATATAAGAGCATGCATTCCTCCATCAGGAGGTCGAGCATCCAAAACCTTTTTTGCAGCTACTTCTCCCAGCTCCAAGTTCCCATAATATCTACATGAACTTAATAAAGTTTCCCAAGCAGTTGTTTGAAGCTGTACTGGTATTTTTTTGGTAAATTCATGAGCTTGAGTAACAAGGCCAGATCTTCCAAGGAGGTCAACCATGCATGAATAATGTTCGGGTTTGGGAATAAAATTCCAATCCTTTTGCATAGAATCAAAATATTGACACCCTTCGTTAACCAAACCTTTATGAGAACATGCGAGCAAGAGGCTCAAGAATGTTGCATGATCTGGATTAAACCCATTTCGAATCATTTCATCGAAAAGCTTGAAAGCTTCCATTGCGAACCCATGGTAAGCATATGTTGCAATCATGGCATTCCATGTGATAGTATCCCGCTTTATAATGCACTCAAATATTAGAGCTGATTCACTGATCAACCCACACCTAGAGTACAATGAGATTAATGAACTCATGACCAATGCATCATGCTGATAGCCAACTCGAATCACACACAGGTGGACCATTCTCCCCCAGCCAAGAGCAACAAGAGAAGCACACACTGAAATTACCACACTGAATGTGCCTTGGTCCGGCTTAAATCCCTCTCTGATCATATTACAGAACAAAACCAATGCCTCGTCACTTCTGTATCCAGAAATCAATGTGTTCCATGAAGTCTCACTTCTTTGTGGCATTTTATCAAACCAGCATTTTGCACCAGCCATATCATCCTGTTGAATGTAACCCTGCAAGATAGTATTCCAGGACACTACGTCTCTATTAGGCATGTCAGCAAACAATCTCAGAGCATCCTCCAGCATGCCATTCTGGACGAATCCTCCCATCATCGTGTTCCATGTCATGACATCATGATCAGGCATCTCATTAAATATTCTCTGTGCAGCTTCAATATTTCTGTTCCGCAAATAACCATGCATAAGTGCTGTCCATGACACAATGTCCTTTTCAGGCGTCTCATCGAACAGGTGCTGAGCAAGCTCCATCTTCCCAGCTCGTGAATAACAAGTAATCATTGTGTTCCAAGAGACCACATCCCTTTGGGTCATCTGACCAAACAAATCCTCTGCATCCTTGAGACGACCTAGGTCAACATACCCAGATAACAGAGCGTTGCAAGTGGAAGTCGAATGACCCGCAGCCTGATCGAACAAAACCCGTGCCTCGTTAATGAGTCTGTTCTTCAGGTAGCCAGTAATCATGATCGACCACGAGACGTTGTTCCTCACCGGCATATCATCAAACACCTCTCGCGCCTTCCCAATCTTACCATTGTTGATGTACCCTGACACCATCGAATTCCAGCAGATCACGTTCCTATCGGGAATTCTGTCGAACAGTTCTCGCGCCTCGTCTATCAGCCCGCACTTAGCATACCCGGTCAGCAGCACGGTCCAGGAAACAACGTTCTTTCTGGGCATCGAGTCGAACACCCGCTGCGCGTCGGCGATCCTGCGATTCTTGACGAGGCCGGTGAGCATGCAGTTCCAGGTGATCAGGTTCCTGCGCGGCATTTGCTCGAAGAACTGCCATGCGCTCTCCACCTTGCCGTCGTTGAAGGAACTGGTGATGGCCGAGTTCCAACGGAAGATGTCGTCACTCCTCCGCAACTGCGGATTGGACGCGGTGGTTAGAGATCGACATGGATGGTCGAGGAGGAGGTACCGAAGTGAGCAAAAGGCCGATCTATCTCTGACACACCGAACTCGAGAGAGCATGTCGTTGGGTCGGGAAGAACCATGACGGGCGTGATCGCATGATTCCTTGGTCGGACCGAACCACCCACCCCTGAAAGGGTACGGTAATGATGACGTCACCTCTCACATTGCTGTCGAGTGGAATCCAACGCGAATAAATACGATTTGGGCAGAATGAATCTTAAAAAACAAAGAAATTATGGGGGTGACGTGTCCTGCTATTCGGATATTATTTTTTCTATTTTTATAAAATAAATAAATAATGAAAGTAAAAATTAAATGCGGAAGAGCTTGCCTTGACATTGGCTTGGAAAGAGGACTTAGTTGGATCCGAGTAATATCCAATACTAATAGATTAATACTAGAAGAAAGGCCTTTAAGATCCCCGAGGACTTGAGTCCAAAAAGTCTTATCTCAATATCTTCCAACACCCAACCAACTCCAACTATCCCGAATTCTCTTGCTTTGACTCTCCATGGTCAAGGATTCTGCTCATCGATTGGTCCTACCTCTCCATTTACAATTCCGGACTCCACCATTTTCCAATGACTCTTCCCATATTCAACTCTCAACCAACTCCCATCCGACACCATTTACTCTAACATTCCAAGCTCCTACTCCATCCTTTGTGCCCACTCGCAGCTTGGTAGTTGCATCTCACCTAGCTCATGCACCACCAAAAGAGAACTCACCTTTGCTAGCCCAAAATTCCATTCCACTGCCAACACCAAAGATTCCCAACAAGTTAGTTGCCCAATCGACTGATCTCCCAACTAAGGTTCGATATCACCTCAATGAAATATACCGAGAGCTAGATGACATTTGAAAAAAAATAAAACTAGAAAAGTAGTCTAAGGAGGATTCGTATTTATGATTTCTATTTGTAAAGAAAATTAACGAGAAGCCAATGCCCCTAAGAATTCCAACTCCATAGAACATGTAGCGACATTTACATCACAAATGACACTCTACGAAATCACTAACTCTCTCGAGTGTTAAACTTTTTCACGACCTTGAGAGATGTGGTGTAAGAGTGGTTCATTGAATTATCGCCAGAGTCCATTTCATATTTTGGACAATTGGCTATGAAGTTCAAACTTAGTTTCATCAGCTATCGAATAAGCTCATTATCTCTCTCCTGGTTATTTTCCAAGAGAAGAAAGAATCATTGGAGAGATACACTAAGAGATTCAATGAGGAAGTATGATTAGTGCAGACTCTAACTCCTTCTATCCTCATAAGTGCCTATATAAATGGCTTATAGTCCTCAAGATTTTTCTATAAAATCATCACCCAGCCACTAGGAATATTTTCAAATCTCTTGGAAGAGGCTAATCAACACATTTTTGTGGAGTTAGTTATTGCTAGTAAGAAGAGGGTTGAACCCAAAAAGATAGTGAAGAGAGATCTATATCACCATTAGAGCCCTATCGAGATGACAAGGAGCAATAGGCCGCGAAATGACAAATTACCTCCTTGACATGATTTCACACCTTTGAACACCTCCCATATTAAGAGTTTATGCAAATTTAGGATAAAGAAATGTTACAAACCCTAGGGCCACTAAGTGCATACTAGGAGAAATATGATAAAATATTATCGATTTAATCAAAATCATAGGCACGACATCATGGACTTCCACACCCTAAAGGAGTCGATTGAGAAGTTGATCTAAACAGGGCACCTCAATTAGTTCCTCCTCAAGGTCTGTGAAGCTTCACCAAGGCCTTGTTAGTCAATCAAAAAATAGGTCAATGCAATTGTCAGAGGATCCATTGTAAGAGGCAATAGTGCATCAAACCCACTGTAGGAGGCAGAAGTGCATCAGTCAGGAAAGCTTATGTGAGATAATCCTAGCCCATGAGGCTTCGTCTTAATAGAGATTAGCTAACTATGTTCAAGGGAGAGAAAACAGGGCGTTTATATCTTGAGCATGATGATGTTCTAGTGGTCTTGCTCAAGATAACTTATTGGTTAGAGTAGTTGAGTTGTAAAGCAACCATAAAGAGCTAAGATAATGATATCTTATGTTGAGCACTTTGTCAAAAAAATGTTATGCTTTTAATCCAACAAATGGATCTATGAGAACCATCATTGTCTAGCCCACACGTTGAGGTAAGAGAGCCTTTGAAGGAAGTCCCTCTCAATCCCATCAAAGCATATAGTCAGGATTATGACTATCCTTTTGTAGGGAAATCTAGGGGTGACATCACATGTGCAGCGGAAGAACAAAAAATAAAAACTCCAAATTTTTCAAAAATGTGCTCATCGTTGTGTGTAGATTAGTGCACAAAATTTATAAAATTGAGAACCATAAGTAAGATAATTATGTTATCTAGGGATATCATATATCCATGAATCCCTATAGATCTATATGAGAGGATTGAGGAGGTTAAAGCGTCCTCCTCTCTAGTAGTGATCCACATAGTAAGACTACGATAATCCTCCTCGAATCACTGCCTAAATCTCCATACCTACTATCTAAGGAGGAGAAGGGGAGAGGAGAATATGATGTGACAACCAAAAAGCATCTAGCTTATGGGTATTTGGTTCCCTCCTATTTATAGAAGACCCTTGTCTACTTAACTCTAATTGTCTTTGCCTCCTCTACCACTCGACATGTCATCTCATCTTGTCATCGTAGGTTAATCGTATTCACTTGAAACTTGTGATCTAATCATCTATCCGAGCTTGGAGTTGGACCAACTCATCCACTGCTTGAGACTTCTTGACGATCATGCCATCTCGCTCCTTGAGAAGTTTAACTTCTCGAAGAAGGTTCCCCACAATGATCACTGAATCCCGAGCTCAATCAACGATAGAGGTCGTAAGTTGTTAATGTTGCATGTGATGAGCCAAAATTAGGAAAAAGCAAAGTTAATGAATAGAAGGAAGACGGAAGATGCTTACCATAACTAACTCCTTATGCTTGTCAAAGAGGGGTCCTCGATGAGCCTCAAATACACACGTGTGACACCCTCCTCCCTTCAATAATTGGTCGGTAGTGTTCTTGACTGATCTCTTTCTCTCGGTAGGCTCTTAACAACCTACCTCCTCGGAAGGCCACCGATTTAGTGCGTCCACCACGTCAGCGGACAATAATCTCCAAGATCCTTCCTTGGATATTCATATTTGTAAAAAAATATAAGAATTCAACAACATCGAAAAGGAAGACCAAAGGTTGGCCAACCTCTTCCTTGGATATTCATAACGCCCAACCATGTCACATGCCACTGTGCCCAACTGTGTCGACCTATTGCGTACCACTACGCCCACCCGTGCCCGCCCATCGTGCACTATTGCACTTGGCAATGTCGGCCCATCCATGACATAGCTCCCAACTATGTCGACTCATTGTGTGCCACTATGCTTGCCTTCGCCAGCCTATCATGAGCCATCATGCTTGATTGTGTTGACCTATTATGCATCTATAGTAATATCGAAAATTGGAACTAATCAAATAATACTTCCTAACCAGATGCCACTACGCTTCTCAACCCAAGAAGTAAGGGGCATATGTTATGGTAAAAATAACATGGTTGATACAAAAGCTCCAAACAGAAACATGTCAACCTTCCCTCGACACATCGACTCCACTACCAATGAGCCAATATTGAGTGATTGCTTTTGTATTTTCGCATGAGGAACATAATAACTATCTAAGTTTAATTGATGCGGTCCACGTAGTTGACATGTTGGTGACACCTGACCAACTTGCGAGTGAAGTCTCGTCGACATGTAAGTAGTGCCTAGCTGACATGGAAGTTGTGATACAATCTACCATCAAGCACTCACTACTAAATGAGTGGCGCAAACGATGAAACCTACAGTTCAAGTAGAGAGCAATTAGCACAAACGATGAAACCTACCGTTCAAGTGGAGAGCAATTATGATAATCT